TTAAAATAGTTGCAAATACTGTAACTACCATATAGTAAATTTTGTAGCTGTGACGTGGTCGAGTGGAATGAGTAGTCATGGTCATGCTCACTAAAATGTCCAGACATGTGGCGGTGTGGTGGGCCGGGTCATTGGGTTCCCTAAAATATGGTCGAGTGCATGGCTGACTCATCCGTCATACTCGTGAACGAGTGCTGCTTGTAGGGACTAGTCTGCTCTTATCACTACGACTGATTTAATCTTATTGTATATTTATATTTGACCCAAAAAAATTTGTGCTGGTTGGTAGTTTGTATTCACACGTTTCGACTTGTAAATGTAAACTTACAAAGATTATTTAATAGAGCAACACATAAGTTTCTTGCTCGTTCTTCTTGTGATGAGACAGCTTTCAGCTTTGAGTGGTAGATAAAAAACAAATTGTTATGACTATTCAAAAGTGCTTAAATTAAGTTTATTTGAATAAATGACTTTCTATTCTATTCTATTCTTGCGTAGATTAAAAGATTTAAGCGAACAGATTTCATACTATGTAAAGATGTAAATAGTTTGTAAATGTAAACACTTTTTTTTTTCAATAATGAGACTTTACAGTTCCAATGTGTTTATTTGAACACTAAGAATAATATGTATACGATTCTCGTAATTAAAATTATAGTATTTATGGGTATCGACGTCCGTCGAGTTTATTTGTCTGTATTGCACAGATTATGTTATAACCATCGACTATAAACTATACAAATATACTCTAACTACTAACTAACTTCAAACATTACAGGTAGCATATTATATAAACAAAATTTAGTAGGTTACCACTTTGAAATTTCGATTTTGTTGAACATGTTAATCTTACCGGTTTTTGTAAATGTTTTGAGTAGGTTTTGTTATTATGATGTAATGCGACATTTAGTTTCTGGAATCTACTCAAATAATATGAAGAGAACCTACATTATTCCAAAACAACATAGGCTAAGTATATTATTCAATCCAGGCGAAGTCAGGACAAGTTGTAGTGTTGTGATAAAGCCTACCGTTATCACACTAGATCCGGTATGGTTCTGATAAAGGAATTACGTATTAAGATATTAAAAAATCTTTTTTCCAGTTACCAAAGGTAACAATTTTTAGACAAAGATATAAGCGTTTTTAGCGCACATGCGTAAAGTTGAAATTATATTTATAAATTATCACTATATATCATATTTATAATTATAATAATCTCGAATATGATACATTTATAATAATAATAATAATTTGTTTATTATCAGGTTTACTTGCCCATTTTGTTAGTATTACAGATTTCTTATAATTTACGTTAGTAGGTACGTACAGACACAAAAATAAAATACAAATAAGGGCAATAATTAATATTTAATAAAAATAATAAATTTAGATTTAAGAATTATAATTTAAGAATTCCTCACACCCCGTCGTCACAAGTCTGGCGGGGGGAATCTTTGGAAAAAATTTCCACTCGATAAAAAAATACATATAATTTATAATATATATATATATGTATATATATATATATATAGATAATTTGATGTACTACATATGTTGACTAGAATGTATAATCACTGGGATAATAATAAGAATTTTATTATTTTGTGTCTAATAAAATACGTTTGTTTTTCTAAATTTAATTAAAGAGTTTGTTGGTCATTCTTCTAATTAACCTATAAGGTCAATAATTATAATTTCCGTTAAATCTCCGTTAGTTTATTTCAAGTTAATTGTGAAGCAAACAAAACAAGTTGAGCCACTTATCAATAATAATTAAACTTGTTGAAAAAATTTTAAAAAGATTTTTATAAAAATAAGTTTATAAATGTTCCATAGATTATGGAATACCATACATAGAATATGTCTATATTTATGGTTTTGTGATTAGACTGTCAATCAATATTTTATAAGGTTAATTTCATTATATCCAACTTCTCATCTCATCTACTTAACGTTTTAATTGTTAGAAGTTTAATAAGAAATAAGAAAATGTCTATCGAATAGTCTTTGGTATAAATAAAATTTATTTAATTTAACTGAAGTAGCTAATCGAATATGGACCTGGACCTGCGTAATTCTACTGCGCAATTCACACAGCGCCATCTAGTTTCAAACAAACCAATGCTGGTTATAGGTACTAGACAACTGATACAAATACTTAGATGCTTTTTTGTAAATGCATACGTACACAATACGTATAGAAATTATCGAGACCAATACAAGCAATCATAGTCATTGTCATCATCTAACCCGCGACCATTGATAAGATTCCTTGCGGGCGGTATACTATGCCACAAACCACCAAAATCGTCATGTCACACAGATAGATAAATACTTTATTTATATTATTAACCGGGTCTTAACACGAATAATTTTATTTCGAAACGTCGAGAGAGGTAAATACCTTTATTTGCCATAAAATTATTCGTGTTAAGACCCGGTTAATAATTTAAATAAAGTATAGTAACCACGAAAGTTTAAAATTAGATATATACTTTATTGACCAATTAAAAATATGCACCATACATAAGGTAAAAAATACATGAACAAATAAAAGAAATGGAGGTGGCTTTATTTGCCGCAAAAAACAAACGCATAAAGCTACAGATAAATTAGTAACGCTGATTTTCTATTGGCTCCTATACTTATATTACTAATACTTATTACTAAAAAAAAATATATATACACATATATATATTGGTTTTCAAATGACAGCTGTTTAATTTTATCATTAACATGTAACCTATTTAACACTTGAGCGACATTTCGTATCTCTACAGCACTCGTATGACAAAGTCTAACAAAACAAAAATCAAATAGCCAATTAGTGCGTACAATACGACGGAATCTGGGGGTGTGGTCGATTTGTTTGTTTCGTGAAATTATTGCTAGATAATACATGTTATCACATACTAGCTGTTCTCTGCGACTACAACTGTTTTTAGAAATCATATATTGCTTATGCTTTTGGCGGGAACACTTCAGCTAGGTAACAATTCTTTTCCTTTTTTTTGTTTGTAGAGTACTATAATAGTGGCTTTGGATAAATTGAGTTCGGATACATTTTGGATAAGATTTGTTTTTTAGGATGGCAAGTTTATATCCGTCTTCATAATACGATCTATAAAGGTATAATTCCCACACGCACAAGTAAATGCGATCGTAAAAGGGGAAACAGTGCAAAATATAAGGTAAATTTAATTAAGATTCATTGTCATGAAAATGTAACAGACAGAGACACACGCCCTTACGCATATACTATATAATATTAGTAATTAATAGGACTGGATTGATGAGTAATTTTATTATTAATTTCTGTTTATTCGAAATCTTGGTGAATGTTTTAATTACGTATGACCAATATGTAAGTAATGCGTATATTACTTACATATGACCACTAGACATAGACTGCATAGACAATTTTTAAACAATTGTTATTATTCTGGAAGTAACAAATTGATAGTTTCATAAACTTAGCTGGTCCTAGCGTAGATATTGTTGAATTTAAAGTCAGCTGTAATTGAAATTTTTTACGTTACTTCCAGACTTCCAATTTCTATCTGCCATTAGGTCAGATAACTTTGTGACAAATTGGTCTAAATCATTGGTGTAAAGGACGGTATTTCAGGTAGCAATTTATGTGTTGTTCTGGCACCATAATTTGTAAATTACACACAATTGCGCAATATGGAACGACTGGCCTCCTTATGAAACGTTATAGGATCACTATAATTCTCATGCCTTTTGTTGGGTTTACTATATAATAGTATACTGTTGATCGCTCTTTATATATATCTATATCTATCTATCTCTTGATATTGTTCTGTTACTCGACTTGTTATGTACTTCCAAAAATAAATTTAATAGAGTTCTGTTGTAGTATAAAGGTAATAGGTACCAAATAAAAGATCAAGTTTTGTTCATTATTTAAAATACAACAATTATGGAGACAACAAAATCCGGCAAATAGTAGATAAGAATAAAAGTGCGCAGTACTAACGTCATTGTTTTGCCACTAATAGGTTATTGATGATAACGTTTTCTCCCAGGGTGAGTAACCCGAGTCGCAATAATTAGATAATCACACGAATCCCGTGTTATTCGAATGTTGGCCAACGTTTCCTGTTTGTAGGAATCAGAACGGAAAGTATAAGTTATTACGGTGTGAAATCATTAAGCAATGTGGACGGAGGATTTTGTATGCGGTGTTACAGACTGGTTGTATAAGGACTGCGAATTTCTATTTTCAAATCTTTTTCTGATTTACATCTTACTCTGTACAATTTCTTATTATTTTCAAAATGCGACTTTAAATATAGAATTTGTTTTGATACTAATTAAATTTGGTCCACTAAAATAGTGTTAAAATGACTATAGAACCAATATATTAAACTCCAGTGATTTTAAAAATATTATCAAATATGTTTTGTTCCAGTTATTTTTATTTTCTATCCTGTCAGTTCGAGAACCCCGTTTTGCCCAACACTTTATCAACCTATGTATGTATGTATGTACAGCTGTATGATATAATCATACAGCTGTAGCTGTATGATCTAGAAACCTTTGTCTCCCTATAAGGCAAAATAAAAAAAATAACAACTATGTAAAATAGTCGTAACATAACAACTCGTACTGACAGACTTTTAGCAACCATTCAACCAATATTTTTTGGGACTATAATGCTGTTGGTCGCCTTTACAGCTTTACTGGACGATAGGGGGCGAGTTCAGATGGCAGCCCAAATCCGCGGAAGGACTTATGGAGCGTCTGAAGGTTAACTTCCGCCTGACGGATACGACTTTAGTCTGTGGGCACCGCTAGGGGTTTGAACCTCATGTGCCGCCACTGAAACAATGTATCCTGACAAAACTTCATCAAGGGGTTACAACTCGCATGTTTTTTTTTTATAATATCGAATATCCGCTACTATTAAATTAGTGAAATATATTATTTTGTAATGAATTTTTTTAATTAAAAATTACGATGGCTGCTTTCAGACGCGCCAGCCAGCTGCGGGTGACGTACAGTGACCGGGCTGCGCAAGACGATACCGACTCGTTCGATCATATCCTCAACGTGACGTCACAGAATGATGCTCTCCTGGCTTACTACTACCTGGACAGCGATTACAAGGTAATACTAATAATATTTTTTATTATTACTGAATTAACTACAAGCTGGACGCCTGATGGTAAGTGGCGATAGTCGTGTATTATATCTTATATATAAAATTCTCGTGTCACAATGTTAATTACCATACTCCTCCGAAACGGCTTAGATAGGTCTGAGAATCGGCTACTATCTATTTTCATAACCCTAAGTGATAAGGGTTGTCCACCCCTAAGATTTATGTTTTATTTTTTGGACTTTTTTATAATGTGGCATTAACAAATACATACGTACAAACCCTAATTTGTTATTAAAAATTATAGGTTATTTTAATTACTTGACTTTCACTGCGTCACTATTACTGCGTCATTTTTTAAAACTGAATCGGTATTTTCAACTTCAAATCCTGACTTTTTAAATTTGTGGTTGGCAACCCTGCAACACCGTTTATATGTACAGCGGCTGGTAGTAATACAATGATTTATTACCGATTTTTAACATTTAATTACTATAAATTACTGTGATCAACACTGTTATTATATTAGCATCCATAAAATGGTGACTATGTCAGTGCATACCACGCTTGACATGACCCCTGCTATCTGCCGCCAATCAGAATACAAGGCATGACGTTGGCGTCGTGTGATCAATCGCGCACACGCAAAACGCACGCAATGAGACTCATTTATGTTTAAAAAAGATTCTTTGTTTACAATAGTAGCTTACTCTGTGACCAACGCATCCCTTAAAAAGATTTTATGTAAAAGTTACCTTTACACGACACGTTCTTTCGCACGCGATCACGAGCGCGCGCTGTTCAGTGCGGGAAAGCCAGTTAGCTTTAAAAAAAATCTTTGTTTACAATAGTAGCTGCTTGTTCTGTGACCAATGTGTCCCTTAAAAAGACTTTATGTAATAGCTACCTTTACACGATACGATCTTTCGCGCGCGATCAAGATGTGTTATGTCTATGTTTGTCAGTGGCATCGGAACGTCTAAACGAATAGACCGATTATTATGCATATTTTTTTTGTTTGAACACTGACGTGATCGAGATGGTTCTTAACTACAATTTATTAGTTAAGAACAGCTAAAAATTCGACCTTTACCAAAATTGCAGGAAATACTAGTATACAGTTTAATACTCTCTATTTATATTAATCTGTTTAATTTGACATATCTGATTTATCTGTAATTCCTTCACTTGAAGATAAGGACGTATTTAATGCAATTAACAATGTTGCTATCAGTATTAATGTCTTTATAATAATTTTAATCGACATGAGTAGTATCTGTAAATCCACTCGTGTTAGCTAGTGGAAGAGTTTTGTATGACTCACTTGGGTAGATACCTACTGTGAGTGTGTGAGCTTAATAAAGATTACATATAATACATATTGCCAACTAAGTCACAGCGTTAGGTTGGTACATATCTCTCAAGATAAAGAATTGTAAACAAGTCTATTCATAAATAGATCTGTTAATTTTATTTGGGAGTTTGTATTCACATATTTCTAAATACAAATATGTAATGCTGAACAATGTTTATTTAAGAGTGAGTCAATGTTTTCCAAATATGTAGAAGAAAAAAAAATATGATTATTCAAGTGATCAGATGAATGAGCGGTAATAAATAAATATATATGACTATTCAAAAGTGCTTATTTTATATTAAGTTTATTTGAATAAAGATTATTTCTATTTCCACAATTTGACCAACGTTCTGATTGAATAAAATTAAATTTGTCCGCCTTTGATGATTATTTTGAGCATCTTACAATTTTGGAAAATATTTGAAAATAGACTTTAAATATACAATTTTAGAGTTGATTTTACTAAGTTTGTATTTATTGAGTTAATTCAGTATAATTGAAATATAAAACGTAGGTACTTAAGTTGTTGTTTAATTCTAACGTTTGTACAATGATTTTATAAATCATCAACAACTGTTAGCAAGTGACACTTCTACATCTATGTCAATCGGGTCATTTAATTATAGAGACAAAGAACGTGACAATATTGCGTTTTCGATTAAACTCGACTACGCCATATTGTACATTTTTTTATTTACGTGTATAAATTTAAGACATTTCAACCTCGATATTTTGTACAGATGACTTCTTACTAATATTTAAACGCGAATGTTGTGAGTATGGATGGATGTTTTTTACTCTTCGCAAAAACTACTGAACGAATTTTAATGAAACTTTACAGTAATATAGCTTATATATCAGAATAGCACATAGGCTATAAATTTTATGCGAGTGAAACCGCGGGCTCAGCTAATTTTATATTAATAATCCAGGATAATTTACACAGTGCCATCTAGTCCCAAACTAAGTAGAGCTTGTGTTATGGGTATTAGACAATATTAGACAACCGATATAAATATTTAAATATATTTTTATCATATATAAATACATAATGTCCCATGGCATTAAACTCGCCAACTTGTACAATTTTATAAGTGCAATAAAAGAATAAATAAATAATAAAATAAAAAAAATACCGAGACTACACAATCATACTCATGAATACAAATGTTTGTACTGAGTTCTCGCTATAAGAAAACGACTGAAATAATTATTGTAGGTAATCTAACCTACAATAATTCAAATAGAATTGCTGACAATCTGACTGCCCACCTGATGGTTAACGGTAACCGTCGCCTATATACATGAACTATAAGACTATATACGATAACTAAGAGCAATATGCAAGTTTCTTGCTCGTTCTTCTCGTAATGAGTTCTGAATGAGTGGTAGAATAAAAAAATATAACTATTGTGCTTATATTAACTTTATTTGAATAAAAAATATTTCTATTTCTATAATATATAATCATTTTAATAATGAAATATGTACAAATAACAAACATAGTTGACGTAACGTAACTGAACATCAATTATAATTGCGTTATGACAGTACAGAGGCATGCAAGTGTCCGCTATCGGAGCAACGCACGTAAACACGCGCCATTATCACGTTTTAAACAATGCACATTTAATTGCAGCCTTTGTACATCTAAATGCCTTGTTTATAAAAAAAAACAAAAATCCTTGACTAATATTCTAAATGCGAAAGTTACTCTGTACTCTCTGTCGCGATTCCGCGCCAAAACTGCGGATCGGATTTAAATCAACCTCACTAAACGATTACTTGAACGACGAGCGTGCATGGCAATAGATGTTCGTGCACGGGATATTCGTTTAATGTTAGACACCTATATAAATATACATTGTAAATAAACTGGTTTAAAAAAAAAGAAATTTTGAATTTGAATTTAAATGAAATTTGGTACACAGATAGTCCAGACAGGTTTTGTTGGTGGAGGATTATTGCACAATAATAAAATCATTAAATTGTTTTGCGTGTTCAATATATGTACTTATTCATTAATGACGCTGTGAGATGTACAAGATATGTAAACAGAGCGATTAATAACACGTTCCATTAATGAACTTAAAAGATTATGTAAATGAATTGTTTTAATTGAGACGAACTAAAAGTTAAAACAAATGCAAACAATTACTCGCAAATATGCCGTTAAAAAATTGGTACTCACATTCATATTTTTATTTTTCCTAGTGACGCGAGCCCGAATATGTTCATATATATTTTACAGAAGAAATAAAACAATAGCACAGCTCCACTTTTTTTTTTCCATATTTGTCCATCTCCTTTTCAGTGATGGAACAGGCAAAGATCCTTAGACCGTACAGCCTAGTCTACTTTTAAACTTCTTCATATTTGAGCACAGCTCCACGTTCTGCGTTCCATATTCAAAATTATTAATTTAATTTTTAATAAATATTTAATGGCTATTGTATTTGCTAGTACTAAATAGTCGCCCAGTGTTCGAAATTCAACTATAATTTATATAAAATTGAACATTTTTCTTTTCTTGTTTTGAACATTTAAGGTTACAGTGTCAAAGAAACAAGAGTATAAATTTAACGAGTCAAACACATGTAACTTTTATTTTAGTTATAGTATATTTTTTTTATTATTATAAAATATTAGCTTCCTGCACTCCTGTTCTTAGATTTTAACTTTGCCAAATTATATAGCTTAAAGTTTTTGCTGTATTAATGTTATGATTTCTTTATACAGATGAAAATGACTGAAATATACGACGTGACTGAAGCCGATACCGACGCGGTACAGTCGCCCACAGAGCGAGCAGTGAACAAACAACTCGAGTTCGACAACGACTGGTCTGCGGAGCTCATGGGCGACAATGGTGAGTTTCGACATCCCTATTATTAAAAGTAAAATGACTTTTTTTCATGTATCTAGAATACCAAACAAGCCGATAGCTTACTGCTAAGCACTGTCCTATATATACATGCACTATAGATGCGTTCTTGAAGACCAAATTGTTATGTCTCGGTACAATGTGAAATGAAACCTTGCAATTTCATTGCCAAATCTCAACCGGAATACAGAACTTTTTATAACCTGCTGACACCAGACTTAGATGAGACAAAGGTTCGGACTTGTACTTCAGACAGAATCGTTTGCTTATCTCCGCGCATTTTGTTAGAAATCTGTTTCAGTAAAAGTTCGAGATATATTCCTAATAGCTCATAACCTTATCTAAAATCTAAATATTACATATTATTGATATTAATTTAATTCTAATTCAACAATTTTAATATTATTTTAACAATTCGATCACAGATGACTTAAACTTGGATGACGACGACGCACTAGATGACCGGAATATCTTCTCGGACCCTGAGAGCGAGTGGAATGGCCGGCTGTCCCCAAGCAGCGTGGAGAGCGACGGTGAACAGCCAGAGTCTGACCAGAGGTACCACCAGCAGAACACCACTATCACATACGTTGAATAGAAATCAAGGCGATGCCTGAACTGCCGGATAGACCTGGAATGTCAAGAAGCAAGTACATAAGAACAATATCAGATTATATATAACAAGCATACGGCTAGCCTAAAGGTAAGCGGGTGCCGTAAACGTCGCCTGTATCAGTGGTGTCGCGAGATGGACCTTGAGTAATTTTTTTTTATTAACATGGCAAATGAAAACTTGCCCAAGTCTATAAAATGATTATGGTGCTAAAAAAATTAAAATAAATTTTGAATTCAAATTATGTATGTACCTGGGACTTATTAACCTTAATTACCAGTCAGATACTAACTCTTATTAAAGATGGCGTCACTTCTATTTAAAAACAATACTGTACTTAAAGAAGGACCGTATTAGTGTAAAAATGACGTCATTACTACCGAATTATTAGAGGTAATATATGCAAACACATTTCTCTATGATACAACATCATAGACGACAAGACTAAATTATGCAAGCAGTACAGATATACATACAGCTGTCACTTTCTAACATGTCACGTTTAAATTGTGTAAGCAGTACAGATATACATATAGTCTGTCACTTTCTAACATGGCATATCTAATGTGTGTAAGCAGTACAGATATACATGTAGTCTTCCACTTTCTAACATGTCACATCTAAATTGTGTAAGCAGTACGGATATATATGCAGTCTGTCACTTTCTAACATATCACATACTCATTTGTTGTTTATAATTTCCAACACGATCAACTATTAAGTTACTACAATTTTCTTCTGTTCTGTATATGTGTATGCGTCCATATCGTTTGGTATAAGTAAAGGAACATGGTGCTACATTATTTACTAGTTAACGATTGTGATTTTACGCCTAAAGTCTCGTCAAACATGTATTTAATACAATTACTTTGATATTGTTTTGAATAACAACAAAACGACGGATGATAGCACTCTTCAAGTATCTATTACTGTCTAGATGTAATTATTATTATATATAATGTGTATGTGTTCTGAAAAATGCAGTGTCAAAAACATTGCATTTTAATTTATGAACACACAAAGAGATTGCGCTTAATTTAAGTGTAAAAGTAAAGAAACAAAAATGTCTACGGATTATGTTGTTCACTCTGTCAACAGTCATAATTATATTAGTTACTATTTTGTCCGCTTAGAATTAAAATAGAAACAATTTCTTTAAAAGAAGTTGTGTAAGTTACTCCATATAACAGTAGCTATCTGCGAGTGAAAGTCCCGTCAAAATCGGTCCAGTCGTTTCAGAGAAACAAACAGATCCACAAACATTTTTAAATTATTTTTTTGATGTAAGTACCTTATATCATTTTAAATGCATATCATGAAAAGCTGATAATTTTAAATTACAAACAGATACTTCCAATTTTATACAGTTACATAGTATAAAACAGTCGCCGCCGCTGTTTGTTCGCTTATATCTTTTAAATTACGCAACGGATTTTAATGCAGTTTTCAGCAATAGATAGAGTGATTCAAGAGGAAGGTATATATGTATGAAACATGCGTGTTATATTATAGAACAAGCTGAGATATTATTTTTATTTGTATATGGAGTACTTAATATAATTATGACCAGATCTATTGACGTCTTATAAATATAAACTACAAGTTCAGCAAGGACTCATATATTTTCCGGTATATATACATATTTGAATGTACATACATACATCACATATATTGAATTCTAACAGGTGCTGGCGCAATCGTATAAAAATAAATGTTTTCATTAGTCATCAAAAGAAAAACAATGTTTATAAACTGATAGTGAAGTAAGGTGGATAATTTAAATATAAACGTATTTTATATAAGTAACCCTTACTTATAGCAACCAAGCTTTACGGTTAACAGTGATTTTAATGTCCAATCCCTATAAAGATTTATATTTACATTAATTAATAATTGAAAGTACTTATTTAACGCCTATAAGTAAGGGGGATATGTACTGTATCGTAACATTATGTGATATCACAATATAATAAATAGATAGCTAATTATGACTTATTTATAAGGAAATTCATCTGTAAACAGTTTAATCGTGAATTGATAAATAGAAATATTTCTGCTACAATTATTTACATACTTGTTGTTTGTTATTAAGGGCCATTCATAATGTATTTACGTCACATATTGAAGTTCATTATGAGACAATGAGTGGGAGCGTTCCTTTTGAGTGTATTAAAACATTTGGTTTAAACTATTAACCAAAAACTTAAATATATTTTATTTGGAACGTCACTATTGGGAGGCAGATGCTGGGGGAAATTGTGGAAAAAAAATTACACAATTAATTTTATGGATAATATATGGATGGCCCCTTATATCAAAATGCTATAATCATTCCCGCGCTTTTCCCAAAGACAATGAATTTATTGATACAATTAAGAGGTTTATTTTTTTAGACATATCGAAGGCTTCTATTTTACTATTCTACTAAATCTATTTTTATTTAAACTGGCATCTTTTATTATGTAATATTTCAACGAACGAAAAGTAGTAATTTATTACTCCTTGTTGACTTTTGTATTATTGTTAATTTCAAAACAGAATGAGTCAGAAAGTGCATTATTTAATTAACTTCTTCCATACTGCAACAATATTTTCCTCTTTTTAAATTCTTCAATAGTCATTTCATTGTTTATACGATATTACTTGTCCTATTGTTAAAATAACCTGAAAAATAACGAAGCTAATTAACTTTTACCCTAAATCTAGGGTAAAACACTATATACTGACAACACTATATTTTTAAGAACTTGTCTTGTCCTATGGTGTAGGGCTATTTTTAAGAACATAAAAAAATAGTAAAGTCTTATAGCCCCTTTCCTGTTTTATTTAGTACTGTCTTGTTACAGTGTAGACCGTCCCCTCGCTTCCTGTCACGACATGTCACTTGTTACATAGAAGTCTTCATATATTACGACATATAGAATATTTCTATTTATTTTGCTAGTTTTAGTATTCGTTACCTTCAGTTACCTAATTAGATTATGATTATTTACAACGTTGTGAAGGGATATATTAGTATTGTTTGTTGTTTATTTACTTCTTAATATTTAATGTTTAGACTATATTTTATTATCATTGTATTGTAAGATTGGATCGTTAAAAAAAATGTAATCATTATCATATTTATAGGATCATGTTATACAGAAAAAAATCCTTTTCATCAAAAAGTTATCCTAATCAGTCTATTTAAATGTTTTTTCCGTTAATTCCGATAGTATATGTTAATTTGAAATCATAATATTTTTCCTATTAAATCAGTTATTATAATTTTGAAATTATATTGAAAAAAGTAATAGTTAAAATGTAGGAGATATCTGTGTATGTGAAAAAGTTTTTAAACTACATTTGCTTACTATATTACAACTCTGATATATATATGTATGTTACTATATATATGATAATCGATTAGGCCGCCTGCACACCCATACATAAGTTACAATTATGTAAGTATTTGAGAAACTAAAGTCATTACAATAAATATATATGCAAAAAAATTAAGAAGCAAGTTAACTACGATAATTTACATTTATAAATTATCATATCTAACTTTGTTACTAAAGTATTTACAAGTTATAATTTATGATGTAAAGACGGTCTTAAGCTCCACATTATCGTAATCCCAGATGAAGTAATTGCACTTTATTCCAAATACAAAGTTTCATTTGATAATATTTACAATATTTAAGGTGACACGAAATTGTCGACATTTAAAATTGAACACTAATATCAATGTCATTGATTTGAATTTCATTATCTATCAAATAGGATGTTGTATTTGGAATATAGAATATAAAATCTATAATATGAATTTGCCTGACAATCATTATACATTTCCTATCCTTTATTATTTGGCATTCGAACGGTCGATCGAAAGTTCAACTTGTGCCATAGAAGTTAGTCTGGGTGACCAACGTGACTGACCTAACTGACCGTATTACGTGACAATTACGATCAAACTGATCAGCCAGATCGGATGCCAGATCGTGTCGTCTATAGACATTTTAATAAAGCTGACTACACATACCCAGATAGTCTCACTTATACTACGTGCGCTGTAGCATGGTGCGGGTGACAGTTGCCTGTATTTGTAGAGTAGAACATTCTGGCTTGGTTAAATTTAAATTACTACAGTTAATAATGGTTGAATGTATTACGAATGTGGTACAGTTGAAATAATCTGTAGATAGCGGCAACGTTCAATAGTGAAATGAAACGTTACTGAAACTGTCACCTGCACCACCTGCACCATGTTACAGCGCACATGGTATAGTCATTTCTAAATTTGTACGTGTCTGTTTTGACTTTATTATTATTTTATGTAAATATACGCCTAATTGATGCTATTATATACATTACAAAATTGTAAAGAAACCTATACATTACCAAATTAGGTATGTATATATAAAATAATAATTAGAATGTAACAAGAGACTAATATACTTTTTTATAATTGTACGATTTTAGGCTTTAAAATACAGTGATCCAATTGCATTAATAATTGTATTGTAAACGAATGTCACAAAATATTTAAATAAATGTTTGAATTTTTATATCGTCTTTTAATTCCAGTATCATCCCGCTATACTACAAGTGTAGTAGATATGGCCGAAATTAAATCACAATCATATTTAGACCAAAATATAAAAATATAATAGACATATTCCCTAATCGTCAGAACTTTCTGAAGATCACGGAGTCTCACTCACTAGCATGATCGAATGAACTTGCCCGATGAAAACACTCATTTGAGTGTCTATAGAAAGACAAAAGAAGATAGAAGATAGAAGAACGATAGAAGCTGTAAGGGACTTGATCTATATCTTTGTTTAATTATATATTTAGTTAAATAATAAAAATAAGTTCTTAGCTGAAGGATAGCCCATATAAGAACAACGCGAGGTCGTTAATAACCATTGCATGTTTCTGCCTCTTTTAATTTGCAATGATCCAGTGTAAAGCTGAAAAGTAATTACGGACGTTGTCAACGTCAAACCGATTCTAAATTTCAAACCATCCGTCACTACATTTTAGAGTCATTATATAAAAAATCATATTTATAGACAAAAATTTTTTCTCCGCTAAAGATAGCGTACAGAAGCGATTCTCGCCAAATTACGTTATCGAATACTTTTATATTCGTTACTTTCTCGTGACGAGATGGTTGGCAAAGGAATCGAACCTAAAAGCAGCCGTATATTCCATCAATGCTATTTGAAGTGCTGCAAGCTGCAAAATCTAACTCCATTAAATAATGTGATACCATCTAGTAATGGGAAGGTGATAGACTTCTGTGTGGATAGAGTGAAGTACGTCGATTGGCCGCCGATATTGAACGCCCTTAGTTGCGATTTGAGTCTGCATTCTGTGTCAATTAGATGCCGTCAACCGGTCAAAACAGGTAAGAAATACTTAGACGCACTAAAAAGAGACTGGATAGTTCATTCGTTCATAATTTAAGAGCGACGCTCTTGTCGGTGGTGCTCTTGTCACTTTCCACGATCTTCCATCATGCTCTTTAAACATTGATATGACACGACTCCAATTTGGTTTTTAATTTGCTTGATGTAGCTGTTCCTTGATTCTTCCTTTCCCCCTCTTTCCTTATATTTGTCCCTCAATAATAATTTTCATAGTATTTTTTTTATTTGACACCACTCATTTGGAATCACGATTTGGCGAAGAATTTGCCTATTTTAGATATTTTCAATTCAATCGCATATGGCGCCTTTTTATTATGACTGGATCTAATTTGTAATATAAACCAACAAATATAATTTTTAAGTATGCAATAATATGAAAGTCAGGGTGTTTTTTATGTATTCTATTATACCAGCAGGCATATTGGGAGTTGATAACGCTGTGATATTCATGCTTTCTGATACTACTTGGTAGTTGATGTGATATTTGGATTTAAAGAGTTGTTGTGGGTTGCTTTATACTGTATGAGTTGTATGTATATAAAAAAACTAAAGTACCTACATATAATATTTCAACAGTATTAGAACACATAGACTGCGAGAGATTGGCAAAAACGGTGAATAAGCGCGCAGTCATTCTAACGAACTTTATGTTGACGAACCTTGTCGAAGCGACCTCACAGTTGCTGTCCAATACTACGCTTTTATCTGTGCTGTTGTTGGAAGGCCTGCCCTTGAAGATACCATATTTGAATCCGTTGTGCGAGGTAAAGATTTTGCTAGTTGCAATACCGAAGTGGCAAATAAGCGATCTGACTATCTCTGCTCCATAGATAGTAATAACCATCGCCTATATATATAAGGAGCACCACAAGTATCAGATAATGTAATTTTTTTAATGTAATTATAATGGTAAACAGGCTTGCACTGTTGGCCTTTCCAATTAACGGCTCTCAGACAAGGCACTGTTCTGTTCACAGCCTAATGGCCGCATGACTCCAGTAGTGTGCGATGATATAATCTTTCCTTCTCTTTCATATTTCATTTTCAACATTTTCATTGTCTCATCTTATCCTACAACTGGGACACATCTTACTAGCTGCTTGGCAGCTGAAATAGACACTAAGGCACACATACGATTTTACAAAGTCTACCTCGGTCAAATGTCGGTTGCCTGAAGACTTAGCCATGCATCTGTTATGATTTTTTATAAATATAGTTTAATTTAATGGAATAATATTGGTTGTTGAAAGAAAATTGGTAGAGGGAGCCACTGTATTAAGCACAGGATTCAGCAGCGCCGTCTTTAGCACACTTTCTGAAACATATGTGGCGTGGCAAAGGCTTGTAGGCAGAAATGACGAAATGTTAATTGCAATTGTTAATGTAAGTTAAACAAAGAAATCTCCAACAAGCAGCCCCTGTTAGTTTAACGTATATCGCCTTTTTCACTAGAAAACAGCTGATTAGCGGCTTCTTCTTCTTTCATGGCAACCATATGTAGTTTCCGTAGAATGTTGAGATGACTTTTGCACATTCTGTTGCATTTTTTAGATCTTCCTTTGTGCAGGATGATGGGCACAAAGGACAGAATAATAGGTGAGCCATAGTCTGGGATGGCGATGGATTAGCGGCTGAAATGATATGTACATAGATTATACAGTTAAAGAAAGCAATAATCTGCTATAAATAGATGTGACCTAGAACTTACACAATATTATTCCCAGGCATTACTGGCTAATAATTCCCTACAACATCTGTACTTACCGCGGTGCCTCATCGGTGACGCTGGATGCCTTGCTGTCTGTAAAGCCGTCAGGTGTCTTCCCAACATTCTGACCCTTGATCTCAGCGGGTGTGAACTGACACCATTAGGAGCCGGCTATATAGCTGATTTAATTAAGGTAATATTTATGCAGCAGCGGTAGGTACTTGATTTTTATTTCACGTTAAAATCACTTTCCACATTGAGTAACTAAAGCATTCCAAACCAACAGTAGATTTTACATAACATAAGAGTCTGTAATAGACCTACATGAATAAAGATATTTCGATTTGAATTAAAATTTTCAGTATCAAAAGATTCACCGTTATAGTGAAAATTGGACGCATACATTGCGATATCGGCTTCCCGAGTTGGATGCGATGGCAGGCCTCCGACGTATCACGCTCTGTGGGAACACCCAGCTCGGAGACGCCGGTGTCAGCAGGCTATTTGATGTCTTAGCTGATGATTTGTGGATCAAAGGTAAACTTCTAATACTGGATGTGCTGTTCAATATGTATAATAGCAATTTATGATGTTTATATCATAAATTGTTATGTAAATAATAATATAATTATGAAAGATTGTATGATGGTTCAAACATTGGAGAGGTACTTTTTACCTATTATCACGCGTCACGCCGACGCTTGTAACTAGTCTTTTATATGACAATACATAATTTAATGTCACTTTTAGCTTTGGACGTTCAAAACTGTGGTTTACGGGAACAATCAGCCACATGCGCCGTAGAAATGATGCGATCTAATACAACACTAGTGGTACTGGACTTACGACACAATATTGATATATCGAGCGAATCGCTGTCGAAAGTGAGAACAACGCTAAGGGATAACGAGAGAGGAATGTGCGGGCAGGTTGGTAGCTATTGCACATTTATTATGGCTAATTCTCGACGTGTATAAGTGGCTAAAATATCCTAACCCTGCACCATTCACACGGCGACATCTAGTCCGAAACTAAGCAGAGCTTGTATCATGGATATACAACCTCTGTTTAGCTTGCATAATATACATAGAAAACACTTACAACAATTCAAACGATCTTAATCGTTAATACAAATGTTTGCGCCGTGGGAGGAATAGAAACCACGATCGGAGGTAAAGCACTGTTAAACCGCTAGACCACCGAGGCCGTTTTAGCATACCGCCTTACTTCTGATGGCCAAGCAAACATTTGAATTCATGACTATGATTGTTTGTATCGGTTTGAGTATTTATTTTCTAGACACATTTAAAAAAAAATTAATTTTGCAGTATTCGTGGCTCGGAATTGTTAGTGGGACCTCAAGCGACGGCAGATTGGTTAAATCTCTTGCTTCCAAGTAAGGTCATATGGTATTTATATATTATGGGTCTCAGGTGGGTTAATTACGCCAATATAATTTGGGTTTCAGGAAATCAGTCCTGTTGGACGCTACCCTGTTGGCAATGATACCCAATATCGTATTAATTATTTAGTAGTTTCAGTTTTAGTAGTTTATATTATTTTTCTTGCACAGGAACGGTACCAAAGAAAGAATGCAGATTATTTCTAAAAATACACCCTCTAAATATACGAACAAAACGAGCAGTGTCAAGAAAGATAAGTAAGCGTATTTTAATAACAATTAAATACGATTTAGTTCATAAATTTAACATGTTCTATTACTTTAAAAATAATTGGATATGAATTTTTATTTATCTACATATATTTTATATAATCCATAGTTGACGGTCTCTTAGATATAACTATGTTCTAACGATTTTCTATTCACAAGTTGTCGTCAATTTGAATAAATATTGTAAATATTAGGTAATGTAGCAATGATTTATGTTTATGTGTTGTAGAGAGTACACGGAAGTGTTGGAAGAACAGCTCCAGGAGGAAATATCTCATCGACATCAGTTGGAAGAATTAAATCTGCAACTCGTAGACCAGATGAAGCAGCTAAAACAGCAACAAATAAGGCTATGGGCAAATGGCGCCACCTCTTCTGGTAATAATTCATTTCGATGATGATGAAGATGAGCCTGAAGTGCCCTGAAGTAAATCACGGGGGCTATAGTAGGTCTATTAGTAGTAACTCTAAAAAAATGACGTTGGCAGAAATATAAACACCAATATTCACTCCCTTTCTTGCCATATCAGCTTTCACATAGTCCATAAATCTTTTTTGGCCTTCTTCAGCCCTATCCAATACACAATTAACACTTTCTTTAAAATATCCTCTTCATTCCTATACACTACATGCATGTCTGTCTTGATATGGATCAAGACAGACGATTACATTTCAACTTCTCCGACACTGGAGCCGTTTTCAAACTTCGTCTGATGTATCCATTCTTTATACAAGATAAAGATTAATTCTTGTCACACCACACTTCCGTCGATGTCTATTTCTGATAAATATTCTACAATGATCGAACTGTAGTGTAATCTGGTCTTCTATAATTCTTTATTGGTATATCACCAGACCTTACCATTATAAAAGCCCAAATCACCATTGGTCATCAAAAAAGAGAAAATTATAAAATAAACAATTCCGTATTTTAGGTTCAGAGCAGTCATTCCAAGCGAGCTCCAGATCAGGGGATATCTCCAGCAGCTCAGGATCGACCAGTTCCGTGCCCATAGATCAGAACACCCTCTCCTACATACAACAAGCTTTCAAGGATATTTATACGTTCATTAAGAATAATCAATGTCACGGGTTAGTAAGAATTATTTGTTTTAAAATTGTATTTTACATTTTAACTTATTACGATTATTTTTGCAGACATTTCACAATGGTGTAGATAGATCATAGATTAGTCATGTCTACAATATAATATATAATGCTTACAACTCGATTTTTTTTATAATCTGCATAGTTGTAGTAGTAATCGTTAAGCGGACATTCAGCATTCGTAAGTTTTTTTAAAAGAGCATCGATGTTGACTCCTTTTAGTCCTATCTAATATCGAAGGTTAACTAACAAAAAACCTTTTTTTCTTTCTATTTATATTGCCGACTCTCAGATGATGGAAAAACCAAACTCATCTAAAATATCGTAATTAGAGTCCCTTAGGCTTCTTTTGTGAAATACTTAAAAGACGTTTTAGGGATGCTCATCAGAAATATACTGAATTTATTGTGATTTACTCTAAGAACCTTTCATTATCTACTATCATGATTGATAAATTAGGCAATTAGTGCATTTTTGTGTATATTTCTGAAGTGTGTGATCTCTTTGTGTAATTCTGAGTGATTGACAATTTAATTAAACATGTAAATCTTTTCCAGCCAATGTCTCCAAGAAACGAATAGTAAAGAAATAGAGGAACAACCAGACATGACTGATCTGACAGAGACGGAAGAATTCGCGAATAAACTTCACATCAACATAGTGCCCAAGAAGGCGCAAAGCTCGCACATGAAAATAATAGAGAACGCAAAAGTAAATAAATCAACAAAGAGTGCACACTTGCTCGGAGACACCCAACGTGGCAGAGATAATGTAAAGATGGTGCGTATCTGTATAATAATATTTATAATCTATACTAATATTAAAGTTTGTAAGTCTGTAAAGTTGTAGGGTAGTCTCTGGATTTACTAAACCGATTTCAAAAAATATTTGAGTATTGGATACCCTATTTATTGAAGTAGCCTATAAGGCTGTGTAACACCATACTACGATCAACAGGAGCAGAGTTATAATAAAATATGTAGCAAAAACGGGGGAAATGTGATATAGACGAATTTGTACGAGTCAGCTAGTTTTTTTTATAATGGAATGATTCACCCGCCTGATCTAAAGGTTTACACTGGCAAGAGAGCAGTAGAGGATGATAAGATGAATATGAGTTCACGTCAGTCGGCCCATCATGGTAAATTCACCAGGAATTTAACGGAGAATCGACTATAGTCATTGATAAATATAAAAGATTTACTAAAGAACTTATGTCCATATCTTTCCATACCTTCACCCGTTTGTAACAATATATCTAATGGCATCATTGCGTCTGGTATAATATAATTAAGGGGAGTGGCAAACAAGCTAATGATATACCTGATTGTAACTCGCAAATTGTCTATAAAAATTGCACCCACATTTTATGGAGATTAATATGTTTATTTCAGAAACCTGAAATGATTGAACGGCAAATGGGTGACACGATAACTTCTCACATTGAAGAACAAGGTGTGATTGAAGAAATGATCGCGGCCCACATGAAGCCGAAAAAAGTGAGATGACCTCATTATTGTTTAATGTACAATTATTATTTAAAAAATCCAATAACTTCTGAAAAGAAGTTCCGCAAGATAATAATTAGAGAAAAGAAGTCTAATAACAGCCTCGGTGGTCTAGCGTTTTAGCACACCGCTTTACTCCCGATGTTCGCGGTTTCGATTCCTTGTACGGTGCAAATATTTGTATTCACGGGTATGATTGTTTGTATCGGTCTGGGTGTTTTCTATGCATATTATGTATGTATACAAAAATATCAGTTGTCTAGTACCCATAACCCAAGCTCTGCTTACTGTGGGACTAGATGGCGCTGTTAGATAAAAGAAGTCTAAATTTAATTTGCTTTGGAACAGAATAGTGTATGTGACAAGAGCAGCCCCTGTAGTAGTACAGTGAGTGACTCGTCGGCGACGCTGGTGTGTACGCCGCGACGCGCACTCCTCATCAACCCACGTGACGCGCTCTACTCCTCCACTGACGACGATAGCTCCTGATCATTTGTACATGTTTATTTGTAAACTTTATGTATCAATAAACAATTTGTTTGTATTTTAGTTTTGAAATGTGTGTTACATTTTGGTTAGAGATCTGAACGACGAGAGAGTTGTGGCCTAGTCAGCGCTGGATTAGACTAGCTACAAGAGTAGCAAAGCTAAGACTCTGAATACAATACATAGAACTAGTTTAAAAAAGCTTTGACACAGAGGTCATAACAAAAACTTCTCAAAAAGAAAATAGACTAGAATTGAAATCCGGTTCCGCATTGGCTTAATTCGGCTCTGGGACTAATGGTTTACTACTCTGATTTGGACCACGAGATTGTAAGTTCAAATGGGTCTGACAAAAAAAAAATATCAATTTGTACTTTTTACATAAAATCGCTTTGATAAAACATCCTTGGTAACAATTCTTATTTATTGCGATTATTATGTATGAGTTATTTAACAGTTGCGTAAGTTGTTTTTGCAATTCGCAACTGATATTCCTAATTACAAACTGCAATGTTCAATATTTTCTAAACATTGTTAAATTAGTACTAACATAGAATATTATTCTATGGTATGTCATTGCATTTTGAATTTTAAATTTTAACATAGACCTTATAGAATTTCCTGATGATATCTCTGGCAACTTCTAAAACATTCCACCTAAGATAGAGCATAATAAATGCTTTTTAAAATAAAATTTCAATTGAAACCAGAAATACTACTTTGTGGATAAATAAAATAATTCATATTTATATAACTTTCTTATTTACAATACTCTAAAACTAGTACAAAACAATTATCTATAAGAGTTATAATTAAGCTAAGCTTTTTCCAGTTTTACATTTTTCTGCTGAATTTTCGCCAGCATCATCTTATCTTTAGCTTCTTTGCGAGCTTGCTTCTCAAGTTTCTTTTGTTCTTTCTCCCTCTTGGCCAACATTTCCTGGAACCTCTCATCTCGTGGGTCGAGTTTAAATCCAAAGTGTCTTCGTACCTCTTCAACGAGGCGTTCCTTCTTTGCCTGTAACATTACAATTAATATAAAACAAAAATGTTAAAAACACCAATATCTGAACAACTTAATTCTGGTGTAGTGTGATAACAAACCTTAGCAGCTTCCACTTCAGCTATCTTCTTTGCCAACTTATCATTAAGATCTTTCTTCCACTGTTCCAACTTCTCAAATTTGGTGGCTATATCTTTCTCCCTTTGTTCTATTTTTAACTGTTCCTCTCTTCTCTTCTGTGCTGCTGTCACCATCATCTCTTTGATTGTATATGGAAAGGCCACAGATTCATATTCTATTTTTTCTTGTATCTCATTCTTAGTGGGCCAACATAAACCTGCATGTCACAGAAATCATTATTTATATTGGACCTTAAGGTACAAGCATATAGATAAAACCAGTGATTTGATAGACTTATGGCTAAACACCTGCAACTGCTCAGTATATTTTAGATGACATAAGATTTACATCTAGAATACAAATTAGTTACTGCAAGTTATACAGCCCCTCAATATATAGTAAAAATGTATCGAATTTGTGTCTACTTTCTTACCTTAAAACTTTAATATCGACTTTAATATGATAGTGCTAATGTGGTTTTCTTATTTTTACAACATAGTGATTACCTGCTTGGTGAAATCAAATGGTACTGGCTTTTTATTAATAAAGATAAATATAAATTTCAAAGCTATTTGCAACAATGAAAGATAACTTACTTGGGTTGATACCGCTAGCACTTCCATATTTGCCATAAATCTTTCTATTGTATTTGACTGTGAGGTGTGCTAATGATTTAGGTGTGTCGTACGGCCGACGACCATTTATAAGGTTGTAATGCGCGTTAGATAGGCGAGATATGTTTCTTTTTTTCTCGATCTCGGCCTCTTTTGCCTGCACATCATCGGCGTCGTCGAACAAAACTTGATCGTTTTGTTCGATAACTTCAGGAGTTGTTGTGGAGAAACGAGATAAATTACTAACGAAATTGGTTCTTATAAATCTTGTAGTGACATATAAATTCATTATTAAATATTTATATTTTAATTCGACAAAATTATAATAATTTTAGGTTATCAATTATTGTTTTCACTTATAGTACTCATTATATGTCATTTCAGAGTTGTCACTCACTGTCTGCCACAGTGACATAACACCAATATCTTAGCGCTGTTTGCTGTCACTCTGTCTCTGTGATAGCACTGACTGACTCACTGACATTATCTCAGTAGGTCGTCACTGATACTGTGTTGAGTAGTATATTCTTTGGATAGGGTTTTCTAGTTTTGTATTTGATTTTGATTTACCTGTTAATAGTTAATTCTAAATTAATTTTAATGTGAAGAAATTCGAAGTAAATATAAGGATGTCTACACAAACGGTAAGAGATTTTATTATATTATTCCATATATATATCGCCGACAAAAAAAATTGTATACTATACATTGCAAAGTGAATCATAAAAATCGGTGCAGTACTCAATTTATTTCGTCCACATTTTAAAAAGAAAAAATTGTCCAATACAGATAATACTTTGTCTAAGGTAAATTAATTAAATAAAATATAAGCACAGCAGTAATATTTAATTTTATAAATATACACTACTTCTATATGTAGCATATTACGATTGTTATTACTATTGTAACTCTATCAGTCACCAGTAATTGTAATAATATCCTATATATAGTAGATAGAATATTTCTAATTAAACTTATTGAAATTGTTTCTAGGAATCATCACGAAAGCGGCATGTTATATGTATGGCATCTGATTTTTTTTATCCAAACACAGGGGGCGTCGAAGAGCATATCTATAATTTGTCACAATGCCTAATGAAGCGAGGCCATAAAGTCGTTGTCATCACACATACTTATGGTCAGAGAGTTGGTGTTCGGTATCTAACTGGTGGATTAAAAGTCTACCACATACCTCTCCTGGTTATGTATGCACAGTGTGCTCTACCTACCATGGTATGTAATATGGCTCTCATACGATACATTTTAATACGAGAATGTATAGAAATTGTACATGGTCACTCTGCTTTTAGTGTCTTGGGACATGAAGTATCAATCATAGGTAAATTGATGGGCTTAAAAACAGTATTTACAGACCATAGCTTGTTCGGTTTTGCTGACACATCAGCAGTATTGACAAATAAGTACCTACAAATGTGTTTATGTGAGTGTGACCACTGCATATGTGTGTCGCACACTGGCAAAGAAAATACAGTATTGAGAGCACATGTGAAAGCTTATAAGGTTTCTGTGATTCCTAATGCTGTTGATGCATATAATTTTACACCAGATCCAAGCCAAAGAGATCCTAATTTAATTACTATAGTTATTGTCTCAAGATTAGTGTACAGAAAAGGTGTAGATTTAATGGCAGCTGTAATAGCAGAAATGAGTCCAAAATATCCTAAAGTAAGGTTCATTATTGGGGGAGATGGACCAAAAATGTGGCTTTTACAAGAGGTTAGGGAGAAAATGGGACTTCAAGATAGTGTGACTTTACTAGGAAGTTTAAAGCATTCTGAAGTAAGGGATGTTCTTGTGAAGGGGGATATTTTTTTGAACACATCATTAACAGAGGCCTACTGCATGGCAATTGTTGAAGCAGCTGCTTGTGGGTTGAAAGTTGTGTCTACTAAAGTTGGTGGAATTCCTGAAGTATTGCCAGAGAGCATGATTTACTTGACAGAGCCTACTGTGGGTAGCTTGATTGAGGGAATTAAAAGTGCTATGAAAGATATAAGCGAAGGCAAAATCCTATGCCCTTACAAATGTAATAGTATGGTCAGAAGTATGTATAACTGGACAGATGTGACTAAGAGAACTGAACAAGTATATAATAAGATATCACAGAATAAAAATAACCCAATAGGGTATCAGTTAAAAAGCTATTTAAGAAGTGGTGTGTGGCCGTTTCTCTTACTTATAAGCTTAATGTATTTATGGTTAAAATTAATAGAAAAAATATATAAAAGGAAACACATTGACATTGCAAGGAATTTACAATTATAGTAAACCAAAGACAAATAATACACATTAAAATACTCTTTTTGGAATGTTTATTAAGCACTATGATGAAAATAAAAATGATTTATTCCAACTAGTCTTAAATATTAGCCATATTTTTTAACACTAATAAAATAAAAAGAAAATATTTAAACAGCGGTTACATTCCTCAATTACAGAACACATTACCTTGTAAGATTTGTTTGTAAATTATATTAAAATATTTTTATTACAGTTATACACATTATATAGGTGTTCTCTATGTGATTTTCTCTAAGACTGATGTTTATAGTATTACCATCTTCAATCGTTTATTCAAGCTCTGTAAAGTACAAAAATGTTATGTAAATAAAGTGTTTTGTTAAATTTATTAAATAATTATGTTTTATTTCTACTAAAAAAAGTTCATTTAATATATATTCCTTTTTAACCTGAATCAATAATATTGCCATATATTAATACAAATCAAAGTGTGACAGACGAACAAGAATACAAGTCCCCAACTGCATATCAACTAGCATTATATTCTATTATTTAGTTTCCATTGCATATATCTATACTTTATGTTATATATATTATCCAAGATATATATATATTTTAGTGGATATATAATCATGTAATTCCTATTATAGGAATTAGTACTTCATAGAGAATATTTAACAATCTTTACAAATGTTTATTATACAATATATTATTAAAATACCATAACTTACACTTTAGTGGTGCGTGGAGGATGTTTGGGTCTAACACCAGATTGTTTCAACTGCAGTACAATGGAGCGTAGACGCGCAACGTCGCGACCGCGTCTCGGCCCGAAATCACACAGTTCTGCTACACGGGTCCACTCATTGCCATCCTCGACGTTCCCTTCTGAACCACGAGCTAGAGCTCTCTCGGCATTCCTATATAGTGAATGATGTTAGGAATGAAGGTACAGAATTGTTAAAAGATCACTTTTACCATTTTGATGTATTGATTCCAGAAATTAAAATGAACAAAATTTCATGTGCTTTATATTGAAATGGGTATCACATCACACCTCACACATCATAGTATTAAAATGTTAAAGTCTGAAGTATTATTACTGGTGCTTCCTCAATCCTTTATGGGACATGTTTGTCTTTCAGTTGTAAATGTTATTGTAATATATTATATAATGTTATGTCAAAACCTGATGAAAACTTAATAATGTAGGTGATCACCAGATTCACCAAATCATTCATGAATGGCAGTCCACTGATAGTTTATTAACCTGGGAACTATTTAATATAAATTCCAATACCAATACCAAATCAAAATGATACATTAAAAATGGAATAAAAGTAAATAAAAAACTCAACACATCCTTCACCAACAAAAACAACCATTAGTCCAAAATACTGTCTTATCACTTAAATACTCACTTAGCAGACTCCCTGAGAGTTTGAAAAGAAAATAGAGCAAAATTAATTTAAGTAATAGAATAGAGGATGCTAGGAATATACTAGTTGTTAAATGTATTAAATATATTAAAGACATCTAAAGAATTACAATCAGAATCATGATAATATACTATATACTTACAACATGTACATAAGAATAACCCTGGATGATTCACACAGCCCCATATATAACAAAATTCCAAGCTAAGCAGAGCTTGTGTAATGGTTCTAGACAACTGATAGAAATACTTAAATACTTACACAAGATACATAGAAAATTGACCAAATCAATACAAATAATCATATTCATGAAAATATTTTCATTGTGTGAAGAATTTAATCCGCAATCAAAGGAAGTAAGGTTTATAGTATAGTCCAAAGAAATATAGTCCTTTACTAGTTTTAGTTTAGTTAAGGTTAAATTTACTAATGGGTTGCAAATATACAATTAGAAATAGATCTGTAAGAAGACTGACATCAATGCCTTGTCTTTATCTCATTATCTTTACTTAATGCAGTGATTTCTTCCTCTGGGTTATCTTTTCTTCCTATCATTTATCATACAGTCTGTTCCCCTTACTTTTCTTAATTCATCCTCTCCCTTTATATACATACCACATGGAAATAAATTAAATAATTTTCCCATTACCTGTTAGCTGCCTTAGTCTTTGCTATTTGTTCTTCATGCGTCTTATACCAATCTTCAAGCTCTTTCTTTGCCACCTTCAGCATTTCTTCCTTCTTTTTTTCTTCTTCAGCATCTAAGTTATGAAATAATTATTAATGTAGGTAGATTAAAATAAAAATTAACAAATAGAAAACACTGATTTGCACTTAAATCAACAATATGTGTATGTTTTAATGTTCTCATTTTACCTTTCTCTTCTAATCTCTTTTTCTGTTCCTCTCGCCAAATTTTTATTTTTTCGGGCTCTTCTCTTTCTTGTCTGAAGGTTGGTACAGGTGTAGGTTCTTCATCCAACAGACCATTTGAGTCGAATGCGGCAGCACTTGGTACTTCTACATATTTTAATATGTAATAAAAAAAAATTACTGATAGTATTCTCATAGTCATACGGCAGGTAAAATACATTAATGAATGACACATCACTTTCCAATTGTTACTTTACTATACAGATATATTTGAAAGAAAAATATATATTTTACGTTATACAAACCTACGAAATCATCCAGGCCGTTTGCGCTGGACGTAACAATAGGGGGCGGAGCACTAGTTTCCAACTCATCTTCGAGACCTGCTAGCTGATTTTGTTCACGAGCTAAGAACTCTGCTGCCGGATCTACTTCTATTTCGGGCTGTACAAAACTATCTCCGAAATCATCCATTTTAAGAATCTGGAGTTAAGCAGAATTTGTAATTATGAAATGAATAATACAAAGAAGGGAAAACTATACTGGTAAACAGAGACGAAAGTGGATGCACTAAGCATAGAAAATAAGAAATTTGACAATTAAAATGACTACACTGTTAGTTCGGATACACACACTTGCTTCAATCTTTAAGCTATTAATAACAGTTTACAAATGGCAACATTTTATATTAAAAGTACTGTACTCTATGCAATACATTCTACTCTATGAAATTTATCAAAAGTCAAAACATATTTTAGGTTATGTTGTGTATTTACCATATATTATAGTACTTTTACTATTATATTTTTTTTTGAAAATTATGGACGAAGAACAGAAAGCTGAAAGAAAGCGAAAGCGATTTTCTGCACGCCTTAAAAGTTCAAAAGGCATCGTTTGCACTGAAACACCTGGACCTGTAAAAATCTGATTAATATTGGTTATTTATATTATGTTATAATGTAAAGTTAACCTTTAAAACTGGAATGTACCTAATTATACAAAATACCCAATTAAACAAATCTACGTATAGTTAATTTAATTTCTAGAAACATTACTCTAATGAACTGTATAACTTTATAAGATTGTTGAGTTGAGTGTATTTTCCTCTAATTTCAGAATATAATACTATGTAATTCTGGCCAAGCCACTGGATTGGAAAAATCATTCATAACTAAACTCATAAAAGATTTGCCACATACTATAGAAGTTCCTAAGTTAATAGCAGAGAAGGGAGAGTCATACTCATATTTAGTGTTCAGTACAACTGAAACTGCTGTTACATTTTTTAATGCTTGCAATGGTATAGCCAAAATTGATTCAAATGGCACGCCTCTCTATATGAGTTTTATTGAAAATGGTAAAACTGGGTTCTGAACTATTAATAATGTTTTAAGTGATCAATGCCTATATACATGAACAGGTCTTAGCACCTGACAATAGCCCAAAATCCCAAATAAAAAGGGTGATGAAGGTGTACACTGTACAATTTTTTTCATGTATACAAATAAAGTTTAGAAAAAAAATTAATAAATTTTAATTCCACACAATGTTGTGGGTAACAACTATTTTATACATATAGCATTTGATTTGAAAGTGTATATTTCACTAATATCTTTACTCTTACATGTTTGTAATTTGAAAATTTATCTATTTAATGGACCAAATGAAAAGATAAATGCAACAGAGTCCAACTTACATGTTTTATTTACATTTATCTATATCTATATTTTTCCTACAATCTATCTATTGATATATTTCAGTACCTAGTAATGAGTTTATATGTCACCATGATAACCCACAAGGTCTATATCTGTTAGACAACTTCATATCTATAGACGAAGAAGAACTCTTGACAAAATATTTTGATTGGGAGGAGGATGAATCTGGCAATCTAAAGAACCGTCAAGTGAAGCATTATGGATATGAGTTCAGATATGGTACCAATGATGTTGACCTCAACTGCCCCTTGCCCGAGAAGGTGCCGGAAGTGTGCAATGTTCTTTGGAGGCGGCTGAAGGAACATGGATTTGATGTTGGAGTACCTGATCAATTAACGGTTAATAAATACAAGCCTGGACAAGGTAATTTATTCATTGAGGTCTGTGAATAAAGAGGACATTTATTTAAAAAATTAGAAAATCACTATATTTTATCACAGATTCTGAGATGATATTAGAATGGGCACACACTTCTAAAAGTCTTTTTGACAAATTTTTGTATCAATCTGACAATTCACACAACATCATAGTCCCAAGCTGTACAGTGCTGATATTATGGGTGCTAGGCTACTGATTTAAATAATTCAATTATATTAAATTACTTAAATTAGTAAACATTTTGTACACAAAAAACCCGCAGATCACTAATACAAATGTTTGTACCCTGAGAGGAATTAAACCTGCGACCATGGAAAATGGAGCGGTGTGCTAAACCGCTAGACCACTGAGGCTGTTAATTTAATTAATTCAGGATTTCATAAACTAAATGTTATAAAACCTCCTTTAGAAAAATAGATTATTTTTAATAATTGCAAGTTTGATCTTGATCATAATCTATGATCCTGGCTGACCATAAAAAGACCTACATAAATCTCCCTACTATACTTCAGGTATACCATCACATGTGGATACTCATAGTCCATTTGGTGAAACAATACTGTCACTCTCACTCGGCTCTGCAGTAGTGATGGATTGGAGACATCACAGCGGGAAGGCTGTGCCTATATTAGTGGATCGAAGATGCTTATTGATAATGCAGGATGACGCCAGGTAATAGATATTTAAATAGTCTCGTGAGACTACGGTCTGGGGTTTTTCAAAAAGCTTATATTAAGGGCATAGCAGATATGCATATGTGACACTCCTGGTGTTTCAGGCGTCTGTAGGCTATGCTATCCGTTTACCATTAGCTGAGCCGTATGCTTGTTTACCATTAGCTGGTCCATATGCTTGTTTACCATCAGCTGGGCCGGATGCTTGTTTACCATCAGCTGGGCCGTATGCTTGTTTGTCATCATCATAGTATATAAAAAAAATGTTGATAATTTTCTTTATAAGTTGCTATGTTTACCATTTATCTGAAGGTTTCCGGATGCCTTGTTTACATGGTACATCAGCTGGCGACCGTCCACATTATTAACGTTCTTCAGTATAATTCTGTTCTGTTACATTTTTGGTGGATCAAATAGTTAATATATAAATTCAATAAAATTGTAAATTCTTGACAGGTATGACTGGCAACATGGCATCCAACCCCGCACATGGGATCCTATAATCGAATCACGATCAATACAAACAGGAAATAATAGCAGACTTGTCAAAGTTATCACTAATGATACGGTGCCCAGACAAACCAGGATATCTCTGACATTCCGATGGACCAGATCCGGACCATGCCAGTGTAGCTATAAGATGTTATGTGACAGTGCTGAGAAAGTCAATTCTAATGATATTGGTAATGAATTGGCATCAAATTTAGAAGAATTGCATGTACACAAGGTAAATAGCGTATATGTAATTATTTATTTGGCCTGTCTTAGGACAAGCTGATGAACCTAGGCAGTGAAATTATAAATAAACAAAACCAACTCTATCTTTACCATCTATAGGCTATAAATAAATAAAAAATATTTTGTACATTTTTACATAGACAAAAACCTCTGTATTAAGCTCAAGGCACTTGTGCCACTTGCCCACTCATGATATACGAAATATCTCCTTTGGAAAATATACACTCTATCTTGAGTTATTAAAAACATTGCTCCCAAGAATATCCTTCAATTATTCTCGCTTACGGTAGCAAAATCTATTGTTTTAGAATTTCAGTATATATATACTGAAATTATAAAATAGTAGATTTTAATGTTTCCAATAAGAATTGCGCTTTGATTTTTAGTTGTTCATACACATAAATCAGAGAGATTAGGAATGGAGTATCATCAACACTACAAACCTTATATATTTCTTCTACATTTTTACTTCTCATACAATCAGAATCCTGATAGAAAATCATTATTGGCTATTGATCTGCAGGTGTATGAAGAAATAGCCAGCCACTTCAGCACGACGCGGCACAAGCCGTGGCCGAAAGTGGTGGAGTTTGTGGAGGGGCTGGCCCCAGGGTCTGTTCTGCTCGACCTCGGTGCCGGTAACGGGAAGAATATCATGCGGAGATCTGATATCTTGCAGGTATAATGCAGAAATTCGATTTAAATGGAGGCTTTAACAGAATCTTTATACTTTTATTATAATTGGAATAATCATAATAATATTATAATATCCCACACGGCGCTATCTAGTCTACATACATAATATAAAAAAAAACATCCTTACAATCCAGATCGATACAAACAATCATACTCATGAATACAAATGTCTGTATTGTGTGAGGAATCGAACCTGCTATCGCCGTAAACGCCACTATCGAATGAAGCGGTGTGCTAAACCGCTAGACCACCGAGGCCGTTAAATGGTAAATAAGCTAACGGCTCACCTGATGGTAACCGCCTCTATACATGAACATCATTACGTCACCATGTGGCGCCCTTGCTATCCCTCATTCATAGCAATTAGTATATGTAGTAATAAGATATCGAGTCTTTACCCTGTAATTTCACTGCCCACAGCTTACTTAAGCTGATTGGCGGATGAAATAGGTGAGACAGAGGTACCTACGCGACGTCGTTGACAAAGAGATGTCAAAATACGCAATATAGTTTAGTTTTTGCGAATTTATGTAGGATTTGGTGGGAGCAAATAATAGCTTTGCTTCTGACTGCAAAACCTTCCATTCATTTCTCTGTCCCTACTTTATTATTTTACATTTGATTTCCTTCTTTTGATTTTCCCGCTTGCTTTCTCTTTCTTACACACATCTATGTTTCCCTTACACGCAACATTCCACATTTATGTTTAAAATTTATTAACGGTAAATCCAGTATATTATTTAAAATTTTTATACCTATTCCTATAAAATCCACATTTATGAATTAAAAAGAAACTGTCTTGTTACAGATAGCTGGCGAGCGTAGTAGTGGTCTTCTTCATGAATGCAAGCAATATGTACAAAATGTTCCCGGAGCAGACTGTTTACGTCTCGACTTGCTGTACCCCGGGTTGAAGCATTCTTGCGCCGATGTCATTATATGTATAGCCGTTATTCACCATTTTAGTAGCAAAGTAAGTCTTTACGGTTTGCGTTTATCCGGCTCGAAGGACCAAAATAATGACAAAGAGTAACCTATAGTTATGGCCATCACTTGTCTAGTATCTATAACACAAGCTTTGCTTTACTTGGGACTGATGGCGCTGTGTGAATTGTCCAACATTATTATTATTATTATGTTGTAGTTAGCAATTCGTAGTATGTCCCTCGTTACCTCGTACAAATTGGATAATTTAAGTTGTGCCTTACATTTTGTTTTTAGACGAGGAGAGTGCAAGCAATTTCTGCTATATCAAATCTCCTTCGACCGGGCGGTCGGGCGCTCATCACCGTATGGGCCAAAGACCAAACGAAATCAAATTACCTCTGCAAGTCCAAACTCAATAAAACAGAGAACGAGCACCATGTCACTGTTGGTGGTTTAAACTTACCCATCCATGAGAACCGAACTCAGTTCCAACACAACGACCTACTAGTACCGTGGAAATTAAGACATAAACATGACAACAAACTGTCAGACAAGCCGGAAAGCACACTGTTAAGATATTACCACGTGTTCGAAGAAAATGAATTAAGAGACTTGTGCGAAGAAGTGCCTCAATTGAGTGTAGTCAGTAGTTTTTATGAGGAAGGCAATTGGTGTGTTATATGTGAAAAAATATAGACAGTAAAAACGTGTTATTCTTTATTTTTTTAATTGAAAATATACAATTGATCTACAAAATTAAAAAAAGACGACTATAAAAATTCTATACAAAACAATGTGTACAACAATGATCATTATAAGCCTGCGCATACGCATACGCACTAATACTGAATGACTTTCTTTACCGTACGCAAAAAATGTTGAATAAGAGATACACTAGGGTTATAATAATAACTTTGAAATCGTTATTTTATTAGCAGCAAGTTATTTCATTATTTAAACAGTTCTTAATTTTAAAAAATGATAAGGGTATTACTTATTTCCACACCGGATTTTAATGCAATAGATTGAGAGAAACAAGAGGAAGGTTTATATGCATAATACGTGTACCTAACCTTGCAAAGCCGGGGCGGTTCGCTAATTAAATATTTAAATAATATATATTCTTTACTTCCTCCAAAGAGCAATAAAAATATCCGTTGTATATGCAATTATATCTGCATAACTGCTGTATTTCTACTGGGCGAGTTATATCCATTTGCCCTAATGTGAAATGATGTTTGCAAAAATTCACCGGTCGGACCAATATGGCGCACTTTTTCAACTTATTTATGAAGATATTTAATATATATATTCATATGTACAGGTATAAATATATAAAAATATAAATGTATAAAGTTAATAATGTGATTAAATAACAAGATTGTATTTATTTTATATGACTAAGATGGCGATTAATAAAGTTGGAGTAAAATTTATATAAAGTAATATAATTTGTCTATGGAAAAAATAAAGATGGACGTCTGAATAATAGTTGTCTCTGACAAAGTTCGTGATAACATTTTATAATTTCTTTATGATGGTTTTAGTATTTTATTGATCATATAACAAGTATATAAAAAATATTGGGGTATTTACATTATTGGGGTATTTTACATATTGTAGCTTAGTATTTATAGTTATTGGTAAGTAGGTATAACATATTTATCAATTAGTACCTGCACCAAGACCGGACCTAACATACAGAGAGCATCCGAGTAATCAACCAATCTCACTAATATTATACACGCGAAAGTTTGTGTTTCTGGATGGATGGATGTTTGTTATTCTTTAACTCAAACTTACTAAATGGATTTTCATGTACTTTTACTATAATATAGTTTACACATCATAATAACAAATAGCCTATAAATTTCACGCGTGTGAAACCGTTATAAACTAGCGTGTTACTACTGAACTATTTGCCTTGATATTACAAAATCCATTTACTGACATCAAACAGGCTTCTACACTAAAATACTAACTGTGGTGCCTGTCTTTAACAACATTACTTTTTATCTAGGATCTACCTCGACCGTGTAATGGTTTAACGCGAAAGTTTGTGAGTATGGATGGATGTTTTTACTTTTTCACGCAAAAACTACTGAACAGATTTTAATGAAACTTTACAGTAATATAGCTTATACATCAGAATAACACATAGGCTATAATTGAAAAAGATTATGTAATTAGATCGAAATCTAATGTCAAGTAAGTGTGATGAAGTTGACGAAGTTACGAGGGTCAGCTAGTCTTATAATTATTATTAATATTATAAATGCGAAAGTTTGTGAGTATAGATGGATGTTTGTTACTCTTTCACGCAAAAACTACTGAACGGATTTTGATGAATCTTTACAGCAAAATAGCTTATATATCAGAATAACATGTAGGCTATATATTTCACTCGGGTGAAATCGGGGACACAGCTAGTAGGCTATTTTATTTAAAATATATTATGTAATTTTGGCGAAATATAATGATAAATGTCATGCAGACGAAGTTGCGAGGATCAGCTAGTTATCTGAAAATCTGTGGAGACGAACTATGGTTTCATTAACGCTAACTGTAACAAAGGTATTACAGATATAGTGGATAGATCCGCTAGGACCGCATCTACATTCTGTAGCGTGTTCACTTGGAAAATATTCTCTTTCCTGAAGCTTAGTATCGCTAGAGCCAGCAGTGGTAGGATTTCTAGACAATCGTAGCCGAGGATGGCGTCCCAGAGTAACAGCAACTGGTCTGGAGGTAGGTGACCGCTAAACGCTCTCATTAACCATTTGAAGACCACTCTGATACTGAAAGTGTTGGTTTTAGTAGTATTAGTAGGTTTTTAATATTTTAGCGATTTTAAAAATCTATAATTGTACAGAAAGCTTTGTTTTTAGAGAGTATAATTATACTGCAACATTTTGGATTATAGAAATAAACATTTCCTATAAAAATAAATAGAATAACGCTTAATATGTTGTACAAAAAAAAGGTTGTCTTTGTACGATGTAATTTTAAGAAATTTGTTCTTACTATAGATTATTGAAAATTTAGGTAGCAGTCATACTAGACTGCTTCTCTAGTACTGCTTCTCTTTTCTGCTTAGTTCAACTTCTCTTTATCAATCTAGATGGCGCTGTGTGAAGTGTTTTAACTATTTACTCATGACATTTGCTCTATACTCACGGATTGATGTTAATATTTCTAAAATGAATCCAAAGTAAAGGCTCGTTCGCTTCTAGAAGTCTCTCGTACAGCAGACACAAAGAAACAATACCCTGAAATGTAAATATAATTAAACCACAGATCTCTGTCCATTGGAGATTAAATCATAGAATCCGTTCAGTTTTGGTGATTAAACAAAATAATAAACGCGTTTCGACCATCGATTAAAAAAAAGTTTACTTATTAATTTTGCATTTTATTTTTATTCTAATATATTGTGTTGTTCACTATTGCTGCATTGTGATATTTGTTGTAATACATTCTATTTGAAGGCCCGGTGCTTTAGCGGTTTCGATTCCTCGCACGGCACAAACATTTTCTTCATGATTATGATTGTTTGTATTGGTCTGGGTGTTTTCTATGCCAATTAGGTATGTATGTATGCACAAAAAAAGAGTCTGTGTGTTTATATCAGTTGTCTAGTACCCATAACACAAGCTCTGCTTCATTTGGAACTAGATGGCGCTGTGTGCATTGACCTAAAATATTATTATTACTGTATTTTAATATAAGTACCTGTGGATGTGTGGATATATAATGTAGACGATGCCAATACCGTATGTAAAATGCTCGAAAAGTGTAATACAGCTGAGCTGGATCGTCATACAGGTAGCAGAAGGGTGTAGCTATAAGGAATAATGTTTTTAATTATACAAGCTGGTATTCAATCAATTAAATAATAGTACGCGTAGGTACACCATATAGGTTTATTTCGTTTGTTATCGATGTTTAATCAATAGAGAATTAATCAAGAATAAATTCACAAAGTTTTTGGTGACGGTAAGATTCGAACACACGACCGTTTTAAATCCCATTTGTATAATTTTCGTGTGCCTAGCTCAAACCAGATAATTAGGAAGTGAGAGTGAAAACTACGAAAGGCGAATGAAAGTCCCGTCAAAATTGATCCAGCCGATTAAGGGATTAGGAAGAACAAACAGAGCGATTACTTAAATATAAAAAAAGTACCGTACTTAGATATATGTGCACTTTTATATGCATTTAGTGAAGAGCTGTTAATTTGAAATTACAAACGTACACTTCAATTCTATTTATTGGTACAGATTTTCCACTTTGGGAAAGTCGTTATATTGTAGAAATATTTCCAATGGCATTTCGCTTAATTTTATAGTGGAGTTACACAGTAGCCTATAGATACTAGCTAATGATCGTATTTTCCACTTTGATAAAGTCATTATTTTTTTAAAAACAGTAGGTACCATTGACATTTCGCATAATGTTACGGTAGAATTACACAGTAGCCTGTACTACCTTCAGAACGTATTTTCTGAGTACGTGTTTCTTACCATACATGGTGAAGCCGTGGAAAGGTATGATACCGCTGGGCGGGAACACAGTGACGCTCTCCGCTGATGTCTGCTTCCCTTTGATGGTGACAGTCAATGGATTGCCAGTACTACCCTTCAGAAGTTGCATCACTTCACAGTCCCTTGAGAAACATAACATAACCTGAAAAACGGTTAAACATTATTTAAATTAATATGTGTCTAATTGCAAAAGTGAAAATTTCTTCAAAATGTGACTTAATAACAACTGCTTTATATTAAAGTATGTAATATTATATTATCTTTGAAACCAATATATAATTTATAAGATCTTTAGTGTAGGTATAAAGTCAAGAGTTAATTAGCACTATTTGAGCTTGCATGTAACGGTGTCAAATGTGGTTAAATTTAGAAATAACAAATAAAAACCAAGCCGCAGTACATATAATGTATGGATATAGATATATATATATATATATATATATATTTAAGTCTACCGCAAGTTTCCGGTTTCAGTAAATGCAATTTCGGTAGAAATCACCTATAAAACCAACTAATGGTTGCACATGAGAGTATATTTTTTATTTCTATCAGGAATAATTATCATTTGAGATCTTTGATGTTTAGCACACCTACAAAAGGTCGCGGGATCGATTCCTGCACAATTCAAACATTTGTATACACGAGTCTGATTATTTGTATTGGCCTGGATGTTTTCTATTAATATTATTTACTTATATATTTACAAAAAAATTATGTAAGTATTTCTTTCAGTTCCTTAGTATTGTACAAGCTCTGCTTAGTTTGGGACTGTTGACACTGTGCCAATTCTCCTGGATATAGAAACAAGAAATTTGATTTCACCTGATACAATAAATCTTCAAAAACAAAATACTGGTCATCATTGGATGCTGTTAGTTGCACATCTTTAAATATTAATTTGTCTATCATTAAGTCTACTTCCAACACACTCTTCTTTAATTGATTAAAATATGTTGTTTGCTGAAAAGTAAAAATGCAATTAATATCGACTATTACCATTACAATGTATAGGTATGAAAATATTATATTCAGAAACATTATGTTAGTTTCAGCATCGGGTCTTCATTTTTTTCCAGGCGGAGGAAAAACTAAAAAATGCCGCCCTCCGGCCAACATTTTACAGTATACATTTGAATAAAATTAAATTTAATAATTTGTCCAATTAGTACTGCTGTTCATTATTGTATTGCAACATTTTGAAATACATTGAACACAAATAATTTACTCGACGTCAAGGTCAAGATGTCAAAGATGACGAGATGTGTATTCATCTGCAAAGTTCGAATTTGCCGCCCCTAGAACACACCGCCCGGGGTATGGGCCCCGTGTGCCACCTTAGATCCGCGGCTGGTTTGATTATAAAAATATTTTTTGTAAATAAACTCAAAAAATACTTGTATGATTATAAATATCCTTTCGATATAGCTAGTGTATAATACAATTAGCGAATATATCCATTTCCAGAAAATTCTGATAGTAAACGAATGGAAATCAATCTAAATATATATAACTCAAAGGTGATTGACATAGTGATCTATCAACGCACAGCCCAAACCACTGGACGGATTGGGCTGAAATTTGGCATGCAGGTAGATCTTATGACGTATGCATCCGTTAAGAAAGGATTTTGATTAATTCTACCCCCAAGGGGTAAAATAGGGGATGAAAGTTTGTATGAAAACTTGTCAATTTTAAACCGATCGGGCTGAGACTTTGCATGCATAAAGCTACTATGACGTAGGCATCCCCATAGAAAGGATTTTGATAAATTCCACCCCTAAGGGGATAAATTAACGCGAGCGAAGCCGCGGGCAAAAGCTAGTTGAAAATATATAGGTCTAAAACTCACTTGTGATTTTACATCAGCGCCCAGCACTTGTGACCAAAGTTTGGCGCGCAAACACTGCGGACTACCTCTCTTTAGATATTCTTGTATAACGGGAGCGTATCCGAGTGCTGCTACTCTCTCGCCCAGGCCTATACGTTCTGCCTCCAGTGTTGCAAACCCTGGTACGGTGCTGGGAATAACTGGATTTACGCCTAACAACGGTTCGCCGTTAGACCATTCTAAATATACTTTCCGCTGAAATTATAATATGAACAACTTACTCCTGTTATTACTGAATCTAAGTAATGGAACATCAATATGAAATCAAATTGGGGGATTGGGATTGTTAGTTAGTAATGTACGACGTCAGGTTGACCTCGACATGTTCCGCCCTGGAAACCGTTGTGATAAATTCCTGATAAATTTGTCGCGATCGGCCAACTGACCTGATCTCATGGTCATGCTATCATCTTCCACTGGTGCCCCGCCAGCGTAAACCGTCAGCGCAGGCGGGTACACCATTCCATTACCATTAATTAAAAAAATCAAATCATAATATCTACCGACAGGGTAGATTTGACACATCATAAGAGTCTGTAATGGACCTACATAAATGAAGATTTTTGTCGGAGTGCTTTCGAGCTAAGAAGAAGTGACAAGAATCTCAGATCTTATTCTTTTCAAATGACCTTGTATGTGATTATAAAAATACAAATTCATTTTTAAATTAAATCAGGGATTAATTAATATGCCATTGCATTTTTGTCAAAAAATTAAATTAATCAATATCCGCAACCCGAACAGATCTGTCCCCATAAGCAGCACTCGTTCACGAGTATGACGAATATTTATATCATGGGCGAATATTTTCTGTTATATAATAATACTAACATTCACTACTAACTTTAAGTGAATGCTTATTTTATTCTTTATGACAGACATGATCCTTCGAGCCGGATAAGTAATTATGTATACTATGGCTAAATATCTAACACGCTACGATAATACGCATTAAATTGATTTTGCTTACCAATTGATCTAATGTCTTAACTTGTAAGGGTAAATGCGCAAACTCCCACTTGGGTTCGTCTCTAGAACAGTCATAAAAAAGTATTTATTATGTATACCTACCCTTATATAATAAAATATACAATAAGAAAGTGTAATATTTTAACTTACTCTCTGGTATAAGGTACATATCCAGATAAGGTTAATAATACTTCCAAAAAATCTTTTGGTGCATAAACTGGCCTATATTTTGATAAATCTGAAATTAAATTTTAATGGCACGGTAAGTTTAAGTTTATGTGTTAAGTACATGATTAAAAGACACGCACGTACCTAAATTACAAGTGCTAAGTTCATTCCATTTATCAGCCAACTCTTCTTGCTCACTTTGTAGTCTAATTTTTGCTAAAGAAGTCTCAAGGTCTGAGCACATCGAATTTAGTGATTTATGAATTCTTTTTTCCCATTGTGCACTTGCCTTTAGTAAAGATGTTAGTGGATCTAATTTCTAAAAAAATATATACTGAGAATGGAAATGTAATTAATTTGAAAATAGAAATGGAATAAATTTACTTACACCTTGCTTGCTCTGTGTTCGTACCCAATGAAATACTGTATTTCTAAGTTTTGTATCTAAACCCTTTTCTTTCATAGCTTGCTGTAACGTTTGTTTAAACTCTTCTTTTTTTACATTTGGAGATGAAACTAGTTTCTACAAAATTAAAGGTTTTGGTATTATGTAATATGGACCTCAGTAGGTATATGTTCATCTTTGGTGTGTCTCAGAATTTACTCAAGTCATACCTGAACATCGCTGTAAAATGATTTATATATGGATAGGTTTTTTATTTCTTCTGCTAATTTGAGAGCTGTATGATGTATAGCTTCCTCTTTTATGCCTTCCATAATGTCTAGTTAACAAAATATCTATTAAAATTTTTGAATTATATTATCAGACAAGAGTGTGTTTATTTTTTTGAGTAATCATACTTCAAAATGTGAAGTGATGCTGTTGCTTAGGTTACTGATAAACAGGAAAATCAACAACTGATAATAGAAAGTGATATAAAATTTCAAAAGGTATCCACGGGGATTTTTATACATTATATTAATGTACACCTCCTCTAGATAGGTACTTTCATGTTATAGCTCTATTTTACAATAAAGTTTTTATAGCTGTTTGTTTTAATTCATTCGTTTGGTTTCTGTTAAAAAAAAACAGTTGCGTAGATTTTACACACATGAAATGATCAGCTGTGAACAAGTTGAGTTCTTATGTATATTTATTTATTATGTTTTCATTCGTGTTCAAAATTTAAGTCTTATCTGTCCATATCCTTGTATCAATTATTTAAAGTTTCATCGATATCGAGGTAACGTATAAATATATAGGTATATATGTTGTTAGCATGTCTTGGATGTCGCGCGGGATTTTTTCCGGTTTCTTGTAAATGTTCAGTAAATTATCAATAAAGACCAAGCGTTGAATATTATAAGCAGAACATTCGAAAAATATAATTGCACTCTTGACATGCATTTGAATCAATTATTTTCATTCGGCATTGACTATTTTATGACAATATATCTAGATTTAGTGATAATTTTTTTGTTAATACAAACCAATTATAATAGGTACTGTAATTAGTTTTATTTTTTTATTTTGAATTGTTTATTTATTATAAACAATTCAAACGGATATAATATGTAATAATGTAAAGTAATATGATCCTATTTGAAATATGTACAATTAACCATTTTTGCAATTGCCCCTATCATCTTTTATATAACAAAGTATTTAAAATAGGATTCTTGAAAAAATACTAAATTTATGTATTCTAGTTCCATGACCGGTTCGATACGATATAGAGGCATAGGTCTGTAAATATCTTGATGAGTTGAAAATGTCAAGATGGTAACTCAGAGTCAATTACAATATTATATTTGGACAAATGGTTGACTGCTACTGTGATTTATTTGTTGTTGTAATTTTTACTGTTTTGAAAACAAAGAAACGAAATAAAATGGGTAAAATATTTCTCGACCACATCGGTGGGACCCGTCTGTTTTGCTGCGCAGCCTGCGAGGTGAACCTCACTAATCGCGCTGAATTGATCAGCACAAGATTTACTGGAGCTACAGGTAAACGTCTTGTAATTTCCTTGACCTTAAGCCATATACTTAATTTAGCATTTACTACGATTTTAGTACCAATCTATTGTATCTACATGCTTGTAATTTCAATAATAATTCGTCATATCATCAACACATGACACTGTTTGACTTAAATTGATTTATTTAAGTAAATCTATTTTGGTCAGGCCCCATATAAGAATTTTAAGGATGTCAATATATTAATATAAAAATATAAATTTACCAAAATTAAGTCGGAATTGTATAACTAATCAAATTTAATAATAAAATAATAAATTAGTTATATAATAAATTAATAAAAATAAATACTAAATCATACTGTTTTTTAGGTTTGAGTGAATATATACATTGGCAAATATCAGGTGTAATTTTTAAAATTAACATATGCTTCTGTTTACCAGAGTTATCTACTGCAACCTTTTTGATTCCTATCCTCAAAAGTTTCAGCTCTGTCATATACTAAATAGTATGAATTATGAGTATAATTATCATCATTATTTGCTTTGCCTTTATTAAATTATGAATGATGGGTATTATATGTATAATTCACAGGGCGAGCTTTCCTGTTCCATAAAGTAGTGAACCTAGTATATTCAGAAGTCCAAGACATTCAAGTGTGATGTTGACTGGCATTAAAATCACCACACATGGTCAGAATATGTTACTGAATTTATTTTTGTTAAAACAAGAACTTATGGGCTATAAAAACTAACAACTGACATTTCTGTGTTTTTATATTTTAATCGTCTACTGTAAGGAATCATCACTATATGCAATTTTACTGAATTCTATAGTTTTAGAACTAAAATCAAAGGTGTGCATTGCCTGAGTCTTTAAAAAAAGCCTTTAATATTTAATACATTTAACTTTTTTTCTCCAAGAAAATGAAAGATTTGTTGATATATCTTATATTGTTAAAGAAATAAAAAATTAAAGAAAGTAGTGTCCTTTTTTTATATTTTCTTTACATTTTTAATATAATTTTAAAATTTCTCCTATCAATATGTGTTAAGATACATTGCTAATTGAGGAAATGATTTCTCTCTAACAATATCAGTTATTTTCTTAATTTCTTTATATTTTTTTAATAAATTAAAATAAAATTAAATAATTTATTGATTGAATTTGATTAAGTGACAACAACAACAGTGTTTAAGTACAACAAAGAAATACATGAATAATATGTTGATGATTATATGGATAATTATATATAGTAACTAGTTACTTCCGTGGCTGAAGCAAAATTTAAATCCGTTGTTTTTTATTAACTAAGCCTTGAAATAAAATAAAAAAAAATAATTGCTTAACTCCTTTATTATATTTTTTCAAATTAGTAGCTAAGGACTACCCTATAACATTTATCTGTACTCTCCATAAATACAATGTATTCAAAGGGATGAAAAGAATCTGATTTGAAATTTATACTTATCCACATCCTCAGTGCCGATTCTCAGACCTACTCAATCATCCGATATTTCCTCTTTCTTTTTTCGCTTCTTCCCGCTCCTCTTCGTCATCTTTACTAAAATTTAATGAGAATTTTTTCACAGTCAATTTTACACACATGAAATGATCAGCTGTTGTTGGAGTATGGAAACTGCATCAAATTCTGTAACGTTTAAGCATTGACATAAAATATAATGGATACGTTTATTATATTTTATGACAATATATTAGTTTATAATTTGAATACAACAGCAAATAATAGGTACTGTAATTAGTTTTATTTTTTTATTTTGAATTGTTTATTTATTATAAACAATTCAAACGGATATAATATGTAATAATGTAAAGTAATATGATCCTATTTGAAATATGTAAAATAACTATTACATATTTAATACATATTTAATAGGTACTTGACTAAATTTATGGCCTTTCGCCGATATTATTATTAAGATTTAATACTGACACTTTTTTTATTTGTTGTTGTAATTTTTACAGATATAAAGACCAGGCCGCGTCATTCTCGCGCTGAATTGATCAGCACAAGATTTACTCTACAGTAAACGTATCGAAAGTATACTTAATTTAGATGGCAATTGAAGAATTTCATAATAATTCGTCATGAATACTTAAATTGATTTATTTAAGTAAATCTGAAGAATGATTTATATTAATATAAAAATATAAATTTACGAATTGTATAAATTTAATAATAAAATAATAAATTAGTTATATAATAAATTAATAAAAATAAATACTAAATCATACTGTTTTTTAGGTTTGAGTGAATATATACATGGCAAATATCAGGTGTAATTTACTGCTTCGTGTTGTACCAAGATATTTTGTAAATAGTATTTTGTATAATTATCATCATTATTTGCTTTGCCTTTATTAAATTATGAATGATGGGTATTATATGTATAATTCACAGGGCGAGCTTTCCTGTTCCATAAAGTAGTGAACCTAGTATATTCAGAAGTCCAAGACCGTGTGATGTTGACTGGCCGACACATGGTCAGAGATGTGTCTTGCAAGAACTGTGGCACTAAGCTCGGATGGGTCTATGAGTTTGCAACGGAAGAGAATCAAAGGTGTGCATAGTCTTTAAAAAAAATTCTAAATACATTTAACTTTTTTTAAGAAGAGCAATATATCTTATATTGTTAGGAAGTAGTGTCCTTTTCTTTATTTCTTTACATTTTTAATATTAAAATTTCTCCTATCAATATGTGTTAAGATACATTGCTAGGAAGTAAAGTTATTTTCTTAATTTCTTTATATTTTTTTAATAAATTAAAATAAAATTAAATAATTTATTGATTGAATTTGACCATTTGAATAATATTGAAATTGTCTTGTATTACGTGTTTCCATTGATATAATGGTGTCAAATAACATCAACATGACATCGTAATCCTTCAGAAGGGCATAAAGGGTGTTTTAATGGATGATAATGGTATGGTGCTATCATATCATCATATATGATACTATCATTTCAATATGTTATATATAGGTAAAGTTATATATGTATTTACAAAAATAATGTATTTAAGTATGATAATCTGTTTAGTTTGGGATTACATAACGTTGTGGGAGTTCAGATTTTTTAATAAAACATTACTGGGAAATCAACTTATCTGTATTGAAAACTATATTTGTGATTATTTTTGTATGCAATAGAACGAAATGGTCTTTGAGTATATATGTATAAAATTAGTGGTTAAACATAGTGATGTATTATAGTGGTCTTTAACAAAGTGACCATAATCGTAAGTTTGAGTCTGCTCGAAATCTTTTTTTAAATTTAAATATGTGAAATTTTAAAAATTTGTCTCGAAATGGGAGCTTATAGAGTGTTGCACTTTGCAGTCATCACAACGGCTAGTGGCGTAGCGTGGGGGTTTATAGGAGGCTACATCCCCGGGTGGCAAAAAAGAGCACGCGATCACAGCGGTTTTTTAAAGTAAAAATAATTTAGCTGGATGAACAAAAGCACGAAAAGTACATGTTTGTATTAATTGACAAAAAGTATTGTAGTATACATACATATAATTAAACTGTTGTATTTGAATATTACATTTTTTTTTGCTAATAATTAAAATAGTTTATATTTTCCAATTAATTATAATAAAATAATTGGTCTCAGTCAGCGAAAGACCACGCTACACCACTAACAACAGCAGCAGGTAATAAAACGGAATTTATATGAGAGTGCACGTTGATAGTTAGTGTATAATTTCGCAATAAATAATAATGACTGATTAAAAATGATTATCTCTTAAAAAACAACAACATAGTACAGACACATTATTTTTAAAAATACCAGAAACCATACAACTATTGACAATATAGAGTTGCCTATGTTACAGTGATGTAACATATTGTAATCAGCAGATTTAAAGTTAAAGTTACATCAAAGCTATGGAATTATAAAGTAAATTAAATACAGTATTATATTGGAATAAAAATTAACTGTAAGAGGATATTTTTATGGATATGCCAAGTAAGTGGCGAATGTATTTGTATAAAAAATATAACTAACGACCCGCCCTAACTTTGCTCGGGTGTAATTATTATTGAAAATCAAATCTAAATGTTTATTTATGTTAGACATACACACCTATGAAGCATAAAATGTAAACAATCTGGCTTTAAGAAAAGTCAGTTGAGTATCTTGCTAGTTTTTCTCAATTGAATCTGAATACTGAACTCGACGGTAAGTAAAACATATTAATTACAAAAAAATTACGTTCATAAGCAGCTTAAATGTCCTACATGAATAAATGATTTTTGAATTTTAATTTGTAATTATTGTAAAAAAAATATAGTTCTATGATAATATTTTTCGCAATTAGACGAATGATTTAGAAAACATACAAAAAAATTATTTTATTTTATCAGTAACCATCGTTGATGTACATAGAATAACTTGGCAAAGTTTCGTTCAAATTGTATGAATTGAATTAAGATTAGGATTCCATAGAGAAACATACAAACATTAATTTTTACATAAACTTTGTTTTGCAGTAAAATTAGCTATTATAGTACTCAATTATAGTAATTTATTTAATTTCGTCAATCTTGCCATTCAGCAGTTTGCTTTCATACACAATTCTAAATAAGTAATCAGGGCCGGAACTACGTAAGGGCTTTTTGGCCTGCAGCCCAGGGCCCCGAGGATACAAAGGGCCCACAGTCCCCACTGAAACGATATTTAGAATATAAAAAAATATCTAGAATGTTAAAAAACCTATCATAAGTTTGGCAACCCTGAGATCAATCAACCCGTGCAAATGTGTAGGGATGGGAACGGGGAATTTCTGGTCGCTTGTTTTTGGTCGGTATATTTTTTTAGTTGAGTAATATAATTAGGTAGGCCCCTAAGTAGATTTAGCCCAAGGTCCCACAAATTCAGCAAATGCCAAGGTCCCACAGCAGGTGTAGCGCTGATAACACATATTTTCCAATCATGGGAGAAGTCACAGGATGCACTCGGAGTTTTTTGTGACCTATCCGCCCCTGTAAGTAATGCTGAAGAACAATTATTTATAATAGCACGCAACTCTCTCGGTCTTATGATAAGTCTGCTTCACAAATGAGCGGTAGAATAAAACAAATATTATGTCTATAGACAAGTGCTTATATTAAGATTATTGAATAAAGATTATTTTTTACTATTATTTGATTGTAAATTGTAGACATTGTCTGAGAAGTTGGTTCGATAATTAATTACGCCTCTTTGATAGACGCTAGCCATCGCTAGACGATAGCCATAGGGCGGACCTTATGTGTGATTACCTAACAGTACTATAGTAGTTGTAGGTACCTACCTAAATAAAAAAAATGTAACTTAGCTACACTATGAACCAAACAACATCTGAGATAAAGATTGTTTAGATGCAGAGAAACGGGCGTATATTTTATTATTTTCTATACACATTAATACCTACTTATATGTTTATTTTAATATACTTCTAAATAAAGTTATAAATGTTATATTACTTTTTATTTTTACAATGTAACCTATAGGTATTTATAATGAAATAACAATTACTTTGTCGAATTAAAACGATTTTTAAGTAACTAAAACTAACTAAATTTATATCTAATAATGTGAATTAAGAATAAAAGAAATAAATACTATTTCTTTATCAAGAAATACGCCTATTATATATGTATAAGCGGTATTGCTTACCACTACTAGGTATTCTATGGTTTACCTAAACCTATATGTTTTATAAGAATATATAAAATATAGCCGAGATATATAGATAAAAGATAGACTATATCATTCTTAGAATACAATCTTCAATGGTCTAGCGGTTTGATTAAGACGGTCGCGGTTTCTTCCCACGGTACAAACATTTGTATTTAACTATTCTATCGATTGTCTAATACCCATAACACGAGTTCTAAGGGGCTGTTCAAGTATTACGTAAGCAGATTAATCACAATTATTTACCCCCATCCCCCTTGTCAGCAAAAGTAAGCAAAGCTCTTACCCCCTCCCCCCATGCTTATGTAAACATTTCTAAATTAATGTATTGTTTTTTTAGCAAAGACAATGTGAGGGTTGCCATTCGTGTAAAAAAGTACCTTACGACCGATGACGTAATCATCATACAGACTCCCCCACCTCCATGTCATCCAAAATAAGCAAAGAAAAGAGTCCCCGCCCCCCTATAGTGCTTACGTAATACTTGAACGGCCCCTAATTAGTTTAGAACTAGATGGCGCTGTGTGTATTGTGCAAGTTATTATAAGTTTTCAGTTCTACGGAAACAATATCTGCCAATATAGTTGAAACCACAAAGCCAATAGAATGTATCTTATCATCAAGCAGTTGAACAAAGGTGCGTTTTAATTACTTATACTACGACACTAACCGCATTATGGTATTTGCGGTAAAGTGTACAATACGTCGTGACACCCACCGCCGCTCGTTATCCTGGCAGGATGTCGTAATAGGTGACTAAAGGAACAAAGTACAGATAAATCGTAGTTAGAAAAGGAATGTTGCAAATATATTGCTGCGTTATATAGCTAGCTGTTCCCGCGATTTCACTCTGGTAAATTTTGTTATCCTTAATTTTTCAAATATATTTATTCTCGCTTATTATAAAATCTTAAAATGTACAAAATTGTCTAAATGATTAACAAGCAGGTTCCTCATTCATAAAGCTTCCGGATTTTTCTTTGAATAGACTTATTTTTCCGCTCATTCGGAAAGCAGAAATAAAAGAAAAAAATGTGATGACTATTCAAAAGTGCTTCAATGTAAGTTTATTTGAATAAATGATTTTCTATTTTTTTCTATTATCTATTTCAGACTTTGGGAAAAATTACTTAATCTTTTTTTAATTTTATTATCTGTTTGACCTTCGATGTAGGGTGTTTATCCAGAATTCTATTCACCATTGACTTAAAGAATTTGTGATAGTAGGTTTTTTTCCGGGAACAAATAAGTTGGAAGTGTGTTCCACTCTTTGGTAGTGCTTATAAATAAAGAACTAGATATCAAGATTGGGCTAAAATGTTTTAGGTAAATAAATAATTTTGTCTTTAAAGGTATTGCAAATGAGAAGACATAAATAAATATCACATTTTATTTATTATTATATTGTAACACAACATATATCTTCAGCAGATAACATAAAACTTCCCTCTATTCGTCACGCCATTACTTAAGCTCAGCTTTACAAATTGGAATACAGTTTAAATGAAATGCCAACAACGTACAAAAATCTCGTCCATTTGAGCGGTGGCTAATCATAGAACAGTGTTCCTCAAACTTTTCATTGACCCACGTATAATCTGTAGTCTTTGAGAAACCCTCCTACTTATACGGTAGAACAGTGTCTCTAGACAGGATATCCTTTCTAAAACGAGGATAAAATATTTAATTTCACAACATATACATATGTTATGAACTTATTATTGCCCACGTGAGTAAGTTGAAATTAAAATATAAAAAAAAACTATTGACTTTGTAGTCTATATTAGATAAAATATAAAAATGTATTGGATCCCTACACAGTGATATTTTGTATTAAAATCCCAATGTTACATGAAAAATTGACTTCAAAATATTGCAATGCTGCCGTGCATTGTGAATTCAACCGTATTTTGTATTCTCGAGTCAATAAATAAATTGAAATTCGACCATAATAAAATATACAAAAAGATTAACAATTAAATAAGAGTTTATATGCGTGTTGCGTCAAATACATGGCAGTGTGTAATGTTATTTTATTGATATAATGTATTTTACGCATAATAAAAAAAAATATTTTATTCGGCACTTCTCTGTATAAATTTGCGCAATTTTCGTAAGAAGGGGACAAAGTTTTTACTTCACGTATTATCAATAAATCATCAAATACATAGTCACATCATTATATGAAGTACTATATCTATAATAGCCACGGCTCAAACAGACCTTGCGCACCGACGTACTGTCATTTTGAACTTCGGTTTCGTTATTATTAGTATCAACGTAAAATAGATAAACCTACAAAACTAAGGCCAGTCATTAGGTCAGAAAATTTGGCGACTGTACACAATATATCTCCTAAGCATATAAACAAAAAAATCAATAAAATATCGCACCATACCGCCCGCGTCTGCGGACCTATACTCCACATAAAGCACCTCATATTTTCATTTTGAAAAGAATAGAAAAAAATCTAAATACATCTCTCATTATAAAAGAAATAAAATATAAAAAACGTTTAAATAAAAAAAAACTAGAGAATTACTCACAGATAAAATGGAAATATAACAAAATACAGAAGTAATTGAAGAAAAGAAAATTACAAGTAAATTTTATTACAGTAACGTGTTTTATTTAGATTTATCTGGTCTTGTGTATTTATTTAAACAAAAAGAAAATTACGTCATATTTAATAAACAATACCAATGTCAAAGCTCACGGATTTCACGTTCAAAGTTTAGCGGTTTTCGGAACACATTACCTCAGCATAAGGAAAAAGAGAAATCATATTTCCACATAAACAGCATTCTAATTGAATTACTTTACTTGTATGTAAATTAGATAATTTAATTGCATTTCTTTAATACTTCCCGATCTTCAATCTCGACTGAAACCTATTTGAATACAACTTGAACTTACTTTGATACTAATGTAATGTTAGTATTTAAGTAAGGAAACATTTAAAAACATAATGCTTTGAACGACATGTGAGTTAAGACATGACATGTTAATTTGAAAAGTCAGTACTTAATTACAAGCTGTTACTAACAATTTTTAATTGGAGCAGAATAAAAACGATTGGTTAGCTATTTCCTATGAATAATTTAATATTTACAGATGCAATTTAAGTTGTGCGTTTCGCAATTGCACCTGAAAAAGTACGTACCTAACTATAAAAAATTGGATTTTAATCTGCTTCAAATGAAAATTGTTACTAACAGTGCCGATCTACTGCACACATTCCTTCCAATAGCCGTTTTATAAAAAAATACAGCGAAAATTAATATATTCGCTGTATTTTTTCAAAAACTAGGTACTATTTCAAAATTGTTAACAATATTTGAAATATAGATGTGTTTAAGCATTGATATTATTCATAATAATACTCTGAATATTTTTATTTTGTTACTTCATGTTTTTAAGAGATGAGCCGTATGCTTGATTGCCACTATCGTCGTATAAAAAAATGTTACAGTTTATTGCGGGTGACAAAACACTGAAACGCATTATCTGCGTAGGCTTACTGAATTAAGTTTTAGCAAATATTTTTTTTATGTAATGATTATTGAATGAATATAGTTTACAAAATAGTGTTAAATAATCCGCAACACTAGCACCAGTTTTATATTAATTTGGAAGAAACTCCAATGCAATTATATGACGCCAAATAGGAGGTAGTAGGACTGTGAGCAGTAGATACTACAATTTAATTTTCTTTCCAGTGACGGTTCCATTTCAAAATTTAGACAAAACTGGCTGTTATAACATACAATACTGTTTCCACCACTCCTACATGCACTTTGAAGCTTTACAAAACTCTATAAATAACGTATTATAATATTATTAGAATATGAAACTATGGTCCAGCCATTTATTGCAGTACAATATATTTTTGCAGCCAAAATTAATAATCTTTCTCACTTGCGTCTCATCGGAGTAGCTTATCGAGAAAGGTATTAAAAATGGCAATTATTGTTCTAGACTGTTTATACTTAGCAGTGTTCACTATGACAATATATTTGGTCTTACAGGTATGTCTTCCCATGCTCCTGTATAAAGTTATGTTAAGACTATGTTTCGTAGTTTCATTCACACGATCTATTCAACAGAATTAATTCATATGTTTCGTATTTTCTGTAATTTTTATTTACTGACACACTACTAGTATTATGAAAGTAAAAAAAGTGATATAGTGTATTCTTTCTATTGTGGTAGTATGTATGGTTGTGCGTGGAGTGGATTTATTCTTTGGGCAGTTTAAGTAGCTGCATTTTGTCACAATTTCATTAATCATAATTAAACAGGATTTAAGAGAAACATTCAATACAACTGACAACTAAATTGGGGCGAATAGAATAATGAAAACTTAGAGAAATTATCCACAGAGGCATTAATTTTTCCTGTACATATATTTATTTGTAATTGCGTTTCAGTTTTCGTAAATGTTACCATTACATCCTGTTCATCAATACATTAAAAATGTTGAGTAATAAAAATACATTCTGTCAAATTCAAACTCCATTACGAGATCACATCGAAGCCACCCTCCTGACCTCATGTAGTACAAATTTAAAGCAACGATTTGAAATATTTATCAGGTCTCCATTTTGTTACAATAATTTAAACAATAGTTCTCAACTATTAACAACTACCATCATATTAACAACATATATAATTTTCTTTCACTTTGTAAAATCTACCAGATTGGTAAGTATATTCGAATAAAATAATGTAAAATTTATATTTTGAAAATATACGAAATAAAATATTCACATAATGCATGGATCGCTTAATCTAATTAGGGCCTCATTAAATTATAACTACAAATACATAATATACTATACAACGATAACACACCTCATACAATGTAATCAATTTTTTTCGATTTGTTTAGGAAAAACAAGAGAGACATCACCACTCTCTTACAATCCTATTTCCATGAAATATATAATATATTTCACTTAATTAAATATATCTTTTTGATGAATTAATTAGTAATAGAAGAGATTTTTAAATTTAACGAATTTACAGAAAATAAACTTTTCCAAGAATAAATTACTCATGTAAGGTATGACCTTTTTGTACAATATGTTTTCATTATTTGATTTGTTCACTATAATTCCAAGAAATTATTATACAATTAAAACAATTAATGATTGCAATGAATTTCGACATTTAAAATTACTCTATTCAGGTATTTTTAAGACCCTATCATCGTGAACCCTACATATTCCCGTTAAATAAAGCTTCTGATATAAATATCTTTACGCTCTTAGCACGATTCATAAAAACGGTACGATATGATGGCCCCGGATCCGCGGCGAGTCCTGGGCCGGCTCTGCCCCGAAGCCAATCCTCTGCTTCACCGTCTGTATATACTCCAGCACCGCCATGTAAATAAACTTGTACTGCGCCTCATTTTGAACCATACCAGACCGTTGATCCCTTACCATTTGCACGGTGCGATGTATGTCTATCTCGCAGTCGAACCCCTCTTTCCTTATTTGGTCCAGGATCATATCGATGACTATAAATGTTCCCGTTCTTCCAATTCCTGCCGAACAATGCACGCATACCACTGCCTGAACCGGCGGGTCTGCTCCAGTCATGATCTGTGTAAGTCTGGAGTTAACGTCCAACAAAATGTTGAGAACGCGATCCGGTTCAGATGGTACACCGTGATCGGGCCACGCCGTGAAATGAAAGTGGTATATGGTTCTCCTGGCGTTAGGCTCATCCTTCTTAGTTACTACGAAACGCCGCAGCGTGTAGTCCTGTGTCGACGATTCGGACTCGTTCAATATTGAATATTTTTTTATGACCTCAGTTTTATTCAAGTCGGGCCAATAACGCTCGCACTTCACCTTACCGCGCTCGATCTCTTTCGTCGTCATTATAATTATGCGTACATCTTCCTGCCATATCATGGACCAGAATTGGTAGATAGTAGTCGAAAGACAACCCTGCGTTGCTATATATACTTTGTTGTAAACATTTTCTGCAATAAGACTTTCGGCCTCGACTGTTGATTTTGGGATCGTAGTGTTGACATAATTTGGATTCGGCCGCAAGAGACTCGGTTCGAAAGTCGCAATATGCTTTTGAATTCCATTCCCGTGAGTTTTAGGGCTATCTTTCATTTTTTCCTCCATTACCACCACGCTAGAATATATTTGAGATGATTTATCTTTACTTCTACATGGCGTACTGTCTCGCATTGGCAAAGAAACATATTCAGTATTATCGGCATTGGAATCGCCTGATATTGACATGTTCTGATAATCGGAAGTCGAGTCAGGTATGTCACATCTAATATAATTTGCGTTGATGTAATCGGAGCCTGCCGGGCCATCGCTCGGTATATCTTTTAAAACAACACGAGTATGGTCAAACGGTATTATATTTTTATATCTGTTTTTCCTAATATTCTCAGGCTTAGAGCCTTCCATTCTGTCAAACAATTGTAAATTCTCCATCATTTGTAATGTTTCAAACTCTTCCCAGAAACCTTGTTTGTACGCCATGCTTTCGATTGGACCCTCGTTTTCTTTTTGAAGCTGTTTCACGCGTGTATAGAAATGGCGTACTTGAATTCGTGTAGCGTTGAACGGTTGAATTAGTCGCAACACTTCCCCCGTTGTCTCCACCATGGGGTAGTTCCGATAATGCTCTATCAGGCTTACCAAGTTGTCGAACTGCTGGCCTCCGCCTACATCATACTTATTATCCTGTCGGCGTATTATCACATGTGTAACCCTATCTCTCGTTCGGACAGATAATACGTAGTCACCGGGCTGCCGCTGTGACTCTCTGACCAGAAACGACCCGTTTTTTCCATTCTCTAGCATAATTCTCTCTGCTTCTTTGGCGGTCAGTTGTCCGTGGTACCACCGCTCGGTGGTGGGATCGGCGCAGTTCAGTGGAGTTTTTAGTCTAATAACATTTCCATTTTTCTCGCGGAGTTGTCCCTGGTTGTCCATGTAATACTGCACCAGTTCCGATAATGTAGCAAACTTCTCGCCGCCGTATAGATCCAGAAATTCGCCATTATTTTGAATTTTGATGTGGGTAACCTCGTTCCCTCTCCGTACGGATAGAGTAAAGTCACCCTTATTACTCATGCTAGGCCTCGCTAAAAAGCATCCATCCCGACCACGCTCCATCAGCAGCTTTTCTGCGTCCATACCGTTTAGCGCCGGATGGAACCATCTTCGGGTGATCATCTTACACTAACAAAAAGCACCACGTGGTTATAATACCTTAAGTATCTATCAGATTAATGTTCTTCCGTCTTGGTTCTCAACGCTCCATGCATCCTCTCCACTCATCTGTAAATAATAGCAATACAAAATATGTCACTATATTGTATAACACAATGGAAATATAGTAAACGTTTAAGACAACTTGTTACTTATCATCTTAATATGTTGTATATATATTGTACAATATGAGGACTTAACGGCTATTGTTTTAAACAATAAAGATATTCTATTCATAGCACCAGGAAAAGTTTGTAATATATATAATATTATCTTGTGTTTCTAATTAATGTTATGGTAATTTTCTTTAATTATTGTGTTAATGAGATTTGGTAGGGATTCTCCTTTATATTATTTTTTCTCAGGACAATTAACACAGCGCCATCTAGTCCCAAGATAAGCAAAGCTTATGTTATGGATCTAGACAATCTTATATGAACACATTAGATATACAGATATACATTTTCTTTTGTAAATACATATACATTATACGTAGAAAACACCCAGACGAACCCTCGACCATCGGACGTGAAGCGGTATGCAAAACAGCTATACAAATTCCTCGACGCAATTTCGAAAGAGGGGATTGTTTATTATTTAAGGGATGATAATGGAATGGTACCCTCGCCTGCGCTAACGGTATACGCTGGCGGGGCACCAGGATAGGAGGATGACGTCAGGTTAGTTAGCCCATCGTGGCAAATTCACCAAGAATTTAACATGACGGTTTCCAAGAGGAATCGCGTGGTCAAGGTCAACCTGACATGGTACATTGTTAGCAATGGTCATATCAGCACTAATGCTAACAAAGTTTATTTTATACCGCAATGGTAAGCGCTTATCGTGACCTAAGACCTAATGTCTGAAATGTCAGGGATGTTACATGTGAGTTGCCAACCCTTAAGAAACCTTTTTAAGAAGGGTATATCCCTTATTGAAAAAACCATGCTGTAGTCTCTAGAGAAAACCTCGGCAGGTTGTTCATTCTACAAAGCAATAGGTTTCAGAGTGTGGATGAATTCACATTTATAGGTTTCCAGTGTGAATGTAAAATATATATACAATTTTTTTTATATGGTACATTGTAATGGCGACTATTGATATATTGTATGTTGGAGGACAATTCTTCACAAATTTCGCCTGAAAATCATCATTATAAAATTCAAGTGAATTCTCTGAATGCTAGTTAGTCCACAGAATACACTAGAATTTGTATGTGATGATGTCATGGGCATTCTATCAACTTTGACTGGTATAAACAGCATATATTCAGAATATATTAAGAACATATGCAGAGACTAAGAGTATATTAAAACTAACTAACAAAAGAAGTGTTATTAGTGTCAAATTTAGAGACAAAATTAATCTAATAACAATAAAGGAAACAATTAAAACTTTGAAAAATTTTAATTGTTGAAACCACTTTATCTAAGAAGTGAAGGTGTACAGGCCAAATGAAAGATGGGAAGACAATATTACGAAGGCAGCAGGAAAAGTTGGAGTCAAAGAACAAAGGACCGTAATCTATGAAGAAACTTCCAGGAAGCCTTTGTCACATCACAACAAACTATTAACATTCGGAAGGAAAAAAACAATTGATTATTATATATAAACCAAATATAAATTATATATAAACCAATAGAACACAGTTAATACAAAATATATAATAATATACATATAATTAGAAAAATTGTAACCTTTAAAGTTAACAGTCATAAATGCTATTATTATAAATATATGGTACATATATTTTATACTAGCTGTGCCCATGGTTTAACCTGCGTGAAATTTATAGCCTATATGTTATTCTGATGTGAAAGAGTAACAAACATACATCCATACTCACAAACTTATGTTTATAATGATAATAATAAGATATCTCCCTTTTTAAAGGGGTAATAAATTGCAAGTGTGGATGATTTTCAAAATCAAACAAGGATGATGAAAATGATGAAACCTAAAAACATTTTTTACAATACAGCCTGTGTTACGAATCACATCTTTCTGTAACAAATCTATTGTAGAGGAGCAGATTTGCAACATGTCTAGGTGTTCCCCAAGACATAGTATAATTCCTGTAGATAACTGAATATATGGTCAGTACAGATTACTAGACCATTAATAGATAAAAAAATATATTTATTTAACTTTTACTCTTTCACTCCAAAACATTATCAATATATTTATTTGCGACTACTTTATTACGCATGTTTGACAAGAAGGGGAGTGGATCGTATGTAATATGGATTAGTGGCCCTATTGCTAGTGATGTACCATGTCAGGTTGACCATCATGTGGTTCCTGGTTCCTCCATGGAAGTAATTGTGGATAATTCCTACTAAATGGCCATATAACTGGAACATAACGACCCTGACAGTAACAGTTGATGTTTTAGTTCTTTTTAATGTATTTAAGGAGACTGTAAAAGTAAAATCAATGTAATGATTTATTGGTAGAGATTGCTGTATAAAATTTTAAATTGTTAAATTAATTAATATGTCATAGAATACTTTCTAAACTTAAAAAATATATTCACTAATATTTTCTGGCTGACAATACTGAAGACTTATGGTAAATTTTATGCATATATAGCCTAGCTTAGCCTTAGATGATTAAAAATAAAAATATGTAATAAATGATTTAAAAAAATCAAAATATACATATTGAGTTTAAATTCACTAGAGTTTGATTTTAATATATGTTTAGAAATATTTTAAAACATCCTAATAAAATTACAAATAATAAAAAATTTCAAGTTTTTAATGTCAATACTAAATATCCTAAAAAATAAACAGTATGTTATTTGTTCTTTATCCATAGTGTATCATATATATTTAAAAAAATGGATTAATGCAAGGCATATTTGATTTTTATGTATATTATTTATTGCACTATGAATGCTTATATTTATTAATTTTACTTAGAGTAATACTAATGTAATGTTATCAATGCAGATAAATATTTTTAATTTTAGTGAATACAATTATTTCAACAAATTTTATGTAAGTCAAATACTACAAATTTATAACAAATTACATGGATGTAAAATTATAAATTGAATATACTAATATTTATAAACAATGACAATTAACAGGAAAAGTTGTTAAAAAAGGTACATTTACAATAATTGTAGACAATCGCTATATATACAACAATATGTATGGACATGTCTATGTACTTGGGTGAAACGCACAAACGCACCATTAAGTACTTCTAAGAACTAAATAATGCTATGTATTAATGAAACGAGACGATAATTGTGCTGACAACACTTAAAACTTACCTCATAAAGGCACCCGTGCTGCGAATTGTACTTATTATTCACTAAAATAGGTATACTATAGATCGACCTGCTGTTGCTATGCTGACTTAAGAATTTTTTTTGAAACACCGTTTTCAAGGGCGTATTCTTTAATGCCCAGTTACACGCGTACTTTTAGTTAGAGTTAAAGGTTTAACACAAGATGTAATGTAGTAATGAAGTGATTAATCAAAATAAATTCAGAAACTAAATTATTTTTACACAAAAAGCAGAAAAATTAATATGATCGGATCGTGCCTGCGGTAATGTCACAAAAACTTATTTTATTTCCTCGGTTAGTACTGATTGTCAGTGTCACTTGTCAAGTGCTGTGCTGTCTTGTCGCGACGGCTGTCATTTGGGTATTTTTACGGCACTAATGTCGCTCCATTTTTTATTAGTGGCAATCTGTTGGCAGGTTATGGAAAAATAAAGCTACTAAACTGTTACTTTATCGGAGAGAAAAATATTGGGGTAATAAAAACCGTTTAAAGAGTACAAATCAATAGTCCGCTTTAATATATAATAATTGTGTTAACAATAAAATTATTTATCATTTTCAGGGCACATAGATTTTTGAGATTTTCCGAAGTAACTGGATATAACTTTCCTAACAGCAACCCTTTTACTTTGACCACTTGAACATTCTCCTTGTTGATTTTCAGATTTATTCCAATGTTCAGCAAAACTTTGCCTTCTAAAAATTTTTCCCAAAGATTGCCACTTTTGCTCTGGACTGATATCTTTATTCTCGAAATTTTGTTTGCTTTCGGAAGGTAGGTCTCCCTGAAATATAAAAATTAAATACTAAAAAATTCTGTAATATTAAGTTAAATTTAAAAAACATTGTTTCTACCTGATTTTCAAAACAACATCACAGGTTTATTATATTTCCGTAGACTATTTTTATTTTAATTTGTTCATATTATTAAAGGAAAAGAACTGTAAGAAAAAATATTATTGCTTGCCCTATAGGCTTGCCCGAATAGTTCTTATAGACGATACATAATTATATCTCTTGCCTAAGCATCTCTTTACAGTAATCATAATATTGTTTTGTATAAAAAGTTCTTAGGCCGTTACTTAGTCAATATGAGTAATAATAGTAATTTTAATGCTATAGGTTTATTATAATCTCCAATTATTCGTGAGAGAGAGAGAGAGAGCTTTATACCACCCACTCATTGTTTAGTATAGATTCCATTTAGAATTGATCAAATAAAAATGTTAAATAATAGAATTAATATAGGTCTCTTACATCATTTGATTTCGTCGAACGAAGTTGATTGCGAAAGAAATTAGTAATAGATTTTTTCCATGTTTTTGGATTTTTATAGGAACTTAATTCCATGCTACCAGCACCTTCAATATGATGTTTTTTATTTTTCTTGGGACATGTTCTCTCTTCATCTTTAGTAACACTTTCTTTTATTGGAAACTCACCATCCGGGCGCAACATTTTAATTACGATACAATTCTTTTCACATAAAAGTTTCAAAATTAATATTAATCCAATGTATTATTTCTTTAAAATCATAACAGCATTTGTTCCATAATTCCAGATTCTAAATGTCAAGTTTGAATTTAGAAATGTTATTATATTTATTTTTATTTTACTTTAGGGGTTCTTCTATGATAACGAAAATGAAATAGTTATTACATAAATTAAATACACAATTATGTAATAATGTGTATATGTGCCTGATTATTTTAAATTTATGATAACAAATAAATATGTTTGAAACAATATTTACTAAAATAAACGTAGTGATTATTTACTCAGAAGCCAATATTTTATTTTAATAAAGGCAACACAGCGTACTACTCGAAATGCACGGGAATTTAAAAAGCGAGTAGAAAGGCGGCAAAAAACATTTGAAATATAATTATTTAAAATTTACCATTTTACGAATAATTTAAATATAGTAGTAATTGTAATTTCGTCCTGATGGCTACCGCAATGACTTCGATGTCTCAAGTATGTATTAATACTATTATTGCGTACAATTCATTGGTCGATACATATTAAATTTTGGCAAACTATTCACAGGTTTTATTAGACTCGACAAAAGTATTTCCTAAGCAAGTAACGGAAAATTATACGAGTTCTGTTAATTATATGAAACAGTTAACAGTTGTAGCTATAAGTACGATAACATTTTTGAAAAATGCATTCCCCGATGACAGCTATTCGTTGGAACATTTCGGAGGTCTCAAATTAAGAATATTGAAGAAGAACTGTACTAATGATTTAGCTAATTTCTTGAGTACGGCACTTACTCAAGCCTTTGACGCGTTTGATAAGAAATATGTAGGTATATAAATAAATCATATTTTTAAGTTTTTGAACTCCGAATTCCACTGCATTTTTATGTGGGCCGGTTTGAATGATTCCTTTTATATTCAATAGGTTTACTGTCATCTGGTTCCCATACTAATTTAGTTCTAATTGAAATTACAAACATTGTGTTATGAACGATGAATGAAATATGACTATGTTTCCTAATTAAGAATAATTGGTTAGATTCATTGAAGTTTCCGTACAATTGAAACGGATGTCAGTTATTTAATTCGTTAACCGCAGCTTACCTACAATATTCGCTGGTTATTTATTTATTTATTAAAACTTTAATGCACATAATTGAAAGTACATATGGCGGACTTAACACCATGCGGCATTATCTACCAGTCAACCATGGGTGGTGCAGAGAATAATTGGTGGCGGTGCAAATATAAAAAATATATTAAACGATACACATAAAAATATATATGAATAAATAACTACATATATATATATATATATACATACATAAACCATACATAAATACATATTTAATAATCTGACAATGAAATATCATGTACTGCCACAATAATGGAAATAAAAAAAAAACGTATACGTAAAAATAAAAAACAATGAGAAAACAGGACACAGGTTACAAGTTTAAATAATGTTCCCGTAATTTACGTTTGAAAGAAAATCTACTCGTCGTTCCAAAGTTTGATTGCCTGAATGACGAAAGAATATTGGACGAAACCAGACAAATGAGCCGGGATATGAAGTAATAATTTTCTAGTAGTGCGAAGAGAGCGATTGGTGTTGTCCCCATGGAAATGAAATTTGCTGCTAATGTATTCAGGATAGTTTGGATCGTTTGGTTATCTGTTGTTTCCGCGGGATATTTTATAAATAAATAACTCTGTACAATTAATACAGCGCCATCTAGTCCTACGGTAAGCAGATTGTGGTATAGGTAGGTCCTAGACAACTACACACTACTAGACAACTAAACTAGACAAATAAATACTTTGATATTTTTTTGTAAATACATACATAATAGAATATAACAGAATAGTCAAATCATTTATTCAAATAAACTTACATTGAACCGCTTTTGAATAGTCATCACTTTTTTTTCAATCTACCGCTCATTCGGAAAGCTGTCTCATTAATACTAATAATAATAATCTCAGAACAATTCACACAGCGCCACCTAGACCCAAGTTAAGCTTGCTAAAGCTTGTGTTATGGGTACTAGATAACTGATACATATACATAGATATATTTTTTTTGTAAATATATACATATTATATATAGAAAACACCCAGACCGATACAAACAATCATACTCATCAATACAAATATTTGTGTCGTGCGAGGAATCGAACCCGCGACCATCGGTCGTAAAGCGGTATGCTAGACCACAAGACCACCGAGGACGTCGAATGAGCAATAATATACATAGAAAACAGACCGATACAAACAATCATACTCATGAATATAAATGTTAGCACCGTGCGAGGAATCAAACCCGCCTACGGAAGTAAAGCGGTGTGCTAAACCGCTAGACCACCGGGGCTGTCAATTAATAACTGTAATTTTAGTTACAGCAATTAGCACTATGTTTCTATGAAGGCGAGTGTAGTACTGACAATTTAGTAGAGTACCATATATTTGAGTATACTTATAACAAGGACATGGTGACCATGAATGTACGGTCCAAATCTCGGGACAGTGCCCCACGCACTAATAAGTACACCCTGGAGAACATAAGGGAGAGTACGGTGCACCTGATCAGGGCTTGTGTGGTGCTGATGCAGACCAGCAACCAGAGTCTGCCCCCGGATTATGACGTCAGTCTACGACTCTATTACAATCAGGGTAAGTCGTAAAATAACTATAGTTTATCTGTATTAGATGTTCCCCAAAGGAAGTTCATTTCCTTATATTATATGCATGTCTTTTTTATTCCTGTAGTACACAACTATCTACAAATCTACCCTAATATTATAAATCTGAAGAGTTTGTTTTTTGTTTGAACGCGCTAATCTCGGTAACTATTGATAACCACGCGAACGAAATCGCGGACACAGCTAGTGTAATTAATATGTTTATAATATGTATGTTATAACATTTCCCTGATAATCTAAAGTGGTAAAAAAAATGAACTTATACTTATATATTGAAGTCGGTTAAATCCAAATTAAAAATATACATCAGAATAACATAAGCCTATAAATTTCACGCCGGATGACCTCGCGGGCGCAGTTAGTCAGTAATAATTGTTATTACTGATTAGATGCCCCTGAAGACTACCAAGCGCCAGGGTACGTTGCCGAAGGTGAAGACCATTTAGAAGCGTCCTCGACTCTTGGAGAAGTCATCCAGCTCGGTTGTGTGAAGACGCCGTTCCACAGCCTCACAGCTAGTTCCTTCTTCAAAGACAACCTCCGCGCCAGCCATGAAGCTATTGTGAGTAAACCTATTTATTTCGGGTTCATATAATTTTTAGAATAATATTGGTACCTCATTATTACAATAATAGTGCACCATTCCATTATCATAATTAAAAAAAAGATTTTAATGATGATAATGGAATGGTGCACTCGACTGTGCTAACGGTTTACAATGGCGGGGCACTAGTGGATGATGATAAGATGAGCATGAGGTCAGGTTTGTTAGTCCATCATGGCAAATCTATTATGACGTTATCACGATGGTTTCCAGGCAAAACAGCGTAGTCAAAACGTCGAGAGAAAAAACGTTTATTTATCTAAATATTACCAATATAAACTATCTGTTGATTTGAATTTACAAACAGACACTTAAATTTTATTTATTTTAATAGATAGTAAATTATTTATGTATTTACCAGAGATAAAATATGTAGGTGCAATAGCAATAGTTGTTCATAATAGAGAAAATAAACTGGCTTAAAAAAAAGAAATTCAGTTGAGTTTCTTGCCAGTTCTTCTTTATTGAATCAATGTATAATGAATTGGACTATAGGGAAAAATATTAATACAAAAAATTCGATGGCATCAAAACATAGGCGGCTAAAATGTTCTATGTGAAGAAATGATTTTTGAATTCGAATTTAAGTATTTCTATCAGTTGTCTAGTACCCATAATACAAGCCCTGCTTGTATAAAATCTACCACGGTAAATTTATTTACATTTCAGCCTTCACCTAATCCGCCAATGATGTCGCAGACTCAATATGAAGAACTTGCAAGTAAGTAGACTTTGAACCTTATGACATGAGCAGTAGGAGTGTTCATCAGCTTTGTAGATCTACCATTTTTAAGTGACTGGACCACCTAATAGCAACAGTCTTCTATATAAGACAACACTGCAAACATCACGTCGCTGCGTGACATCAAATTTATTCAGAAGTACCTACTTATTGTATAAAGTTACGTTTTACATTAGTTTACAGAATAATATTATTTTGTAAACTTAGCATTAGTACTATTGGTACTATAAGAGGACAATGACACGCCTTAACCTCTTATAGTGCCTACAAAAGTATGTTACAGCTACATAAAGACCTATTTTTATACAGTGAAGAAATATGATTAAAAAATATGTTTTTTAACAATGCTACCAGCATAGTTTAAAAAAAAACAGCATTAATTTTTTTTAAACGGCACTAGTAATATATATATGGAACTAAGATATTGATAACCAATAACATAGTTGACCCAGTAAACTATATTTGACATAGATGTAACATAAAGTTAATCGACTGCATTATCTGCAGACACGAACGTGCCACCACTGCGGTGTCCGTGCAACAATTACGACGGTCTCGATGTTCGCGACACTCCGTTAATCACTTGCATGTAAGTGAACTAACTAACACTGGTAACTACAAAATAAAAATGATAAAAAAAACAGTCCCAATTATAGTATTACCACTTAAGTTAGAATAAGTTAATTTAAATACATATATTATTATTATAAATTTTATTTTAATCCCTAGCTTAGGTTTTTGAGAATATAAGCCAGTTTTAGAAACTCGCCCCAAGATTTGTAATTCAATTTGTTTTTTTATTCGTCCTTCGACCCGGACTCGTGTTAGTGTGTTTTAGTTCGAAACTGTGTATCTGTCAGTTTATTTTCACTATTAAGTAGAAAAACTGTAAAGATCTTAATGAAATTTGATGTAAACATAGATTGCGTCACGTGAACATAGATAGTTTTTCCCAGTATAGGGTAAATATTGTCAATTGTTAGCTTACTTCAGATGGTCGCGGCTTTTTAATCCATAGAAAGTTTATAATATCATCATCATCGCAGCCCGGAAGACGTCCACTGCTGGACATAGGCCTCCCCCAAAGATCTCCACGACGATCGGTCCTGCGTTGCTCGCATCCAATGCCTTGTTTATAATATAATTACATGATAAACTGATTACTTATATAAAATTTGTTTGTTTTGACTGTATGTAACGTACCTAGGTACTGCAACACACAGCAGCATGCTGTATGTTTCGGCCTGGTGGGCGAGAATTTGGGGCAGTCGCACCAACACTGCTGCTGCGACTGCGCAGACGACGACGCCACCAGGAACTCCACAGACCCAGGACTCACGCCGCTCTCCATTGTGAAGAGAGAGGTACGTAAATCTAAATGTAAGTTGGACTCTATTCTTCGCATTTAGTCTCTCTGGGCCGTTAGCCTGCGTGTAGAAGTGCAGAAGCCTCCTGGTGTCTGTACAGGCTTCGTGGAGTGACCTCTTTATAAACTGTAATTTCATACTCCTCCGTCCGCACAATTTTCATAAAAAGGTGTTTATATCAGAGGGGAGAGGGGTTTCAGAGGAGCATCCTTCCGCGTACCCTTAAATTGTGGAATAAACGATGAATGTCGGGAAAACCTCGGCAGGTACCGAGGGTTTCTCGAGAGATTACAGCATGGGGTTTTTAAGAAGGATATATTAAGGTTAAGAAGCCTCAGGTCCATCACAAGGTCGGTAACGCGCACGTGACTCTCCTGGTATTTCAGGCGTTAATAGGTTAACTGTTTACCATCACATGGGCAATATTTTTTTATAAAGGGTTTTGTACTATTGTCAGGTGCTAAGACCTGTAGCACTGCGACCTGCATAGATCTATAGTGCTCGCCCTTTTTCAAAGTTCGCTACCTACCCGTCACGGACAAAGAATTGAAGGATATTTTTAGGAGCGGTGGTTCTATCTCCTCAGAACAGAGTGTAATCTCAAAGGAGATGTTTAATTTATGCATGAATGGGATATAAGCACATAGGATGTGTAGTGGTTTGTCAGCTTTTTCTCTTCTTCTTGCTTGTTGGACCAATAAGTAATATAAAAAAATGGAATACGAAAAACAAATTTGGTTCGTTATAGTGTACATGTATGTTCCGCCGCGCGTTATCGTGGTGCAGCATTCTGATGGCAAAGGAAGAGATCATCACTGGATCTCAACTCGCAGCGCAGCTAGGCCTTCGGCCGCAGTTCGCGACCAAACTTGTGAAACGTTTCGCCATCTTCGGCATCATCCAACAACAGCCGAGTTATACGTATGTCACATGTTATTGTAATCTTTATTTAGTAAAGTCCCGGGAATTGCGGAGTTTCCCTCTCTGCCACACGATGGACCCGGCATCCCCACGGTGAATCCATGCCAATCCATGGATGTTTGAGACGTAATTCTTAGCATTGTGAGAAGTACGTCTCAAATATTAAAGTTATAGCGGAAGCTACTTCATTTTATATCTAAAGTATAGTATATAATTCTTCCGCTTACATCTTAAACTACGCAACGGATTTTAATGCAGTTTTCAGCTATAGATAGAGTGATTCACGAGAAAGGTTCATACGTATAATACACGTACCCGTGCGAAGCCTGGGCGTGTAGTGTGTGTGTAGTGCTAGTAAATATTAAATGTTCATTTTTGTGTGAAAAAATTGCTTTCAGAAATAATATTGTAGAAATTTGTATATTTGAAATTTTTTACAAGTTCATTGGAAAAGAATAAGAGCTGAGTTTCTTGTCAGTTCCTGTCATCTTGAAATTACTCCCAACTGACGGTAGATTCGACATATCAAGAACCATAAATAGTCTTAGATGAATAAAGATATTTAGATTTTTTTATTTTGTTTATTAATTATTATTTAAATTAATTACCGTAGAATTTCTACTACCAGCCAATTATTAAATAGCATATTTATTACCTAAATATTCACAGCATGGCAACACCATTGAAAATAAACGAGGAACAACTAAACTCAACTATGGAGAAATTCTTCCATAACTCACCAATCAGAATCGTGGACCGACTTCTAGCTGAAACATTCGGATCTCAAGAGAGCCAACCAGACCCAGTTGGAGAAGTACTCGGCCCGATGGAGAAGGTGAGCCTTCAGAACGCATCCAAACTTGGCCGGGTTATAGATAATCCAGGCTTGAAGCCGACAGCTACGGAAGATTCAACCTTATTGCAGTATAAAGAAGCTCTAATATCCAACTATGAAAGAGAAGAAGAACTGCCACTGAGTGGGTCCCATAACCCTATAAAAGATATGGACAGTCTAGGGAAAACGTCTTATAAAAGGAAATTGGATGATAAAGAAGATAAATCCAAGCGTAGATCCGGGGTTAGGACAAAGAAAGCTAAAAATAGAGTCTAAATGTCAGATTCTGGATTTTTTTATTACATTATTTCGTAATTTCATTTAATTTTTAAATTTTATTTTTTATACATTCCATTTATAAGTTTAAATATAAATGTATCTTAATGTGTCGTTTGAATGCTAATAAATATTATAATGAACGTGTAATCATTTGTTTTTTAATTAAGTGTATATACCTATACCTAAAAATAATGCATATAACAAATGAGATGAGTGTGAATAAGAGTTTTATATTTAAGACTAGCGACTCGTCCTGGTTTCGCACGGATGCGTTATAAATCTTTGAATTTCTCGACCTGTTCTATACTGTAACACGCATGTATTATATATTTGTACGTTTTATTATGGGAAGAGACTGAATGGCGCTATATGAATAGTCGCGATATATTATTACTAGCTGTTCCCGCGACTTCGTTCTCGTGGATTTAACGTTATTTTTCTAAAATAAAAGAATTTTTCTAAAATAAAATTAACCTAAAGTTACTTCCTTATTACATCCTGCCAATAAAAGTCCAAATCGTCAAAATCGTAAAAATCATTTTTTTGAGATGATTTATAGGAACAAACAGACAAAAACGGTATTTCAGTATTACAACAAAAATTTTAAAAAAAATTGTTAAAAAGTTTAACAAAATTATATATGTAACTGTGCCCGTATTTATTAATCATTATATCATGTAGTAAAAAACGGTTATTTCAATAGTACAAACAAACACTTCAATTTTATTTATATGTTGATTAAGATTCATATCATTAGACGTTGTGTTTGTGGTAAAAGACTAAATGGCGCTGTATAAATTTTTAACTACGCAACGGTTTATATGTATAAAACATAGATACACCCGATGCAAAAATACGGTTCATATGTATAATACATGCCGGGTAGCTAGTATAGTATACTCAAACGCGTACTCAAATAGATGGGTTCAAATGTCGCTTTAGAAATCATATGGCAAAACTAACGATTACTAACGTTTTATGACACGAAAACAAGCTAAAAACCCAGTTTCAGTGACATATGCTCTGCATATGCCTCTGTATATATATGGTCATTTAAAAAATTAAACATTTGTTGTCATAATTTTTTTTTTCTTTATTTTTTTGGGATTTTTGTACACAAAATGTGACGATGACAATCCATCTACCTAGTACCTATACTAAGTAACAAAAAGCAACTTAAAAACCTTAAACAAATATGATAACATCCAGACCAATAGTATCATATTAGTTTAAGTTTTTTAATATTTTAATCATCTATAATTTACAATTCTATAGTAGCGGTTCGTTCATAATCACCGAAGTTGATGAACATTCTACTCCAGAACTTGGGGTCTCCACTGGGGTCCAAGGGCTTGTTGTTTGGCGGCACCGCTGTGCTGTTGAACTGGCTTAACTCTTTGAGTAACCTTTGGAGAACTTCTGGATGTCTGTTGAATAAAAAAAAATATTTAGGAGCTACTAATTCGAATTGATAAATTATTTTTATTGGTTGATAGACCATTTATCGAGGAAGGCTATAAAACAACTCTGCGACCAATAGGAACGGAATAACATTAAAAAAATGTAGAAACTAGGAAAATCTAATGCATCCATAGGTGCAGGCCAGTTTGTATAGAATAGAAAATTATTTATTCAAATTGTGCTGGCTTGCATTCCTTATTCCCAAGTATCCGAATATCAAACTAGCGGTGCCATCTATGCGCCGATACAAGAAACCTTTTATTCCTCATCGACTCACAGTGGCTCTACACGTCACAAGCGCTTTTAATACGCAACAGAACTTCTTTGCGTCGAGATGCGGTAATGGCGGTAGTGTTTCAATTCGATTAACAATGTACTTCTCAATTTATATATTCAAATATCCTATATGTTCATAAAAATCTTGACTTATTTCCAAAAAACAGCAATATTCATAATATTAATACTAGATTTAAAGACAAACTTGCTGTCCCCAAGTATCGTTTAGAAAAAGTTAATAGGTCTTTTATGGGAATAGGTATAAAAATTTACAATAAGATACCAAAGGATATGTTGGAATTACCCTTAAATAAATTCAAAACATCTGTTAAATCATATTTACTGAGCAAAGCCTATTACTCACTAAACGATTACTTGAATGACGAGTGTGCATGGCAATAGTTGTTCATGCACTGAATTTTCATTTAATGTTAGACATAGACACCTATATAAAAATACATTGTAAATAAACTGGTTTTAAAAAAAATTCGATTGAATTTCTTGCCAGTTCTTCTCAATGGGATCTATATACAGAACTGGACGGTAGGGAAAAAATAAAATTATAATGTAAAAATTTGACGTTCATAAGCGGCTAAAATGTCCTACATGAATAAATGATTTTTGAATTTGAATTTGAATTTGAATTTACATAGCTAATAACAGTTTGTGCTGGGCTAGCCCTTAGGCAGTGAAAAGTGTAGTCAAGATAAGTTTCTGCATCAGTTCCAGTAAAATCAAGCCTTCAAGAGATCGCCCCAGTCATCTACTGTGAGTCTTTCCTTATTTTTACCTTATGCAAGCTAGCCATTGTACGCATCCCTACTTAACCTCATCTTTCAAAACTGAGCTATCTTCTTCTTACCCCCCCTGGTCGGGTACCAGGTTATAAACGTAGGCAGTCCTTCCCAGGACCGACCACAAATAAACTTAAATTTAAGCACTTTCGAATAGTCATACTTATTTTTTTTTAATCTACCGCTCATTCGAAAATCTCATCACAAGAAGGACGAGCAAAACTTGCATATTGCTCTTTCAATTTTTTACAATAAAATGATGTGTAACATTTTTGAAAACCATCGAGTGTTTTATGCACAATTATCTTAGTATGTATGGTACAACTATTATTGAATTCTGAATTATACGAAGGCAACAATTATTTAAATTTCATTAAAATGCTATTGGCTGTAACTGGCCTTTACTACTTTATTAAGAACTAGCTGCACCCGCGACTTCGTCCGCGTGTAATTTTACTTTATTTTTCTAAAATAAAAGTAGCCTAAGTTACTCCTTATTGCATCGGCTACCTGCTAAAAAAAGTACCGTCAAAATCGGTCCAGCCATTTCAGAGATTAGCCGGAACAAACAGACAGACAGACAAAAATTGTAAAAAATATTTTTTTGTTGTATGTACCGTATTTATATTCATATGCATGTAGTAAAAACGGTTATTTCAATATTACAAACAGTCACTCCAATTTTATTTATATGTATAGATAATTTTTCTCTCTACCAGCCGCCTTTGTCCCACATTTATTTTAGAAAGGTAGTATGGGAAAGGGCAGCTTTCATACAATATGATGACATCCGAAATTTTATTCCATTAATAAAACAATTCTTATAAAAATCATGTCAAGAGTTATTAAGATTAAAAAAACTTACTTGTCAGCCAAATTTGTGTACTCGCACGGATCTTCGTCGATATTGAATAAACATGGTGCCTCTAAGATTTTACATTCCACTGATGACACAGGTTCCTTGCATTTGATCGTCGATGCGTCCCTGTAAAATTTAAGTAGCTAATAAACAGCTCTTGGCAGTGTTGCTACCCCTAGCGGTGCCCTCAGACTAGTCCTGTCCGTCAGGCGGGAGTTGGCCTTCAGGCGCTCCATAAGTCCCTCCGTAGGTTTGGAGTGCCATCTGAATTCGCTCCCTACCATCTGGTGAAGCTGTAAAGGCCAGCAGCGGCCAACAGCATTGTTGTTCTGTAATCGTTTTATCAATTCATTTCACTTATCGGTTCACTCAAGGCACTCGAATTTTGTAAATATAAAGTTCATACAAACTAAGGAGTTTGCCTATATTTCTAAAAAAAAACACTATTGCTTGTTTTACCACGCCACTCTCGAGTGTGTGCACTGCGGTCGCTATCAAGTTTTACAGAAAGCCAATGTAATGATTGAAATGATTCCGCTTTCGAATTCGTAAGTAATGTTTACAGAATAGTTCTACAGCTCTCTTATACTTACCGCAACTCCTGAATTTTCTTCCTATCCGGCATGAGACCGAGTTCTTGAATAGCTCGGCCAGCTGGTGCATTGTAAACCAACTCGACGTCATAGCTACCTTCTCTACCACCTGGACCGTACCACGAGTCCCATTTACCATTGTAGTTTGTACCTGAATCAAATAATACGTAGACATATAGTAAAAAAATTTGATTGTATTAACAAAACCATATCACCGTGCTGCCCCAATTACGAACTGTTAAAATTATAAGAACTAGTAAGTATAAAAGGATTTTTGTAAATACATCTCATGAAGATAGATAGATAATGGACAAAATAAACGATAAATTCTTGCAAGAAATTAATGCACGTTGGTGGCCCAAGACAATATATAACAAATAGTTAAAAGTTAAATCTTATTGAATTAGGTGTTACTTTGCGGAGGTCCATTTCCTTACCAAATTTTTGATTTCGTTACCATTAGTATGTGTAAGAACACAAATATTTAGTATGGAGACTTGACCACTTTTGCAAGTCTTAAGACCTTCCCTATCAGTAATTTCGAACCGTTAATCGAGTCTATATCGCGACACGTATTTCGACTCTGAGCGAGATAGGCATCAGACATCAGGCAATGAACAGACCTAGAATATCTTGGAAGCCTAGTGTTAAAGTTAGTCTGTTCGGCGACAAGACTACGACAGCGCTGGTTAAGTTTCTGCACTGTCACAAAATTAAGGTCCTAAGTTTTGTTTTATTTACCTTTGACTAACTTCCACTGGTCAACAGTCACAGCCGCACTACCCCAGATATCATCAATATTATGCAACACGCTCGTCCGTTCGGACTCGGTATTTTTGGACAGTGCCTCCCATTGGTCAATACCATCGATATTCTCAAAGATACTGAAAATACAATTGGTAATAGTGAGTTGAGGAGAATCGATATTTATCTAATTTCAAAATGTATTAAAGTAGAACAGTCGTCTCAGATTATACAGTCACCATTTGGTAGCGTCATATTGATCGGCAACTAAGATATATGTTGCCCATATGGGAGGGGAACGATTTTACATTTACACAAAAAAATTGCCCATAGTATTTTATCTTCTCTGCCATTCTTTAGTGAATTTGGTAGAAGGCAAAGACCATAATACCTCAAGTATTAAGGTTCCAGACAAGCTTATCTAATAATATAAGATAGATAAGTCGAGTTAATGATAATATTACTGAAAATCGATGACGAGTGGGGCAATTATAAAAATATAGACATCACTAACGGAGAGTCTTAACTGCGTAACTATGTGAGACTTCAGATTGTGGAAAATTCATCAGAAGGGAACTCTGTTTGTCTTCTAGCTAGTAAAACTTCACAAGTTTCTTAAATTGATATTCACGCTTTTTTCAAATACATTGCAACACGTGCTTTGCATAAACAAAACATCACTAGGCAATGAACAAAGTTCAGATATAGCTTGGAAGCCCAGTGTTGCCTGTTAGTATCGCTTAAATCATGTATGTACCTAATGTTAGACAGATAGCAGCTCCTTTGAGCCGCTAGTGTGTGGAATTTTGGCCGCTCTACCATCCTATTATTACACCAATATTATCTCTAAGACTTAGATCGTCAATCGATCGATTCAATACCTAGACTGATTATCCACAAAATAATGAATTTAATTTGTAGTGGATATACCATTACACTACCTGGTGTTTCCTCCCGCTGCAGCGTACAGAGTAGGAAGCCAATCTGATATATGTAACCGTTGTGTTGCCACTCGACTCTTATTCGCCAGAAACGGACTCCACAGAGCGCCCGCGCCACGTACCCCGCCTTCCCATAATGTATTTTTGACCTGTAACAGTATAAAATAATACCTTTACAGTTTTTTATCTCAGATCAGGGTAATCAGAGGCAATATCAACGCGACACTTTTATTTATATCCAACGATTAAGTAGGTAACGAGACCACTTTAATCCAAAATTACAGGAGAGAGCTTAAAATAATCTTTGCTTTCAGTATAACATATTTCTGATGCAGGACAGACCTTGCTGTGCTATAATACGATCTTGTAGGAAATGATAGGAATATGACGGAGATGCAAAAGTCTTAGTTTTCAGGAACGGCTAAACATTAAGTTATTGCATATGTCTACTACTAGATGTTATATCCCTAGACTTCTAGCTTCGTTAGAAGAAGGTATCTATAGGGTCTGATTCCTAAGATCTCGATCCATGAGACTTAATAGTTCGTACTTTTTTTCATTGTGCACAACATATTGAATAATATATATTATAGTTGAAAAAGCTATTCACACTATTTGTACAGACAAGGGGTAAAGGCTTTAAAAATATTTTCCAATTTTGTCAATGCCCAAGTAGCCTAATAGCAAGACTAGGAAAGGCTCCGAGCCCCGTACTCCCTCCTATTTGAAGATAATACAATAAAAGTTTTTTGAATCTTTAAATATATTTTGTTTATACAAAGTACCGAATGAAAGATTGATAGTTGATAAGTGTTGTTTTACAAACTCAAACTTCGAAACCAAACTATGCGCTTATATAATTAGGTGTTATTTTACGAAAGTCAATATCACTACTTTATTGATTGGATATATATTATATTGGATTGATATTATTTTGTTTAATTCCGCTACAATTAGCATGTGTGAGACCAAACAATTTTCAGTGCGGAAACTTGATGACCGTTACAAGCTTCTCTAATTGTGATCAAATTCAGACGTGTTTCACCTCTGAACCAGGCATTGAATACAGTTCGGATATAGCTCGGAAGCCTATATAGTACTGAATGTTCGGTAATTTTCTACAGGCTCTCTGGCACTGCTTCTTGTAGTCAAGAGTAGATCAAACTCACCCCTCTCAATGGGTAGTTAGATGCCGCGTTACTATTGAATCCTTCCGCGGGACCACCATTGTCTGTGCTGAATATGATGATCGAATTCTGTAGCAGTCCGTCAGATTGCAATGAAGCTACCACTTTACCTACCGACTCATCTAATTTAGCTAAAACACCTGTAATATTAAAATAATTTAATAATCGTGGGCTAAATTCCTAAATAAACAAAGTGAATATTTAAGTATGACGGTCTCGGTGGTCTAGCGGTTTAACGCATAGCCTTACTTTCGATGGTCGCGGTTTCGATTCCTCGCAACACACAAACATTTGTATTCATGAGTAAGATTGATTGTGTCGGTCTGGGTGTTTTCTATGTTATATTTACGGAAAAAATTATATATATATGTATTGTAATCCAGTACCCATAACACAAGCTTTAGCTAGCTTAACTTGGGTCTAGATGGCGCTGTGTTAATTGCCTGATTATTATTATTAAATATATATTATTATTACATACCAGCGAATTTTTGCCTCTGTCTGTCCTTAATGTAAGAGAACTTCTCAATGATATCCTCTGGAGCTCGTATCGGCTCGTACGGGTTGCCGCTGTGGACTGCCGAGTGTGCCACCATGAGGAACAGCGGCTGGGTTTTGTTGTGGGATTTTATCACCTGGTATATCACAGACTAATCTTTATATCATTATATTAATACGTGTAGCAAAATTCTGCATACAAATACATTAAACCAATAAAAAAACAAATACATGACAGTGAGTACACTATCATGTATCCGGTTTTTCGGTTTTCTGTACAACACATTTATAGTATGGGTTCCAGGGAGTCTTTACGAGAGTGCTTTAAGGAATCAAATATCCTCACCGTTGCTTCTCAATATATTTATGAAAATATCATGTATGCCAGGAAGAATATAGACAGTTTCAAAAGAGTTAGTGATTACACTAATAAAAGCTTACGTAACAATAACAAACTTATTTTACCTAAATGTCGTTTAGCTAAAGTTAGTAATTCGTTTTATGGCAATTGCGTAAGGTTTTACAATAAAATACCAGAGTCTGTTATAAATCTGCCAGAAAAAAGATTTTAATGTCAAATAAAAATTGAAGAATTCGTTAACGACAATAATGTTTTTATAGAAAAACTTTAAATCATAGCACTGACAATATTATCTGATTACACTAATAATGAGTGATGCACGTACGTGATGTATGCTACAATCAGGTGGGCCGTTAGTTTACCATTACATTGTAAATATAGAAAAAAATTACTAATTAATAGACTCCGGCCTGAATGTGTTGATGGAATTTAATGCGATAAGAATATCTCGGAACCACGTTACATCCCTAAAATTATGAAAAAATCCTTTGAAATCTATAAATATAAAAAAAATAGTAGAGAAATACAATAGCAATTTATCTCACAGACATTGATTCTAGTGTTTTTTTTTAGCGGATGATAATGGAATGATGCACCCGCCTGCGCTAACGGTTTACGCTGGCAGGGCACCAGTGGAAAATGATATGATGAACATGAAGTCAGGTCAGTTAGCCCATCGTGACAAATTCACCATGAATTTATCACGATGGTTTCCAGGGGGAACCGCGTGGAGGTCAACCTGACATGGTACATTGTTAGCAATGGGATCATCAGTCCACATTACTAACTATTTCTTTCCCCCTGATTCTAGTGTTAGGTATAACCACAGATAATATAATATTACATAGTATAACTAAATATCATAAGCATATACTCTTTTGTTTACTGCTTGTGCGAACGTGTGCCGGTTATTATACAAGTATAGTCTTTGACAATAGATCCTTGATAATGTTCAAACTTATAATTTTTAAATTAATTAGGGTCTAATTTAACCACTGTGTGACCATTAGTTTTAATAATTAGTAAATAGTAATTTAGTTTAGGTCCTTTTTTTTTAAACTACAATCAAGCTGGCTGATTGTCAACGGTTATCTATGGACCTATGGACCTATGGTTGCCTATGGACGCCTGAAACACCAGGGGTGTCACGCGCTTTGCCGACCCTTAAGAAACCTTAATAAACTATTTGGAAATTTTGAGTCATGTCTAACCGACTCTTAATAAGCCTTAACATACCCTTCTTAAAATTCTGCGCTATATCTCACCTTGATTGCTTCATCTGTGTATATGTCAGTTGCATATACCCCGAATAAGTCATGAGATACTAGTGCGTCTGTATCTGTAATAAAAAAAAATACTTCAATAATTTCAACGTACTGACTGCACTTGTAATACCTCAATAATTAAGCGTTATGCAATATAAATTAAATAATTTCATGCTACATGTCAAGGTAAAGTTGCAAGAAATAATAGCCTTCAATCACAAGATATATTGAAAAAAGGGGACAACCAGAGGGAGGATTTCATATCTTTATTATTTGTCGCTCTAGGTAGATACATTGTTAATATCGTTAGTTGGGTCTAATTTTATGGTAACTAGCTGTTACCAGCGATTATAATTTATATTATAACATTATCTCTGCGGGTATCTGCGGGTGAAAATCCCATAAATTTCGGTCCAATCGTTTCAGAGATTATTAAGAACAAATGGACAGATAGACAGACAACAATTTTTACAGTTAATTTTTATGTAAGTGTCGTATATATTTTTATATGCGTTTAGTGAAAAGCTGTTAATTTGAAATTACAAAATGACACATTTTTTAATTGTATAAAAGTATCGACTAGGCTACACAGCCGCGGCTACGAGCTGACTGCAGTATAGCGATGTCAATGCCGGTACTGGCAGTTTGTTCAACTACCGCCACTACATTATCCACCTTTATTTACTAGCTGACCCTCAACATTGTCTGCGTCACATTTCCCTTGTTATTGCTAAAATTTTCACTGCAGCTCTGCTCCTATTTCTCGTAACTATCCAACACTAAGTGAATTTTCACAATCGGTTCAGTAGATCCAGAGATATACCCCTACAGCCTCACAAACTTACAAACTTTACCTCTGTATAATATTAGACATATCTTATCTGTGCTATACATAAAACTGACCTGATTAACTCAGCCCCGAATCCTTGTCTTTCGAGGCGGGGCGAAAATTAAAAATGCAGGCCTAGGACCACTCTCGACCTACCCTCCTGTCTCCTAGATCTGGGGCTGGATTAACTATATTAATAATGTGTAAACTAGAAAGTTTAAAATTAACTATGGTATATAGATAGTTACTTAGGTTTAAGAGAAAATGGGAGGCGTGATGTATTAAGAATTAAAGAACATGATGGAAGATCGCGGAAAGTGGCAAGAGCTTTACCGACAAGAGCGTAGCTCTTAATAATGAAGGAATGAGATAGTTACTAAGTATTTTTTTTTAAATATTAATAGATTAGTACCTCTTTTGAAATCAAATCCCCACGACCCACGTTCGACGTTGGTGTGATCGTACATGTCTATTTTGCCCGTACTGAAACCAGTGTGCGTATCGAACCTGTAAACAATTCATTTCAAAATATACAAAATTAATCAAACAAAAAGGAGAGGGGATTGTTAGTAATGTGGACTCATGAGCTCACTACTAACAATGCACCATGTTAAGTTGCCCTCCACGCGGTTCCTCCTGGAAACCATCGTGATGAATTCCTGGTGAATTTGTCACGATGGGCTAACTGTCCTGACCTCATGTTCATGTTAGCGCAGCCTCCTCATGTTAGTGCAGGCAGGCGCACCATTCCATTATCATTCATAAAAAATCAAATAGTAACCCATTAATTACGTAATTTTTATGAGCTGATCATGGTGATCAAATTAAGCAAAAGTCGTAAAGCTGAGTCGAAGTCGAAAGAAAACGACGAGTTTTGACGACGTTTTTAGTCGTTTTCTCGAACTAAATTCTTTACTTTATTGGAATTGTCAGAAGTCACAGTTCCACAGCATGTCCTTCCACGGATTTCGAAGGCCTTCTACACTCGTCATATTTTCATCAGGTTATGCTATAAAAGCCAGCTGCAGCCTACAGCATTAGAATAATTCCAAAATAATTGCTACTCATGTATACTGACGACCGTTACCACTATTCAATGAATGTGAATTTAGTGAGGTGAATGTTAGGTGTTTTACTTTTAAAAATATTAAAAAAAAACAAACCACCGACCCTCTGTTGTAGGGAAGATATTCTTTCTTATAACTGCCCAGGTGCCATTTTCCAATTAAATGTGTTTTATATCCAAGTTCTTTTAGATACTGAGGCAGTATTTTTTCTGATAGCGGCAAACCTCTAGGTTCCGCGCCGTAAATAACTCCGTGCTGCATACCTGGAAAAGTATATAAGAACAGTTGTAACTTAATAATACCACAGATAATAAACTAACTAAAGATTACTAGTAAAATGTTTTTTGTTTATGATAATGGAATGGTGCACCCGCCTGCGTTACCGGTTTACGCTGGCGGGGCACCAGTGGAGGATGATAAGATGAGCATGAGGTCAGGTCAGTTTGCCCATCGTGACAAATCCACCAAAAATGTATAACGATGGTTTCCAGGGGGAACCGCGTGGAGGTCAACCTGACATAGTACTTTGCTAGCAATAAGATAATCAATCCACATTACTAACAATCCCCTGCCCCCCAGTAAAATGGGTTATGAACCTTAGTTTGAAGGGGATTTTTCTAATTACCTGTATGTATGGGATATTTCCCCGTCATTAGTGCGGCTCTGGAAGGCGTGCATATTGGCAGCACGTAATAGTTTTTGAGAGCCAGCCCGGAGTAAGCCAACGCGTCGATGTTGGGGGTTGGAATCTGGTTCGAACCGTGATAACTGACATCGTTCCAGCCCTTTAATAGTAATCGAAAATTCATTTCATATTTTCAGTCTAAACAATAAATATAATTTTGCTGTCTTGTACAAAAATTTATCTTATGAAACACTTTCTTTGTAAATCTTATGATAAAACGGAAGAGTTCATAAATGATACGCAAGTCAAGACTGGAAGAATAAAAAAAGTGCTTATATAAAGGTTATTTGAATAAATATTATTAGAAAGTGTTTAATATGAACGTGGATGACCAAACAAATATGGATAGATAAAGTAAAAAATAATGTGTATAAAAGTAAGAGAGTATAAGAGAGTATTTTTTTTAAATTTTATTTTTAATCTTATATCTATAATAATAATGATAATAATTTATTATTATTGTTATATATAATAGTATATAAGCTCAAATATATTTTAGTGTTAAAATTTTAAGTTTTAATATTGTAACGATCCTTCTGAATTAAATAAAAATTATTATTATTATTATATAGTTTAAAACCCGTAAGGCATAACAATATGACAAACTAACCGTTTTTTAAACTTTGTTTTCGATATACGTGTAGACAATAAAAGTAAATTATAGATGCGTTTAAATAAAACATACTGAATGCAAATGAGTCCTACATGACTATCAGTGAATATACAAGTGGATATTGTTAGGTAGATACCTAATAATAAAACGGAAAGTATGTACATACTGGTAAATACAACTTATTAACAATAATATATCAGATTAATTTAGACAGCATCATCTAGTCCAAAGCTAAGCAGAGCTAGCTTATAGGTACTAGACAACTGATACAAATATTAAATATGTACATAGATAGATAGGTAATATACAATTTTTTGTAAATATATATCTACATATAATAATAATACACAGAAATTGTATTATAATATATAATACATCGAACCCGCGACTATCGGATGTAAGACGATGTGCAAAAGACTGAACTTCTAGACTACCGAAGCCGTATAATTCAATTTTTATAATTTTTGTTTAGTCTTATGCATGTATATGTTTCTATGGTCTTTAAAACTGAAGTCGTAAAAATATAGAACAGTTTTGTCTCGAGAAGGTATAGTTTATGAAATGAACTCGTTGCCCACGAGCTTTCAAGAGACTTTATATCAAAATTGATAAAAAAGCCACGAAATATTTTATATCTAGTGATAGAGAATATTTCGACATATTCTCTATCACTAGCGGTAGCACTTTTAGTAGATACTGTAATGGTTTCCCATCAGGCAAGCCGTATGTTCGCTTGTTTCTCTATAACGTAAAAATGACATAAACTGTAAATCTTACAAGAAATCTTACAATCTTACAGAAACTAAAGTACTTAAAGGACTCACAATGCGAGAGATGCCGCGGTCGTACGCTAGCATGTAGTAGAATACATTCGAATATAAAGTTAGACATGTTAGGTACCTACCGTTATTTGATCAGTTAGAATTAAAATAACACGATTGTATGTTTTCAACGAGTTTTTAGTTAAAAATCTCTTCATACAGGTTTACGTAAATCAAAATTACGTGACAGCTTCTAATTATTTACATTAAACTGGTATATTTACGTCACATAAACAAGTTTTTTTTTATTTTTAAACATTACTGTTGATAAGAGAATATATGTTACTAACTTAGTTTATAATAATAATATTAATATAGTAATCTCAGTACAATTCACACAGCGACATCTAGACCCAAGACCGCTAGACCACCGAGGTCGTCGATGTTTATAGGCTTGTTTGTTTCAGAGCATCCGTTAGATTAGTCAGAAAACTCGAGTTTTCAAGGTTAAGTTAGTTAAATATTACGAACTTACGAAAGAAAAATGTCTACAGTCGTAGTGGGAACGAGAGGTCTACGAAATCCTTTTACAATCTTCTAAAATCTTGGCCTGTCTAGAACTGCAGTTATTTCTATACTATCACGTGTATTTAAAGCTGCACTAGCAGATTCTACCAGATTTGTTTAGGCAGGGAGAGAAAGACGAAGGGTGAAACCTACACCTGGGTCACCAATTCCGGGAACTTCTTGGAGTTTCCCACTCTGCCAGACCATAGAGCTGGCACCTACATGGTGAATCTATGGAATGATAAGAAGTTTGTTTCTCTCTAGCAGGTAAATAAAATTGGAGAGTATGTACGTAAATAAAAAAAAATAATGAAGCAAGTAGATATATATTTGGAGGAAAATTATGTATAACAGATTTTTTTTAGAATTCGATGTCATTATCATGCAAGATGGGCGTATCTTCAATACAAGTCCATCCATCTTTTTTATTTAGTCTCAAACAATTCAAGGAACGTGAATGGCATATGATTTGTAGTTAATCTTATTTTTAACTTGAACGCTGCAATATTACGATAAAAAAAAAATTGGAAGATGGTCTCTATGTACAAATTCTTTAGTGATTAGTGTTTTGATTATTTCTTACTGCTATTTACTTGTTACCTGTATATTAAAAAAATAGTTTTACATTACGTATAATATAAATTGTAACTGATCTGACAAGGTATACGAGAAAAAACTATTACTTTATCAGTATGATTATAAAAAACCAAATTAATTATTCTTAGAATCAAATTATTGTCTGACTGTCTGTGCGCTCATCTCATGCACGGCTTACCGGCTTTGGTGCGGTTTCACCAAAACAGATAAGTCAGTTACTCTCTGGTCTGTAGTTTTCAATTAAAACCCAATATGATCATTTAAAATTTATTGTTTGATTTATTCCAATAAAAAGGTATTCCGAAAAAGTCTGGTTTACAAACAAAAAAGTTATAAACTAAGTTGTGTTAGGTTCCGAATAACGTGTCGTATGGATACGAAGTCACGGACTTAGTTTGTGCGAAATATTTTTATTATTACTAACTGTTAAGTAATAATTAATTAAGTAGGTAGGTATATCGTAATAATGTCCCACAGACAATAGATATTGCTACTTCAATTGTCCTTTGTTTTTTTTATTTGCGACTTTTAACAGTTGTTGGTTTAATTTATTATTTAATCTACCTACATATAAATATATATAGCATAAATAAACTGTTATATAAAATCACAAAATTAGAAAGTAAATTCAATTTCGGTTAATTTAAAACTGAACACCGCAAATAAATGGAAACTCTTAATTTTGGGGCGAAACCGAAAGCACGATCGGATATTTTAAATATAATAAAGAGTTGAAAAGTCACTTACCAAATCATCAGCTATTATAAGTATTATATTTGGCCTTTTTTGTGTATTAATATCGGCACTGCACGTCACAACAAATAGTATGGCGGACAGGAACAACATGTCGAGAGTGAGCCTAGAGCGTGTTTGTATCGTGTTTACTATTGCTATAATTGTGGGTCGGGGAACGGTGCTCGATGCCGTTTAGTTTGGTACGTTAGGTATACATTTGCGGCTCTATTATACTCCAAACGTTATAGTACGGTACGGTACGGGTGATAGGCAGTAAGCAATATAATTTATTTATTTATTTATTCTTTTGCACACAAAATTGTATACATGGCGGACTTAATGCCTGATGGCATTCTCTACCAGTCAACCGACGCGTTGATCAGAGATAGTATAGCGGTGCGATTTTACAAGTATTAAATAGATTAATTTATGTGACAGAAGTACAAAAGAATAAGGTCACTTTTGAGTTTAATTAAATAACATATTTTTATCAATGTGCTTCGAATGCAAATTAATTTACAATCCCGGCGGCGGAAATTGACGTCTACATGAATGACATCACGTTATCACGTGAATCCCGTGATGCTACCGATTGCCATTCCAGAGAACTATATTTAATATTGTCAGGCGTTAAGACCTGTAGCACTGCGAACTACATAGATCCATTTTGCTCGCCCTTTTTCAATGCTCGCTACCTAGGCCTGTCAGGGACATTCTTATTGAAGGATTTTTATCTCCTCAGGATGTAGTGTATACTTTCCAAAGGAGATATTTCGTTTATGTATGAGTAGGCTACAGCCACATAGGATTTAGATGTCATGCCATCTTCTCGTGTAATTTCACTGGCTAATCGTATCCTACAACCGAAACAGCTCACAAATCAAGCTGCTTGGTGGCTGAAATAGGTTAGATTAAGATATCCACGCTGATGACTTTTAACAGTATACATCTGGTATAGCACTAAAGACATCTAATCATGTGATGCCTGTGCTATTTCTAACGCTTTGCCATAGTTTTTTTTATCTTTTAATACTGTAATATCACATTTTTTCGGATTACGCTAAAACTGTTAGCCGCAGCTGGCTTTTACAGCTTCACCGGACGATAGGGGCGAGTGCAGATGGCACTCGAAACCCAGGGGACTAATGCCATCTCCTACCTGACGGATTCGACTTTAATCTGAGGGAACCCTAGGGGCTAGAACCTCGGCTCAGGCGGTCGTAATTTCGATCCCCGTTTTAATTGGTTGCAAATCAGCTGCTTGGTAGCTGAAATAAGTATAATAAGGCAGAGATACTCACGTGGACGACTTTAAGTTTACCACAAGCGGGTTATTATAATTAAATAGACTTAGCACATTTATGATAAGTCTCTAAATAAATTACAATTTAAAAAAGGAGTTGGAGCTTACTACCATTAAATGGCATCTAAAATTAAGTTCTTGTTAATTATAACGAGTGTCTAATATATATAAATCATAGAAATTACACCTTTTAACCGACTCCAAGAAAAGATATGTTTTTTAATGTTCGTTACGTCATAACTTCGACAATAATATTTAAAAAAAAATTCATTTCAAACATAACTAAAAAGTGTAACTATTTTGAGTTATACTGGAGTTGTTTTTTTTTATGAAAATTATCATAATAAAAATAAATATTGCCATCCTTACCATACTATGACGCACTGAGTATAATACATAGAATCAACACATACGTCTGTTTGGTCAATGATCATAGGTTTAAGTTAAGTTACGAGATTTATGTATCAGTCACACGTTTGTATTATTAGTACTATTCAAATAATGATAAGAACAATAAGAGGCCACTGACTGACTGAAACACAGTGGCCTGTTATTGTTAAACAAATACTTGTACATAATAGGTGCTACCTCTAAGCAGCCCCTACAAGAAGACTGTCTGTCTTCTTGTCGGGGCTGCTTAGAGGTTGAAACGTCATCCACGCTTATCATAACACAAATAAAAATAAATATTGCCGGCTGGCTACTTTAGTAGTCTCGGCTGGCATAGCGGCTTACATCAGTAAGGCTAAATGCAGACAATACTCTTCTTACGGACGATATATTTTTTTTAATGGATGATAATGGAATGGTGCATCCGCCTGCGCTAAGGGTCGACGCTGGCAGGGCACCAGTGGAGAATGATAAGATGTACACATACGTCTGTTTATTACGGTCAATGATTAACCTGACATTGAGGGTGATGCAGCTGGAGTCTAGTCACAACGCGAGTTTCAAAGCATTTGTGGCCCTGGTCCCCACCAACTTGCTGTCCACCTTCATGAAAGAGGACTACTGGCCGAAAGATGTGGTATATCGGCGCTACCGTAGCAGATTGCCGTCTTCAATGCCGTGATCACACAGACAATATCAATGTATTAGTTTTTAAATATAATATTATATGTATGTTAGTCTATAAGGTATTTATAATATGGACCTAGATGCCTGAAATAAATGAATAAAAATACTTCACATTACTAACAAAGTCCTTCCCCCCCGCGGAGAGTAGTCCATATTACGTAGTACTATTAATAATTTATTACTTACAGTTATGATTTCATTGTTTGAACGTGTCTGACACAACTTAAACTATTATAATGACTAATGAGTTGTCTTCATTTTGAAGCGATTAATTTACGATTGTAATAGGATTAAATCTGAGACTAGTGAACTAGAGGTTCTAATAACTATTCTCATTAGTCATTATAATACTTATTGTATTCTAATACGGCACTGTGGGGGGGAAAGGGGATTGTTAGTAATGTGTAATAGCAATGCACCATATCAGGTTGACCTCCACGCAGTTCCCCTTGGAAACCATCTTGATAAATCTTGGTGAATTTATCACGATGGGCTAACTAACCTGACCACATGCTCATCTTATCATCCTCCACTGGTGCCCCGCCAGCGTAAACCAGGCAGCGCAGGCGGGTGGACCATTCCATTATCATCCATAAAAAAAATACAGCACTGTGGACCTCTAGTCCACTAGTCTCAGACAGGAAAAGTAGTTTTAACAAATAATCTTGTCGACCTCGGTAGACTAGCTGTTTATCACACTGCTTTACATCCGATAATTGCGGATTCGATTCCTCGTACTGTACAAATATATGTATTTTTTTCCCACTGACATATAGTCCGTGCTCTTATTAATTTGTTTTCGAAACAAAACATTTGTATTCATGAGTGCAGGGATGGATCTACCTAAGGGCTTTTTGGGCTGCAGCCCAGGGCCCCGAGGATAAAAAATATCTAGAATATTAAAAAACCTATCATAAGGTTAGCAACCCTGAGATCAATCGCTGCAAGTGCGCGTCTATCGAAAGGAACGGGAAATTTCTGGTCGCTTGTTTTGGTCGGGGTATTTTTTTAGTTGAGTAATATAATTACTATAGGTAGGCCCCTAAGTAGATTTAGCCCAGGGCCCCACAAATTTACATGATGCATGAGAGAGCTGGTTTGTATTGGTCTGAATGTTTTCTAAGTTATGTATTTACAAAAATATATATTTAAATATATCTATCAGTTGTCTAGTACGCATAACATAAGCTCTGCTTAGCTTGGGACTAGATAGCGCTCTCTGACGGATTTCTTCAGGCATTATGTATTGCATAAGTAATGGTACCTCACAAGTACTGTACTTCTGGGGTACAATTGTTTATTTATTACTAGCTGTTACCTTGGTCTTCGTTGTATCTTTTTTTTATTAATATCAAGAAAAAATAAAAGACCTCAATTACTTCTATAACATTAGGTATCTGTGAGTTAATGTGCCGTGAAAATTGTCCAGCCGTGTCTTCTTATGCCCAATTTACACTCAGCCCTAGTGGACAGGGAAGTGGGCACGAGAGTGTAAACACGAGTGGAAACACTTCCCATGCCCTTGGCGCTACCACTCGCGCTGCCCGGCGCTCCCTCGATTGTCGGTTTTTCGTGCGCGAGTCAAGCGCGAGATTCAGACGCTATTGTCGCCCGTAAGAAAGAATGTAAACGTAGCATTAAATTATGTTTTTGATGTAAGTACCCTATTTACTTTCATATGTATTTAGTGAAAAGCTGTGAATTTGAAATTACAAACAGACACTTCAATTTATTTCTTGTATTGTTGTAAATTGTTAATGTTTATTGTCTTTACTTGTTGTGTGTCGAACACTCAAATAAAACATTTAACTATTTATTTAATTTGATTAGTGGATTAGCACACCTCCTTACTTCCGATGGTCGCGGTTTCCATTCTTCGCAATGTGCAATCATACTGGGTGTTTTCTATATATATTGTATTTACAAAAATGTGCACTAATAATCCCATTGCTAGCAATGCAGTTAGGTTGACCTCCACGTGGTTCCCCCTGAAACTATTTTAATTTAATGAGCTATGCCCACATAAAATTCACTACTGGTAAACCACCAGCGTAAACCGTTAGCGCAGGCTGGTGTATCATGCATTTAAAAAAAGCCTAGCTTGTAAAAGTAGTGCCATACTTGGGGATAATTTTTTTTATTATTTTATATATATTTTTTTCTTTTTTGTGTATTATTCTGTACCAATATCGCGTGAAATTACAAATTAGTTAAATGAGTATTCTGAATTTATGTATTTAAAGTAACAATAGTAGATCGATAGAATATACTTTATTTGCAACAGACAGTAGAGAAGAGGCACAAACTATATAACACAAGGACAAATGTATCGTTACAATAAGGCGACCTTATTGTTGATAACAATATTTTCAAGACAAGGCTGTAGGTACACTTATTATGAAGTAAAATAAAACTGGTTCGTGTAGTAGAAACATTTTATTATCTAAATTTATGTATTTAACCTTATACACTTATAATCTATACATCTATACATCTAAATAAAATTGGAGTGTCTGTTTGTAATATTGAAATAACCGTTTTTTAATACATGTATATGAATATAAATACGGTACATACACCAAAATAACATTTTTTACAATTTTTGTCTGTATGTCTGTTCCGGCTAATCTCTGAAACGGCTGGACCGATTTTGGGGGACTTTTATTGGCAGGTAGCCGATGTAATAAGTAACTTATGCTACTTTTATTATAGAAAAAAATTTTATTTCAGAAAAATAAAGTTAAATACCTCGTGGACGAAGTCGCACGTATAGATAGTGTAAAATAAAACTAGTTCGTGTAGTAGAAATATTTTATTATTCATGTAAATTACAGTCCATTAACTTGTACCTATACACACACAATATCGCACATACCGACGTAAAAATGCATCGTTACAATATTAACCCTACTATGTGACACGTGTTGCTATGCCAAGCCACACGGCCGTGCCTCCTCTTACACGCCTTAATACTAACATATAATATAATGCAAATTAATAATTAATATACAAAAGAACTCAAGACGTACAAGTAATAAGCATTGGAAATAATAAGTGATAGAAATAGTACATATTGATAACCAAGTAGATACTATGTTTGACAGCCGGTGGTCTAGCGGTTTAGCACACCGCTTTAGTTAGATGGTCACGGGTTGAATTCCTCGCTCGGGACAAATCTTTGTATTCATAAGTATGATTGTTTGTATGTATGTATTTTGAAATATGTATTTAAGTATTTATATCAGTTAGTACCCATAACACAAGCTCTGGTTAGTTGGGACTAGATGGATTATATTTTAAAACATTTTCTTTTATTTCTTTAATTTTTTTATTTGTCGTATAGATGCAATTTATTTTACAGTAAAGTATATATATTTTTATAAAGTAGTAAAGCTATGTAATAATAGCATATACTATTATTAGTTGATTACCGTGCAAACATCAACTTTTTTTTAAATGTAGATTATAAAATAGCCAATGACACAATCTATCTTCACAGCAAATTTCATTAAAATCCGTTACACCATTTACCCGCTAAAATAACAAACAGATAGACAATTTTATATTATATGGACTCACCAATATGTACTACATCTATCAAGCCATACAATCAATTATATCTCACCATACAGTGACATGTGTTACCATAATATTCTTATACTTTATTAAATTAACACACGAAAATCCTCAAGGTGTTGCAAGTATTAAAAATAGAGCGCACACAACCAAATAATGCATAATTTATAATCAGGCAGCTACATTATTGCCATATATATTTTGAAATCTTCATATAATATAAAATAAATCGCCGCCGTTGTCTGTTCGCTTATATCTTTTAAATTACGCAACGGATTTTAATACAGTTTTTAACAATAGATAGAGCGATTCAAGAGGAAGGTATATGTATATATATAATAATATAAAAGAAAGTCATGTTAGTTACTCCACTTATAACTCAAGAACGGCTGTACCGATTTAGCTGAAAATTGGCAGGGAGGTAGTTTAGAGCCAGGAGAAGGACATAGGACTTTTTATCCCGTTCGACAGCATTCCCGTGTGAGTTGACATGAAACGTCAGTCACTATAAAACGTGGTATAACAAAAAAGAATCAGACTTGGAATAACAAAACGCAAATGACAACTTATATATATAATACATGTACACCCGTGCGAAGCCGGGGCGAGTAGCTAGTGTATAATATATGCGTGTTACAGTACAGCAAGCCGAGATATATTAAAATTTGTAATGCATCCGTGCGAAGCCGGGACGTGGCGTGACGTGACGTTATTAATAAATAAAAATAACTAAATAAAATTAGACCACTAACAACCAAATTATGGACTTATACATAAGCAACTTTAAATATGTTGACTTTATATTATTATATATTTTTTCACACCAAGTATATATATATTGTTTATACAATTGCGACTTAAATCTACACGGAATTACTGTTATTTAATTTTATATCCATGGACAATTTTAGTTAATTGTTGACAGTTTTTTTATCTATATGAGAACGAGAATCTTGTTCTTTTTGTACATTAATGTTATAAATATATTTCATATATAAATATATGTAATATTATGACATGTCTTAAAATATTTCTTTCATATAAATTTGAATAGTATTGCATAATGAATGTATGAATAATAACTATATTATATGAAGTACCATTGTACTTATTGAAGCATGACGTAGTAATATTACAAATGCATAAATTATTAAACATATATAATAACATATGAATAGGCAGAAATTTTATACATTTCACAGATTATAAAATATAATTTATTATAATTCTTACAATTGGTAGAAACATATAATGACAAGTTAGTAAGCAAATATATGAAGTATACATATATATGTATCTTAATACCTTTACACAGCGGTGACAAAGTTTGCAATTTCAATATCAAATTATTAAAAACATTGATATGCAATTTGTCAATTCAATTCAATAAAGATGGAAATTATACAGTTATTAATAAAAAATACTAGTACAGTAAGATCCCGGGTAACGCTGTTTCGTTTAGCGCTCCTTTATTACAACCCAGGAATTCGGATCACAACGAAAAGACGTCGAGGAAATAGTGTAAGAAACAGCAGCTAGTCTTTCTAATAATGAGCTCAAGGAATTAACTGAGCAAGAAGAAAACTAAAATATTGATAGTAGTGATTCCGAAGAAAAGAAAGAAAGATAGCCTAGTTTAACGCTGGAACTTATTGGAACGTATCCCCTGCGTTAAGCGAGGTCTTACTGTAATACAGCAATAGTTTTATGTTGTCTACAACATTTCAAAGACAGTCCATAGACAATCTATTAAAGCACTACAGAAATCGGAACTCTATTTACATACATAAAGTTAGTAGTAAGAAATTTACAGGACGATGCTACGTGAACGAAATAATTAAAGAAATATCTATAAATTTAATATTGGTATTACAATGTTAACTTTGAAGGTTGCCTCTGTCAGGTGCAAGCGAGATGGAGAACAACGCATCTTGTTATAAAAATACTATGAACTATAAATAGAGCAAATAGCAAATAGGGTATTTATAACTGGCTTTTTAGATATTAATTAACCTATCCAGAAAGTGAGTTCATTACTTTTAAATTCAAAGACAATACTGCAACAACCATATACTTTTAAATATTTCGATTAGTAGATACCTAGGTCGTAGACAAAAATTTCAAGACGCAATATCTTACAATGCTTCAATTTATTCATACACTAAAAACAATATAATGCACAGTTTGTTCACATGTTTCGGTCACAACATAGAATATACTCTTTGGTAGAAAAGAAAATGAAATACATTTAACGAAACCGTAACGAATAATAATAGATCATAAGAGAAAAAAAAAAACGGAAATTAAAAACACATTTTTGTTCATTCAACCAATTACTTTACGGTACTTTAGTCCGATTTCTAACGCACACTGCAAAATTACAGAGAATACATTCAGAGCTCTTATTTCAAATATCTCAATGGATTTACTTTATAAACAAGAAGACATGTTCAAACTTCATTACTACTCAATTGTTGTACATATATTAAACAATACAGACGTTTATGAAACAAATTGGAATTATCCTCAACCTATTTATCCTAAGATAAGTTTAAAAAGGTTGTAACAAAACAGATGGCGCTATTGCCACAAAAGTATCCACGACAGAAGAATGTAGTACAGTTACAAATAAAAAATACTAACAGATATCTGTCTGAAAGATATCACACATCTGTGCACTAAACGAAGAAAACTCTAAACAGATCACGTCTACATATTTCGATTCGCTATGTTATTACTTCGTCCAATACTGTACCATGCCTGACATACGTCAAAAATTAAAAAAACAAATATGTAATCTCACGCCAGGTCGGTAGTTTACGAGGTAAACAGGAAAAACTAAAACAGTTACTACATTTCCTGTACTAATAAACAGAATAGACACCTTTACACAATACGTTCTTTCAAACGCGATCAGAAACGCACGCGATTTATCGCGGGAAAGCGCGCAATCGTGTGCGATTGCATTTTACTATTTTTTGCGTTCAGTCCTTTTCGCGTATTAGCGTTTAGGTCACGTCATTTCAGTTCCTTTTAAAATTAAATTTTTGATTCTACAGTTTTTTTTTCCAAAGACACGTTTAAGATTTATAAATTACCAACAACTCTATGATTATGTCTTTGCTCTATGGTCAGATGTTCGACATTTTGACAATGATAATTTATTATTATAAAAAGGCGCTAAAGCACGTACGATTGAAGGACGCGGTAATGTCGATGCGGCGGCGAGCTAGCAGCGCGTGCGGATCTTCTCGTTGTGTTTGCCTACATTTACATGTTCATACTTTCCTGTGTGAAATTTTATTTGCGCGTGAAAGAGCGTACGTGTAAAGGCAACTATTGTTAATTTAAATACAATTTTAGTGCAAATTCTATAGTTTGCATATATTTGACATTTAGCTATCGAGTAAATTGAATAATTAATAACAAAATAAAATCATAAATTATTTGCATTTTTGTGATAAGAAAAATATTTCTTTGGAATTTTATCTATATAAATTCTAAATATTGAGTGTGTTAAATAATTATTAAAATCATTATAACTAAAAATAAATAAAACAAAATACCCATATAGTTGAGATAATCAAGATAAATTACATCCAAACTCATACGGGCATCGAGCAAATAATAAAAAACCAACACCTAATCATTGTTTTAAGACCCGAAACTACCCTTAAAGTTTACGAAAATAGTTTTTTCTAGATCGACAACCCTATGTACGGTGTGTAATTTAACTTGATTAGCTCATTGTTTGTTTACAATACGATTAAAATAAGAATAGTAATATGAGATGCTAATTGTACGAACTTCTTCGTACGATTACGAGGTTTTTATTCACCGTATGATGTACGAAAATCTACAGTCTCGTACAAATTTGTACGAGATTATTACGAGATACGTAATCAATATACGATATCTTAAAGTATCCATACATGCTTCAATTATAATTATTACCAACCTTTCGTTCGGTGTCAAAATCCCATATTTCAGCAGTGTTTCGACGGCCATAATCACAGATACTCATTAAAAAATGATTAAAACGTGGTACGATGCCGTGATTTTTCCTAATTGTACGTATAAATATTATAAAGTCGGTGTTTTTCCACTTGCTTAGGTTTCACAGATTAGGAAGGCGTAGGTACAAACTAAAACCCAGCGCTGGACGTTACTCCAGCAATGACTGACTTTCTACCTATTGTCATTCTTATATAAACATTGTATAATTGTGTAACTGTATTATTGTAGGCAATATTTTTTTTATTTTAATCGTATTGTACAATATACCTACGTAACTCAATTAGGCTAAAATACAACAAAAATAATAAAATGAAATAAATTCATCTTCAGGCATGGTCACATCCAGCGGACGGCAGTAACCGACTGTAGAGATTGGTCAAGTGTGAACCTACCTCTCTCCCTTTAGGAATATAAACTTTGTGAGTTTATTCTTTGCGGGGCTTCCTTTTTCTCTGTCCATCGCCAGCGCCTTCTGTATCCACGAGAGGCGTCGTCTGGAACAAATTTAATAGTAACTTTAATAATAAATAATTGATGAGCGTAGCCGGTAGGGCAGGGCGGGGCACTTGCCCCATTATGGCTCTGACCTGTAAGGTACCTAACCAAACCTAAAAAAGAAATTATCTAAGTACTAATTATGACACCTAATATCCATAAGAAAGTTCATACTCGACAGTCGACAGAAAAAATAATATACAGATACAGGGAGCATCCTGTATCTGTTTGTTACATTTATACAAAATGGTTACATCCTATAGCAAAAGCGGTTACACCCTATTGCTTTTGTATGAAAAAAAATAATCGGGATAATTCGGCGTATACAGTTTGCTAGTTACATAATATTTGTTTATTGCTGCTCCACCCTGAACCCATGGCTGGCCAACCCCATAATAATGAATCGCTAGATCACCGATGTATCCACACACTGATCTAAGATACTGTTTTAAATGTGACGTGGTCATTATTTATGTGTATAATTAGTAAATCACGGAATCTTTCTAATAGGGATCTAAACGTGGTAAAAACCTTTCTGTTGAAAGAATACATACTAAAACAATCTGTAAAAAAAAAGTACCTCCTCCGCCTCAGTGGAGTCTGGCTGCGACTCAGGGCCTTCGAGGTCGGCCTTGCTGGGTTTCTCCTGCAAATCCTCCTCGGCACCTTCGCCTTCCCCATCGGATTGATGGGGATCATCCTCTAGTACAGCATCAGTCTTTTTAATTTCTGCATCAGGGTCCTGGAAATACACAAACAGATGTAATATATAGATAGAATATTTATCTTTATATATAAAAACTAAAACGTTGTTTTGTATTAAAATAAAATAAAAAATTTAGGGGTGGACTACCCCTAACATTTAGGGGATGAAAAATAGATGTTGGCCGACGACCTACTCAATACGCTCACAAAATTTCATGAGAATCGGTCAAGCCGTTTCGGAGGAGTATGGGAACGAAAACTGTGACACGAAAATTTTATATATAAGATTACGAGTTACGGGGTGTGTCCGCAATAGACTCTTAAACTACTGAACCGATTGCAAATTTGATTTGCGCATTGTGTGCAATTTGATGTCCAGCAGTGGACGTCCTCCGGGCTAAGATGATGATGTGCAATTTGATCCAACTTGAAAGATAGGATAGCTTAATTAAATTCTCTATAGTCGCAATATTATTTTATTCAAGAAACTTAGCCACAGCAACGCGTGGCCGGGTCTGCTAGTACTTAATATATATTATAACTAGCTTTTGCCCGCGGCTTCGCTCACGTTGTAGTAAGTATTATTATTAATTAGGTGTAGTTTTTGCGGATTTACTTTTGTTTAGCGTGTGTAAAAAATTAGGGCCTACAAAATCTAAGAAGATTTATATAAACTTTCATCCCCTTAGGGGTGGAATTTATCCAAATCCTTTCTTAGGGGATGCCTACGTCATAGAAACTTTATGCATGCAAAGTCTCAGCCCGATCGGTTTAAAATTGACAAAGTTTCATACAAACTTTCATCCCCTTGGGGGTAGAATTAATCAAAATCCTTTCTTAGCGGATGCCTATGTCATAACATCTACCTGCATGCCAAATTTCAGCTCGATCCATCCAGTGGTTTGGGCTGTGCGTTGATAGATCACTATGTCAGTCACCTTTGAGTTACATATATTTAGATAATAGAAAAATCATTACATAAAGTTAAATATAAGCACTTTTGAGTAGTCCTTACCAAAGTTTTTAATTCATCGCTTATTCGGAAAGCTGTCTCATAACAAGAACGAACAAGAAACTTGCGTGTTGCGTTGAACAGCTAGTATTAACACAGTTTAAAAATACTTGCTATGTCTATTCGTCTTCTCTTTCCAATGCTACATTACAATGTTTGGGTGTAGTATACTCACAGATTTGGATCCGCAGCACAGATACGCAAACAGGCCCACCACGAGGAAAGTGCCGACGATAACCACCGCGTAAATCCACGGGTTATTGGCAGCGTACCTCAGCGTCCTCTCCACTACAGAGTCCTGCAATTAGCTTTGCTACTCACTACTCTCTCTAGCTTAACACTTACATTACTAGCTTAATACTTAAATGGAGAGAGGGAGGAATAGGTTATCGGTAACATGTAGTTTGACGGTTTGAATTCCAAAAGACCGTCACATCACTACTGCATTTTACATATTTTTTCACTTTGTTTTTTAAAGAACTAAGTTATTACGAAGTGTAAAATTTTGTTAATATATTTTTATATACATTACTTTATATATATAATACATATATTTTTTATCTTACACATTATTAGCTGTTTTCAGCCTTATGCTGGGTTGTGATCAGTGTAAAGAGAGGTAATTGTGGTTTTTTTCGATGTAATTATTATAAATTTCATAAATTCTATTCTATTATATAACATAAATGAAACAGAGAAACCATTTAATAGTACAGTAGCGGTAACCGTTAGCTCAGTATAAGCACCATTCTAGCTGGAAAGGGGTAAACTGACTGAGGACAAATACTGCCATATAATTAAAACCATTTTTTCTGGCACCATTAAATTCTAGCATACTAATAAGTGGTAAAGTGTGACCTCTTTGGCCTTTTTGACGAGGAAAGCCACGTATATAGATATGGGGATGGCGCAGTACACCCCGTAGATGGCCCACCATCCCGGCTTGTAGTTCATGGCGCGAAGCATGCGACCCCATAACGTTTTCTATTATCACATGACAGTATATTCATTACGAGTTTTTTTATAACTATTCTGATGCTGTTGGCCGCAGATGGCCTTTATAGACAAAAATACTACTATAGACTTGACTACACACGATTACAAAAACAATTAAACAATTTGTAGATATATGCATCTGCCATATAGATTTGTTAATGTACAGATAACATACAAAGAAAACACCCAGACCGATACAATCATTCTCATGAATACAAATGCTTGTACCGTGCAAGGAATCCGCGACCATCGGAAGTAAAGCGGGGTGCTAAACCGCTAGACTGAGATCGTTAAAGTTAATTGAACATAATGTTATTATTTACTCAGCGGTAATAATTTATTTATTTATTTATTTACATGCTCTCGGTGAGTATTACAGTATAATACCAATGCACTCATCAAGGATTAAACTTACGCAATACATAGATTAATAGTAATAATAATTATAGTAACAATAACTGTTTTCTATATATATATATAGAAAACAACAACTACAGAAATTACAATAACAATAATAATTTACACAAGAATAATACCTATTCTAATATTGTGACTCCACAAAACTTGTTACCGCTCTGTGAAACTCTGGGGCAGTACAGTTAAATATGTCAAGTTGACAAATTACAGATACCTCATTAAGCAGACGAAGTGCTCTTGGGATTGGTGCATGATCAGCACCTGAGGTGTGATAATAGAAAACACTCACCGAATCTCTAGAGATCTTGGCTCGTTTCAGTACAAAGGATTGCTGCGCCCAAAGCTCCGCTAATGCTTCGTCATCAGTAACGATCAGGTTGTCGAACAGAAGAAGCGGTGACATCGACCACAGTTCGAAACCAACAGCATGCTGTCAAATAAGTTATCACCATTATTTGCCTTAAGGTACATTTTGGAAATAATTTTGAATATTATAAAAAACAAAAATGTATAATTTTATTGCAATCTTAGTGGTTGATATAAATCTACTTATTTATAACCAATTTGCAATATGTTACTACCCGAAATCCTACTCCTATTTTTATCCACCAAATCTGGGGGTAGCATCAACAAAACGAGAGTCGTTCGTTGTACGTCGCGTCGAGCACACGAACACAGAAATCAGCATATTCTCCGCGAATCAACGTAAACAGGACCATCAGCCGCGATCTCCGCGCAATCATCTTATTAGTACATCATGCATTGAAAATCATCGTGTGTTGAGCATTTTTAAAGTGAAACGGCTACGCGTATATAAGATCTGTACGCGGGGACGACACGAACCAGGTTTGTCCTTAGTTTCCCTTTTTTACCCAACACTTAGGTTGTTTTACATAGTCAAGTTGTACATAACAGTGAAAATCCTTTTAATCATACAGATATAATAATGCCACCTGAACTAGTATAGAATTATAGTGTATCGCAGTCGAACAGTTCTCAGTGATCTCTGATTGGTCAAAAATTTATCAAAATTAATTTAAATGTTTGACCACTATATATTACGGGTCAGATTGTTTATATTATTAATATGTGAAGAAAAAACATTTGTCATGCTTTTTACGAAAATTGCGTCGACGGATGTGTATGAAATTTCACACAATGACAGTTTATATTGAGGAGTGCTGAATGCTAATATAGTTTTTAAATTATGCATAAATAATACTGTTTAATGTATTTGACACACACATGCATAAGTATAGTCTTTGACAATAGAACCTTATGAAGTTCAAACTTATAATTTATACCAATTATTGTTGATTTTCGACCACTGGGCGACCACTAGTAAAGTTAATTAATCATAAACTCACAATAGGCGTCATTTTGAATGGTTGCTCATCTTTGAAGTAGTCAGGATTGGGTATTTTACGAGGTGACCATTTCCCTTTGTAGTTGGGGTTCGGAATGAGAGGCGCGCGCCAAATGCCCTGTAATAAGAATAATAAAACAATTAAGTAAAAATAATAACGAGGCTTACTTTATAGTAACACTATCGATGCGTCCTGGCTTCGCATGGATGCATAAAGATATTTAAATATTTGTATCTTTAAATTTATCAGCTTGTTCTATGCTATAACACACATGTAAAGTATCTATATAACCTGCATTAAAATCTTTGTGTAGTTTTAAATAAACTTGATAATTGTATCTCAAAAACATAAATGTGAAATAAAAATATTATGATATTTGCTGATTGTTGACATTAAAATCCGTTGTGTAGTTTTGAATAAAATATAAAATGTCTTTCTTCTTATAACTTCGATTTAGATAAACTTGTATTACAATTAGAAATTACACAATTACATTAGTTTTAAATATTTTTTATTTATTAAGTTCTGCTGTGCTGTGCTTTTATATGCTCATTATTTGCTACGTGAAAGACGATTCGCGCGTGAAAGAGTCTACATATAAATGCAGCTTATGATAAATATTTGTAATAAATTTTAAAACAAAGACACGTTTTAATTTCTACCCTATCATGGGTGGTCATAATTACCTTGTAGCTGGGGTTAGGAATGGTAGGCGGGGACCAGTCTCCGCAGCCAGGAGCCGTGGAACAGATCGGATTGTCGATGAGTGGTGCCTCCCACTCACCATCCATATCCTCGTCCCAGTCAGATGGTTTCAGGGCATCAGGGTCTATCACAAATGTAAATATCTTTACATACATCGAGGTAGACATTATGAGTCTCTTTTCTTTGTATTGATATTGATTTTTAATATATATATGTGTTTGCAAGGAATTAACTGTTTTTTTTATTAAAAGATAAAAATATATGTAGCCCAAGTCACTCCTTAGAACATTAGCTATCTGCGAGTGTATTACCCGTCAAAATCGGTCCAGCCGTTTCAGAGATTAACAAGAACAAATAGATAGATAGATAACAATTTTTTAAATTAATTTTCAATGATTCAATACTTTCATACGCATTTAGTGAAAAACTGTTAATTTGAAATTACATACACTTCAATTTTATTTATTTATATAGATTATGTACATTGTTAGTTATGGACGAATGAGGAAAGCTTACCAGGAATCATCTCGGGTTCATTGTCCAGCCAACCGTCAGGCTTGACAGCATTGGGATCCACAATCTGCGCGGGCGCATCCTCATCCCAGTCCTCCGGTTTCGACGCTGTAGGATCTACTACCTAAAAAATAATTATATATATAGAATATTGTACATTCACACTATGCTGAAGGGATAATCATCGCTGCTAAGAATATCCTTCAATTCTTGTCCCTGGCGGGTCTAGGTAGCGAACTCTGAAAAAGGGCGAGCACAATAGATCTATGCAGGTCGCAGTGTTACAGTTCTTAGCACCTGACAATAGCGCAAAACAGTAAAAAAATTGTACATTGCTATCTACAAATAAGTAAAAACTTACAATGAGTAATATTTAACCTATATGAATATATAGATAAGTAAAAACTACCCCTTTTTACCAAAATTGCGTGGATGGAGTATGAAATTTCGCACATTTATGGTTTACATAGAGGTGTGCAGAATGCAAATTTTTTTCAGCTATGCATATGCAAAAGTACATTAAATCATTAAATAAAAAATTACATACACTAACCATTATATTACATGACTGATAACAAAACGCCAATGCCAAATAATGTCAATATTGTTAATTTAGAAATCAGTGAATCAAGGTTTGTTTCTGTACTGTTATCAAAGTATATGAAGCATGTGTGACAAAACATTAGTAACGTTCAAACATAATTTAAAGAAATTGTCGATTTCCGACCTCTGGACGACCAGCAGTTTATATTAATAGAGGAAATATTAGATTTTTTGTATGTACGCTTGTCATGAGCTTGCCAATTTTAAAATATCAAAATAATGCCACAACATTTTCTTTATCTAAGTATACTAAATACATATACATCTAAAACTGTACTGTAACATAATTTTTAGTGTTACACAAACAATAAGTCTTTTTAAAGATAACGGCACTGCTATGTTTATTAAAATTGATAAACTTCCAGAAAATATCTGACGATGTAACATATAGCAGTTTGTTGCAAAGTTACATAGATGGTTGATTCTAAATATTATGTGTTGCCATATCCGAGAATTAAAGTGCCATGCCATTTATCTCATAATTTCACAGTCTTATCTCACCAAAACATAGCTTAGCGGCTGCAATACATGAGACCGAGGTACTTATGCAGAACACTTTTTTATAATCAAATGAAATCAAAATATCTTTATTCATTCTATACAGGTCTATTACAGTTCGGAGGGCTTTTGAGCTAAGAAGAATTGACAAGTAATTTTAATTCAAATTAAGGAGAATAGAGGACCACCTCGGTGGTCTACCGGTCTAGCACACCGCTTTACGACCGATGGTCGCGGGTTCGATTCCTGGCACGGCACAAACATTTGTATTCATAAATATGATTGTTTGTATTGGTCTGGTTGTTTTCTATGTATAATATGTATGTATTTATAAAAAAAAATATCTATGTATATGTATCAGTTATGAAGTACTCATAACACAAGCTTTAGCTAGCTTAACTTGGGTCTAGATGGCGCTGTGTTAATTGTCCTGAGATTATTATTATATTATTATTATTATATCAGCATATATTATTGCAATTTTGTCAAAAGGAAATAGTTTTACAAAGCCAATGTTGTACAAAGGTATGAGAAAGTCAGACTATACTCATACCTTTTCCCTCTCATCCCAATCCTCAGGCTTCTTGTCATTAGGGTCCTCAATCTCCTCTGGGGGGTTGACAGGTGGGGTGAAGTCCTCAAGCAGGGATCCCGAATTGACCTCCTTCTGGTCCACAAGTATTCTGAATGTGTTGTCCGGCCGAATGATCAGTGTGTAGAGATGGGGCTCCTTATCTTTGTAGAAGTCTTCTATACGTTGTCTACAATGAGATTAATTATTATTAGAACAATGATTCATTCATTCATTTATTCAACTAGTTACTCGCCCCGGCTTCGCACAGGTGTACATATATTATATATATAAACCTTCCTCTTGAATCACTCTATTAAAATTACGGCTTCAAAATCCGTTGCGTAGTTTTAAAGATTTAAGCATACATAGGGACAGCGATAGCGACTTTGTTTTATACTATGTAATAATGATATATAATTTTTTTTAACCCTCACACGTATACTCTTTCATAGACGAATCGTGTTTATAAAGATGAGAGTATGTAAATGTATGTAAGAGAAAGAGATAAGGCATACGCCGTCAAAAAACTTAATTAGAATAGAATAGAAAACACTTTATTCAAATAAACTTAATTCTAGTACTTTTGAATAATCACAGTTATTTAATTTTCTCTCTACCTCTTATTCCATAGTACCCTATGGACGCCACATATATTCTGAATAATAATGTAAAATGATATCACGGTTATCATGCGACACCTTTGGTACCACTTACAAGACACCATCCCAGAGGGTTAAAAATCCTTGCCTATATCTTCATACTTTTGACGGCCTAAGTGGTCTAGCGGTTTAGCACATGGCCTCACTTTCTGATGGTCGCAGGTTCAATTCCTCGCATTGTGCAAACATTTGTATTCATTAGTATGTTTGTTTGTATTGGTCTGGGTGTTTTATACGTATATTATGTATTTACAAAAATATATGTTTGATTTTGATATAGATTTTAGAAATATATGTTTCTGCTCAGTTACGGACTACATGACGTTGTGTGTATTGTCCTGGGTTATTTTATTGTAAGTAGTTACGTAGATATCTGAAAGATGATATGGCAAGACAGGGAGTAACCAGTCGCCTGCAAACAGGGATGAATGGAAGAGAAAAACATTACGCCGTCCACAAATGAATGGGATAAGGAAGAAGTAGATGATGACTTACGTGGGCTTCTTGCTGTGCTTCTCTTCAATAGTGCCGTTCTTGGGGTTCTTGTGCCTGAATATGAAGTGTAGTTTGTTATCATTGCCACATTTGTCCGGCCCAAACATCACAGTGTACGGCGTTTGGTCGTGGAATTTACGCAAGTCCGCTTTTGTGTTGGTGCCTCTTGATAGGAGTTTAATGTACGAGCCCCCACAGTTTTGTCCTTCCTATAAATATTGTCGTAAATATAGTTAAATCACATAAAAATATACCTGAATCAAATTAATTTAGTACTTCTATATATGTACTAAGATATCTAGAGATGCAGTGAGTGTATTTTAATATTACTGTTACATATAAAATAACATATTTAACTAGATTCGACGGCCTCAGTGGTCTAGCGGTTAATTGAATGGTCACGGGTTCGATTCTCCACGGTGAAGGATTTGTATTTCTGAGTGTGATTGTTTGTATTGGTCTGGGTGTTTCTATATAGATTAGGTATGTATTTACAAAAAATGAAATTATTTATATCAGTTGTCTAGTACTCATAACACAAGCTGTACTTAGTTAGGAAATAGATGGTGCAGTGTGAGTAGTCCTAAGATTTTATTTTTATAAATATGAACGAATGATAGTTACAAGTCCGTAATAAGAACTTTCATGACTTTGCATAACATTAAAAATTCACACAAAGAAAGCAATGTGTCATTGTTTACAAAACTTTTGGCGCTAAAAAATGTATTATTCACATAAACGTCGTAAAAACGTATAAACGCAATCGTATTTTGGCCGATGGCCAATATTTTTTGGAAGTGCTATATGTTCACGTTTATAAATACGGTATGGACGTCAATGCAATTGACTGACCCTTTTTAGCCTTTTTTTTTATTTCATTCCATCTATTAAAAGATTATAATAAATTCGTGCACCCGCCTGCGCTAACGGTTTACACAGGCGGGGCTCCAGGGGAGGATAATAGGATTAGAGTTGCCAACCTTCCTGTTTTCCCAAGACATATCCTAGTTTTTGAAGTCCTGAATAGTTATTTGGCAGGGTCCTGGGTCTTTAAAATATTCGCGCCTCTTAATTGCTGATTTTCAACAGTATAATTTTATCAAAAACTTTTTATTAAAAAATCGATTATATTATTTACTAGCTACTCGCCCCGGCTTCGCCCGGGTGTACATGTATTATACATATAAACCTTCCTCTTGAATCACTCTATATATAAAAAAAACACTTCAAAATCCGTTGCCTAGTTTTAAAGATTTAAGCAAACAAAGAGACGGACGGACAGACAGCGACAGCGACTTTATTTTATACTATGTAATGATTTGAATTTTACTACATATTAATATAACTATTGCAACACTATTACTACGTTCTGTTTTTAAACCAGTCCTGGTTTTTTGAACTTTCAATCCTGGTTTTTAAATTTGGCAACCCTAAAGAAGATGAACATGAGGTCAGGTCAGTTAGCCGTATAATAAATCTTACAATATTAGCTTGTGACTAGATGGCGCTGTGTGAATTGTCTTGAGATATTAATATTATTAAAACAAATACATTATTATTTAATCCAATACAATACATTGACACAAGTTAGGATTGCGTGGTTATAAGCAAATTAAGGTATCAGCGTGGCCACGCGATAAGCTCATTAGTAGCTAGCAAGTAATGCAGCTTAAAACGTTTGGGAAGCAGTATGCCCTACTAATATTGTAATCCATACTAATATTATAAATACGAAAGTAATTGTGTCTATCTGTCAGTCAGGCTTTCACGTCAAAACTACTGAACAGATTTATATGAAATTTAGTACACAAATAGATCCTGAGAAAGGATATAGATCACTTTTTAATGCGAAAAAGGGTTCTAAGAGGTTGAAAGGGGAGATGAAAGGTTGTGTGGAAGTATCGTAATTTTTTAAGCTAGAAGCTTAAAACTTATTGTTTAAGCTGTATCCTTAATGGGGGTAAAATAGTGGTTGAAATTTTAGTATGGAAATTCGTAATTATTGAAATTTTTTGAATTCCATTGGTTGGGGCTAGATTATTAATAATTATACATATGGGTCTAATTTGTATAATAATCATTACATAATATAAAACAAAGTCCCTGTCGCTGTCTGTCCGTCCCTACTCCCTATGTATGCTAACTTCAGAATACCCTGCAGACTTCAGAATTTTAAAATTACGCGACAGATTTTGAATCAGTTTTCTTGAATAGATAGAGTGATTAAAGAGGAAGATTAACATATATAATACATGTACATCCGTGCGAAGCCGGGGCGAGTAGATTATATATAATAATTATAATATGGTCGAGCGCAGTAATCCGTCATTGTATAATAATCATTACATAATATAAAATTAATTGTTTAACCAGTTGGTTATGTATTCAATATTTTTTTCTTTTGAGTATTTAATTGAATTAGTGCTAATCGGTGGTTTGTATTCATACACTTTTAAATTGTAAGTAAGAATAAATTATTTAAAAGAACACAAGTTTCTTGCTTGTTCTTCTTGTGATGAGACAGATTCCGAATGAGCGAAGATTAAAAAAATATAAATGTTATGACTATTCAAAAGTGCTTCAATGTAAGTTTATTTGAATAAATGATTATATATATATATACCTATATAATAAAAAAAGCTATCCAATGTCACCATTCCTCGCGAACGAAGTCGCGGGACCAGCTAGACAGGCGTTAGACAAGATCAATTTATCTCTCAACAATGTTACAGGGGCATAATTATTTAAACACTTAACAATTCTGAATTGAAACAAATTAAAGTCGATTACTTTGCTATTTGAGAGTTACAATTGCATGCAAACTGCAAGTGTGACAAATTCTGTTACAATTTTGTGAACCGTACAACTGTTCGGACCATTGTTCTGAACCATTTGACGTCCTCCGTCGGTAGTCGGCGTCGTCGTCTGATGGTCGCGGGTTCGATTGCTAGCAGGGCACAAACATTTGTATTCATGAGTACGATTTTTTGTATCAGTTTGGACCTTTTCTTTGTATACATGTATGTACATACAAAAAAAATGTATTTAAGTCTTTATATCAGTTGTCTAATACCCAGTTTAAAAAGGAGTAGATGACGCTGTGTGAATTGTCCGGATTTATTATTATTAATATAATTTTAATTACAATACCTGCAGAGTAACTTCATACTGAACTATAAAAGGCTTGTCAGTGAACTCAAAAGGCCTATCCAGCAATGCTGATATAGCGGCGTGCTTAGCTTCTGTGGTCAACACTAAACCTAAATCGTTTTTAAAGATCTTCCTTGTTGGTGCTTGGATCTGTAAAAAAAAAATTTGATCTATAAATATTGACTCCAGTCAGATAAGAATCTATTCATGTATAGTTACTACAGGCAGAGAAGTATTGTGTTTAAAAATTAGCTTTTTGGAAAGATAAATTGGCTAATATTTAGCCAACTAGAATTTACTTTTAAGTTAATTTTATCTACTTTAGGCAGATAAATTAACAGTATACTGGCTGTTCTTGTTTTTTAGACCTTTTCTTTTGTTCTTATTCTTACTTTTATATGTCATAAATATGTCTTGAAAATCTTTTTTAGCAACTTCTCTAATAGTATTTTTACTTGCAAGTAAGGAGTATTAATTATCTCAAAGATTTGCAGATTTTGTCCAGTGGAAGAGGAAACGCTAAAATGTGTATTGAGGATCTTAATAAAGATTCACAAATTTTGCCCACTGGAGGAGGCAACGCCACTATACATCCTATTTGTTGTAACCCGCTTAGGCAAAAATGTAATACCTGCTATAGAAAGTATACACACTATCCCGAAGATATAAAAACCTTTGCTCCTAAGAATGTCCTTAAATTCTTGTCCCTGACAAATGAAGGCAACAAACTTTGCAGCAAAAAAAAGGAGTGAGAACAAAAGATCTCTGCAAGTTGCAGTGCTATGTCTTTATAGGACAGAGTAATAACCTGTGCCTACACTTGAAATATTTCTGTCAACACTTAAGACCCTTCCATTCTCCTCTCTTCTTTCATGTTTCTCCAAACACTCCCAAGTTTGCATTATGACTCCGTGTTGAGTGCCCGCGTTTCGAATAAGCATTGTAGTTGTAGTACAATCATTTCAATGGTATACTCACTACTTAGATACTACAATAAATAAATTAAGTAGCGACACATCATCACATCATATATAATGCTGTGGTGAGGATAACCACTGAGCTGTAAGTCCAAAGCCCTTAATAGAAAAAAAAAGTGTTTTGAGGATAAGGACATAATCTAAAAGTGTTTGAATCCATAAATTGGATTATCCCACTTGGTAGAAGGTATTAGGAAAGAAGCAGATGTCTATACATATAAATAAAATTGGAGTGTCTGTTGGTAATATTGAAGTAACAGTTTTTTTTGTTTGTTCCGGCTACTACATGCATATGAATATAAATACTTTTTGAGATGTACATACACAAAAATAACATTTTTTACAATTTTTGTCTGCCTGTCTGTTTGTTTGTTCCACAGGCTTTCTGTATATCTCAGAAATGGCCAGACCGATTTTAAGGGGATTTTTAAGGTAAAGTTTTAAAGGACAGGTAACTGATGTAATGAGGAGTAACTTAGGCTACTTTTATTTTAGAAAATAAAAGAAAATTCCATGCGGACAATGTTGCAGGGAACAGTGAGTACTAAATACAATTGACTTACCTCCCAGTTTCCATCGTACTTAGCAATATTCTCATCCACACCCTGTTTCTTGGCTTCTGACTTCACCCATTTCTTCTTGAAGGCATTCTCATCATCAAAGTGCTCTGCTAGGTAGATACCTTTGCCACTTATTTGAGGACTGCTATATTTGTCTTCATCTTCAGTCTGATAAATATATATATAAACATACCAATGTTATAACTGCAAAAGCATGTATGTCCATCTATCTGTTTGTTACATTTTTGGGGCTGAATAGATTGTAAGATATGGAAAAGACTATCTTTTATATAAATTAATAGTATGTTAGGGTATTAAAGTTTAAGCAAACTAAGGGTTACAGTTATTTTTACATATATAAAATTTAAGTCACTTCCATTGTCTGATCTGATTATAATGCAGGTTTAAGTAATAGATGGAGTGATTCAAGAGTGAGGTTTATATGTACAATACATGTACACATGTTGTGAAGCCATAGCAGGTAGCTAGTTTATCTATAACCCACAAATCTACAAATATAAATGTTGTCAGTTGAGCTAAAAGCATCAATATACCACTCATTTTGCTATTAAGCAATATATAAAAAAGATCTAGAACTTATTTAATAATTATAAGCAATGTTCAAATAAATATTCTTTGACACTTCATTGAATAGATTTTGAATTGATAACATTCAAAAGCAAGTTAATAAATTAAAACAATTAAACAATAATTGAATTACCACTATAGTCGAGAAAAACAAACATGAGTAATGCATTTTATTAATATCACAAATAAATAATATAATAATAACAAGTTCTATTTGACACAAGTGAATAAGAAATATCTCATTAAATATTAAAAGGATTCACAGGCGTCAAAATTATCTATGACTCAGAACAGGCAGTGAATCTAACCTTTTTACCATTCTGCCTTTAGCCATTATACCTATCTGTACTCCATTGTGTGACTTAATTAATTAAGTGGATTTCCCTATAGTGGCATTTAGTTTAATTGCATAATCATGGCTGTGATAGCTACCATATAAGCCATCTGTTGCCATTCCAGAGAACTGTATGCCTTCATACAGTCATTTTACTACCTTATCTCACCCTTTAACCATAATACATATTACAGTTCAAACTTGGCAGCAGAAATAGTTGACCCACAGATAACAATGGCTCTGTATAATTCTCTATTCCATATTCTTTGCCAGTACCATTCAAGTTCTATATTAGAACAATGATTTGTTAGAAGAATTCAGTTACATTTTGTTAGATAAACTTAGACAAATATATGATAAAATTGATCTAGATTACAGATAGTGGAGGTAACATTACATCAGATAAAATTAATTAAAAGAAATGTAGGTCGAGTAACCTACAAGTACTAACCTCAACCGTTACATCGTCGTCAGCGTCCTTACCGGCGGCTATTGCAGTCCCCGTCAACACCAGTAAGGCACTTATTAATATACTAATACGAGCCATCTGAAAGAAAAACATTAATACAGTAAATACGTAAGCTCAACTCTAAAAAGTCCGTAGGACTTTTAACAAAAATCACTCTTGCAATATACTTCTAAATCACGTTAGGATAGAACAACGATGTACTATAGAAGAAACTAGAGTCAAGTTAATTTAATTAAGTGTAAAAAGCTAAAGTTCAACAAACCGATAGATGAAAAAGGATATCCTCAATTTATTAAGGACCACCGGTACAGCTCTTAGGCTTCGAAATAAAATAAGATTTTTCCCAGTTTTTTAAGTACCTACCGCGTTTATTTCCTTGAAATTATTATTAATGATGTTTAATTATAATAAATTGTTGATATAACATGAAAAAACCAAAGCAAACGCGGATGACTTTCGTTCCGTTTCGTTTTCCTCTGAAAATTTTCAGCCAATCAAATATAAACAGTTGTCAAAGCGTGACAGAGGCGCAATCCAGAATTTTCCGATGCGTTCCAACAATTTAAATTTTATGTTATATTCTCACGTGGTCAGCAACTTCTTATAGTTTGTTTAGTGGTTTTACAAACCGAGTTAAGTATAATAAAAAATTAGGATTCTTGTTTGTGTAACAAATCATTAATTCCATTATACATATTTAATAAAAGAATAATTATAAAAAAAAACCATGATAAAAAGTTATTAGTGAGTTATAAAATCAATGCTATATTTTTTTATAGAAATATTGAAATAAATTGATTTATAATATACGGTTCTATATGCTAAAAATTACATTAAAAATGTTGTTCCTTTTTAATAATACAAATTTAGTAATTACTAAACACAATTTAAATAATAAGCATAATTAAGAGAATCTTTAATATTATATACAAATATATTAAATAATTGAATTTAATTCAATTTAAACAAATAAGACATTTGTGACTTTCTACGTAACTTAAGACTTTTTTTTGTACATCTTTTCGGCATTAAGGTTGGCAACCCCATCTGACACTATCAGAACTGTCAATGTCAATTTAACCGCATATTTTTCATACTTCGTATTCCGGTCTGGACATATATACCGGAATAGTAAATTTTTCTTATAGTTCCGAACAGTTTACAAACATTTTAATTTTTTTTCTCATGATATATTCCTTACTTATATTAATTAGGCAACGACTCTGTTTGTATCCGTAACACATTCTGCATAACCCTGAAGAAAGGAAAACTATTTTAATGAATTTTTGAACACGGTAAGGACCACTAAATATTATTTAGTAGAATAATTTTGATTGCGCGAATTAATAATTAAATTGTATAGTGGTATACATATTAAATTATTTGTATACACAGCTGTACATGATTTACATACAGCTATTTATATTTAGATACAACTGTACTATCAATAAAGTGTGTATTTAACATGGTAGGCATTTAAGTAAATTTGTTGAATTAAATATTTTAAATAGTTATTCTGTACTTATTGTGGCTATATACTAATTTATAAATTAATTTACGTTTTGGGTTGGGTTGGTTCTTATATATTGTATCCAGTAGGTAAAAAAAATGTATTTATCAATGATAGATTATTATCAGTACTTCCACTAAATAGATAAGATATAATTAGGATAATCTATATGAATGTTCATATTGCAGAGTACTAACTGATGTTAATTTTATGCTGTCTTTTAAATGAAATAATGTAGGTTGAAAGTTACTCTGTACTCACACTCACATTTTATTTTCTAATAATTTGATGTCATACTTTTGTTTGTCATATTTTATTTATGAATGTTAAAAATAAAAAATGTCCAGATGGCATTTATTATATGTATTTACATCTCCAGAGACACAGTCTGAAATGTTTATTAAAACAAGGCAACTAAGTTGATGTTAAAGTGATTAATTTTCAATTAATTCATGCCTATGTATTCCTGCAGACAATGGCAGTGTTGCGGCGTCTGATCTCCCGTCTGCTGAGGACAAGAAATCTTCTTATGTTCACAATAATAGTTATATTGCTTTATATAATTAAAACACTTGGCAGTCTAGAAGCATTCGAGACAAAAGCCAGTAAACTTATAGAACAGTTACAAGAAAATCAAGGGTTTGGCCAAGAGCAGAATGAATACTTTGTACCAACTAGTTTAAAGGTAAGTGTTTCAAAATTCTTTATTGGTATGTAGATAACTCTTTACTGGTATATAGTTAATAATGTAGATAACATACTGACACAAAAATATAATAACAGCAAAAAATGTAAACATTTTCTATAACTAAAAGTATTAGCTGACTTTAAAAATGGATTCTGTTTAGAATTCACAATGTGCATAAATTCTGACCTATTTCTAAATATCTGTTTATATTTTGCCTGCAGTTTCACTAATACTCTCTATATTATCTTTACAATCATTGTAGAAAAACAAATATGTATTTTGATTTGGGTTAAATTTATAAATCTCAATGGGTGTGCTAATATGGACTGGTTTAGCATGAGACTGGTTTTCTGCCAGGCGCTGATGTTTATGTATTTATTTATAGCCTTCATATATATAATGTTAATGCTGTTTTTGTGAATTGTTTTCACTGCCTCTGTTCATCAGTAGAGACAATGTTGAGAGATATATCATCCTTCTGATATAAGAGCAGTGACCCTGAAATAAGCATATTTTGATTAATAATTCTACAAAAGTTAAAAATAACTCTTATAATAAAAAAATTGCCTATGCTTCACCCCATATATGAATTTTCCTAAAAAATTGCCTATAAGCATCTCCACGATCCCAACTGTATCTATAACAAATTTCATCATAATCAATTTAGTGATTTAACTATGAAAGTATAACAACCAAACTGATAATAACTAAATGTTACTATAATACTATATTTTACAAGCAGACCCCACCATGCAGTGCTATGGCTAAGGTTCTTGAATAAAATAATATTGCGACTATAAATTGAGATGTAAGCTATCCTATCTTTCAAGTTGGATCAATTTGCACATTGCAAATCAAATTTACTATCTGTTCAGTTAGGAGTCCATCGCGGACAAATAACGTGACACATAATTTTTATATATAAAGATTATATACTAGTTGTGCTTGTGGTTTCACCCACATGAAATTTATAGCCTATGTGTTATTCTGATGTATAAGATTTATTACTGTAAACTTTCAGATACATTATTATTATATTAATAGTAATTATTAAAACAATCTATTTGCAATTATATATTTGATTATATGTTTCATATTTGCACTGTTTTGTTTATTTATGATTTATTAGTTCATTACAATGCACAGGAAACTTGTAATGTTCTAACTTTGTTTATGATTCCTGCTATCGCGTTGTGATAAGACCTGAACGTTGTAAATTATTGTTGGCCAAGTGTATTTCACTAGTTTAGTTATGTCCACAACAGTTAAAAATCTCCTATAATTTAAATATTACTTCATCATTAAGAAAAATCGTGGAATCTTATCATGTTTTATTTATTTTTCTATACCTGATATTTTGGCAGTTGCATAATAGTTTACCCTTAAGAAAAAGTGTATACCCTTATTCATAGGAGTTTAATTATTACATTTAATCAATTAAGAGTTAAGAAAAAGTGTTTACCATAAGGGTAAACATGTATTTCTTAAAGGTCAACTCTTAACCCCTAATATAATGGTAAACACTTTTTTTAAGGGTAAATCCTTATTCAGTATTGGGTTAAATTTAATAATTATATTGTAGAAAAGTGACTCATTACGAAGAATAACATGAATAAAAAAAATACAGTCACTACCACCGCCACAATATCATACTTCCAAGTATATATTTCCCTAATTGACTACTTACATGTGTAATATATAGGTTTTTTATTTCAGAAAATAGACTGGCATAATTATAAGCAGATAGACTATGAGAAGACACGCGAGGGTTAGTATTATATTATATTTAATGTATCTTTATGAATATTTCTAAAACTCAAGATTTCTCTGTTTCTTGGTCGTCGATCTTTAAGACTCGAGGCGAAATAAATAAATTTTTAACGCACGAGTGTCCATGCACTGCTTCATTATCTAAACATCTATACATTATATAATATATAAATAAAATTGAAGTGTCTGATTGTAATATTGAAATAACAGTTTTTACTACATGCATATAAAAATTCTAAAATAAGATTTTTTAGAATTTTTATGTGTCTGTCTGTCTATTCCGGCTAATCTTTGAAATGGACCGATTTTTGGCAGATAGCTGATGTAATAAGGAGTAACTTAGGCTACTTTTATTTTAGAAAAATAAAGTTAAATTCCACGCGGATGAAGTCGCGGAAACAGCTAGACATCCATAAAAAAATACACATTGCAATGATTTTCAGGAATTGGAGAGCAAGGCAAACCAGCAAGTCTGCCCAAAGAAGATGAGGAATTGGAGAAGGAATTGTACTCAGTGAACGGCTTCAATGGGGCTCTGAGTGACAGGATCCCGTTGAATCGCTCATTACCAGATATACGGCATCCAGGCTGCAAGAAGAAACTGTATATAGAATCCTTGCCGACTGTAAGCGTGGTGGTGCCATTTCATAACGAGCATTGGAGCACATTGTTAAGGACCGCTTACTCTGTGCTCTACAGATCGCCGGAGTATTTAATAAAAGAGGTTTTTCTAGTCGACGATGCTAGTACTAAAGGTAAATTCGTAATTATTATTAATAAATTCTGAAATTTTTACTTTTTACATTGACATAATTTTCTGCTAATTATTTGCTCTTCCGTGCTGTTGCTTCCCGTAAATTTGAGTACCGAATATTCTGCATTAAATTAGTTAGAATTAAGTTTTTGGTATGATGATATACGTCAATACTCTGTATTAACAATAACCCTGGACAATTCAGCTAAGCAGGACTTATGTTATGGGTATTAGACAACTAATTTATATAATTATTTTTCTGTATATACATGCATAGAAAACACCCAGACACATTTAATTAATTTAATCATTCATGAATGAAAATGTTTGGACCGTGCGTGGAATCGAACGCGCGACCATCGGAAGAGAAGCAGTGTTTCAGGCGTAGCGTTTACGATCAGAGGGTCCGTGTTATTTTAACTTTTATTTTACTTTATTTTAGTTTTTACTTTAATGAATAGATATGAATATAAATAAAATGTTTTAACAACAATACCTGCACTAAGATCAAGCTTTGTGTCACCATAGTGGTATAAAAAACATACAAACATATAATTAGATTATCCAATTTAATTACTCACTAAATAAATATATTTGATTACAGTATGCATGTGATAATAAGTTAAAATGTTTTTGTCAGTGTCCTTGTATGTTTTGCTTCTGCTTTTGTGTCTAATCAATCAATTAATTAAATTGTCATTCTGCTGACTAATTTCGTCACTGGAACATTGACGAAACTAACATAGTTATACATAATAGAATAGAATAGAATAGAATAGAAAATCATTTATTCAAATAAACTTAATTTAAGCACTTTTGAATAGTCATAACAATTTGTTTTTTATCTACCACTCGTTCGGAAAGCTGTCTCATCACAAGAAGAACGAGCAAGAAACTTGTGTGTTGCTCTTTTAAATAATCCTTGTAAGTTTACATTTACAAGTCAAACGTAATACAAACTACCAACAAGCACTAATTTTTTGGGTCAAATATAATCATGCAATAAGATTAAATCAGTCGTATGATGAGATAATTGGTATATAAACATTTGTATGGAATTTGTATACATATATTTATTTGTATGTGTGTAAAACCGACATCGACAAGAGCGTTGCTCTCAAATTTATGAATGAATGAATGTATGTAAAAAACTAAATCCATTTCATGGAGAACTGTATTTAGCTGATTTAAAGTGAGAGACGTTCCTTAGTGAGGTAAATGTATGTATGAACGGCCTCGGTGATATAGCGGTTATAGCACACCGCCGTCCGATGGTCGCGGGTTTGATTCCTCGCACGGTATAAACATTTGTATTCATGAGTATGATTGTTTGTATCGGTCTGGGTGTTTTCTATGTATATTATGAATGTATTAACAAAAAATATCTATGTATATATAAGTTGTCTAGAACCAATAAGACAAGCTCTGCTTAGCTTGGGACTAGATGGCGCTGTCCTAAGATATTATTATTAATATGAACGAATGAAAGTTACAAATTTCTCATAAGAAGTTCCATGATTTTGCACAATAAAAATAATAATTTTATTTATGTTTTCAGATTTTCTTAAGAATGATCTCGAAGAATATTTAGCTAAGAACATGCCGAAAGTGAAGGTGATTCGTTTGCCGGAGCGCAGTGGTTTGATCATAGCTCGACTGGCTGGCGCCAAACAAGCTACGGCCGATGTCCTCATATTCCTAGACTCGCACACGGAGGCCAATGTTAACTGGCTACCACCACTGCTAGGTCTGTGTATGTATTATTACTCATATATTATTTACTAGCTGTACCCGAGATCGTCCGCGTGGAATTTAACTTTATTCTCCTTAAAATAAAAATGGCCTAAGTTACTCCTTATTACATCAGCTACCTGCTAATAAAAGTCCTGTCAAAATCGGTCCAGCTATTTTAGAGATTAGCCGGAACAAACAGACAGACAGACAAAAATTGTAAAAAATGTTATTTATGGTGTATGTACCATATTTATATTCATATGCATTTAGTAAAAAACGGTTATTTCAAAATAATAACAGACACTTCAATTTTATTTATATGTATAGATTTATTCATTTACTATTAGCGGGGATGTGTGTACACGTCCCTTTAGGGTTTAAGTATATGATCTACTTCGTCTAGAATGTAGGAGCTTCATATAATATAATGGAGAATCAGATAAGAAGTACGTATTTAATTTTATTTTCGGACTACTCTAACGCTTTTGGCCGCAGCTGGCCTTTACATTTTCACTGGACGGTAGGGGACGAGTGCAGATGGCACTCCAAAAGACTCCAAACCAGCGGAAGGACTTATGGAGCGGCTGAAGGCGCCTGCCTGACGGATACGACTTTAGTCTGAGTGCACCACCAGGGGTTCGGACCCCGGCTCAGGCTGTGGTAATTTCGATCGTTTGAATTGGACGGGGGATCGATCGGAGGGATCTGTTTAATTGAAATGTTCTGGTCTTTTATATAAACATAACGTGCGCTGCTAATGTGTTACCGCTTTAATTCCTATATTCAAATTCAAAAATCATTTATTCATGTAGGACATTTTAGCCGCTTATGAACGTCAAATTTTTACATTATAATTTTATTTTTTCCCTACCGTTCAGTTCGGTATATAGATCCAATTGAGAAGAACTGGCAAGAAACTCAATTGAATTACTTTTTTTTTTTAAAGCCAGTTTATTTACAATGTATTTTATATAGGTCTAACATTAAATGAAAATTCAGTGCATGAACAACTATTGCCATGCACACTCGTCATTCAAGTAATCGTTTAGTGAGTAATAGGCCTTAATGATTCAGTAAATATGATTTAACAGATGTTTTGAATTTATTTAAGGGTAATTCCAACATATCCTTTGGTATCTTATTGTAAATTTTTTACCTATTCCCATAAAAGACCTATTAACTTTTTCTAAACGATACTTGGGGACAGCAAGTTTGTCTTTAAATCTAGTATTCATATTATGAATATTGCTGTTTTTTGGAAATAAGTCATATAGTCGCGGATACGACTCCTTACACGGTTCAGATAATTTTATTCATGATTATGATTGCTTTTTTTTCAAGTATTACTTATGTTTGTATACAGAGCCGATCGCGCTGAACTACCGCACGGTGGTGTGTCCGTTCATCGACGTGGTGGCGTACGACTCGTTCCAGTACCGCGCACAGGACGAGGGCGCGCGCGGCGCCTTCGACTGGGAGTTCTTCTACAAGAGATTGCCCGTGCTGCCCGGCGACGAGGCCAACATGCCCGAGCCCTTCGCGTAAGTTGTACTTCATACAATATTATAGCTTCAAATACACGGTATAATAGTGTGTTTAATTGAAATGTTCTGGTCTTTTGTATAAGTTTACACGTGTCGTGCGTACACGCGCCGCTGCAGGTAACGACAGCTGCAGGTAGCAGGTTCGCGTAGGCTGAAGAAAAGTCTAGACACAATTTTGTAATGTATAGAATAGAATAGAAAATCATTTATTCAAATAAACTTAATTTAAGCACTTTTGAATAGACATAACAATTTTTTTTATCTACCGCTCGTTCGGAAAGCTGTCTCATCCCAAGAAGAACAAGCAAGAAACTTGTGTGTTTCTCTTTTAAATAATCCTTGTAAGTTTACATTTACAAGTTGAAACGTATGAGTACAAACTACCAATCAGCACTAATTTTTTTGGTCAAATATAAAAATTTTTTTGGTCAAATACAGTAGGATGATAATGAACTCCCGTTAACTGTATGGGTGGCGAGGCTATAGTGGAGGATAGTTTATTTTTTTATACAAGGAAAGTGGCATACAGCCCATGTGATGGTAAACGATTACCTCTGCCTATGAACACCAAGCATGTCACATGCATGTTGCAGATCCTTAAAAAACCTTAATATACCCTTTATAAAGCTGTAGTCTCTCGAGATACGGTAGCTAGTTAATTCTACAATCCGAGTGTACGTGGTAGGAAGCTCGTCTGAAACCGCACTGTCCGAAACACGTAGTTTTCAGCGTGTGGGGATGAAGAATTTGTCGATGGCGAGCAGTGCTATAGTAAAGGCATGAAATGTGGTCAGTTAGTGCATCATAATAAATTCACCAGTAATTAATCAGATTTCAGAGAGGACCGTAAGGAGGTCAGATAAATTTTTAGTAGTGGGGTTATGAACCTCTTAGACATTCGGGTTATAAACCTCTTAGAGATGTCATCAGGCAGGAGTTAATAGCCCGCGAGCCAGGAACAGCTCAAGGTGCTCAGCTCAAACCAATATCCACCCAATCCAAAACTTCTAAGATAATTTAGATAGCTTTGTTATAAATAATATCTTATTTCGCTTACAGGAGTCCCGTAATGGCGGGCGGGTTGTTTGCTATATCCCGTGCGTTCTTTTGGGAGCTTGGCGGGTATGACCCCGGACTAGACATTTGGGGCGGAGAACAGTACGAGCTCAGTTTCAAGGCAAGTTTCATTTGTCAGATATGTCATTTTTTTTTGCTCCGAGTATATTTGCAATCAGTTCTAAGACTATAAGCGAATCAGCTCTGTGATGCTGTGCTCAATTAGGAGCAGTGAAAGAGGAAATTCGAAGTTTGGCAGCCAAGTACATCATTTGTAACAAATAAGTAATAATAAATAACCCTAGATAATTAACACAGCGCCATCTAGTCCCACCGTAAGCAGAGCTTGTGTTATGGGTACTACATAACTGATATAAATACATATATATTTCTATTTTGTAAATACATACATAATATACATGGAAAACACCCAGACCGATACAAACAATCATGCTCATGAATACAAATGTTTGCATCGTGTTCGAACCCGCGACTATCGGAAGTAAACCGGTGTGCTAAACCTCTAGCCCGCTGACACCGCAGTATTATAGTGACATATTCTTTATATATGAATATTATAAGAATGTCATTATTTTCTGTCAAGTTATCAGTAAATTATTCATTAATACGTTATTTTAGCATTTAGATGAAAAGTAATGTTTTTTCGATATTTTTAATGAGACCTAGTGTAAGTCTGTGTGGTATATATTGTTTAGATCTGGCAATGCGGTGGCACGATGGTGGACGCGCCGTGTTCCCGGGTGGGGCACATCTACCGGAAATTCGCGCCGTTCCCCAATCCCGGCCACGGGGACTTCGTCGGGAAGGTATCTATGCTATTTTTATATATTGTTATCTTGTTAGATGGATGAAAAATGGTAATCGTTGCCTGTAGGAGAGGACTGGAGATTGATAACAATATAATAATAATATTCCAGGACAATTCACACAGCGCCATCTAGTTGCAAGTTAAACTGAACTTGTGTTATGGGTAACATATTGGTGCGTTTTTTGTAAATACATTCATAATATACATAGACAACTCCCAGACCGATACAATCATACTCATGAATACAAATGTTTATAACGTGCGAGGAATCGAACCTGCGACCATCGGACGTAAAGTGGTGTGCTAAACCACTTGACCACCGGGGCCGATGGTAATTATAATATTAGCCTATATCTACATATGTTGCATTATATCCTCAGAACTACCGGCGTGTTGCCGAGGTCTGGATGGACGAGTATGCTGAGTATTTGTACTCTCGCCGCCCACACTACCGGAGCATCGATCCCGGAGACCTCACGGAACAGAAGGCGCTCCGTGAGAAACTACACTGCAAGTCATTCAAGTGGTTCATAACACAGGTGAGTTTTAGGTATTATTAGTAGTTCAGAGTTTACAACGAAATCTACTTACAGAATTGTATCTGTTCACTTATTTGTTATTTAATTCTTATATCTCGTAGGACGTCAGTGTTATTGTCATAATATCTGCGTGTTAGCCACAGCACCACGTGGGGGACTTATAGTCTGTTTTTTAATCCTGGAGACTAAATTGACGGGTGTAAATGTCAAATTTTCATATAATGTTACCACCTATAGCGCGGTAGTGGTGTACCTGCGATATCGATTTGTTTAATCGAAAAACCTTTATTTTAACACATTAGTTTTATAGCTATATAGACAGTGGTATTAACTCTCTGCTACTAGTGTTATACATACAGTACATTATACATTAAATTTATTTCCTCAGGTCGCATTTGATCTTACGTTCCGGTATCCGCCTGTAGAACCCAGTCCATTCGCCGAAGGGAAGGTAAGAATATTTTACTATCTTTCTAAATAATTATAGAACTTTCGGAATTAAATACATTAGTAACATTTTTCTAAATTACTATCTTAACTAACTTTCAGTATTAATTAATTTGTAAGTAATTATCGCGGAATATTTAAACTTGAAATTGATACGTGTTTTTGAATAATTTATAGTATTTGGGGTACCATCGTTTTATCAAATTACAGACTAATCTGAATTCTATATTTAAACACTAACGAAGTATCATCCGCGAACAGCACTATATCTGCAATTTTCTCTACCATAAAGGGAAGGTCATTTATGTATATTAAAAAGAGAAACGGGCCTAAGATTGACCCTTGTGGAACGCCCATCTTAATATTAGCTCCCTTAGATTTTACACCATCAATATCTACAGTTTGGATCCTATCCTCTAAATAAGTTCTCATTAATTTTAGATCATTATCTCTTATACCATAATGTTCGAGCTTGTACAAAAGCGTTTTATAATAATACCCTATGCTCCATTAAAGCTGACATTAGCTGACTTTATACAATATGTTCTTTCAATCGTGAGTGTTCACTCTTTCTCGTGTATCTTTCATGCCACTTCAATGTTTTTATTAATTATTCAAAGACACGTTTAAGCACGTTCTTTCACACGCAATCAGGAGCGAAATAGCGCTGGAAAGCGTGCGTATTCGTGGGGGATTGCATTTTACTTCTTTCGCGCGTGATAGAGCATATATGATTTAATTTCTTTTAATAGTTTCTAAATAAACAGTCGGCTAGTTTATAAATAATCGTGTATTTATAAACTAGCTGTACCCTCGACTACGTCTCCATGGAATTAAAAAAAAAGGTTTTTTCTAAAATAACAGTGGCCTAAGTTACTCCTTATTACATCAGCTACCTGCCAATAAAAGTCCCGTTAAATCGGTCCAGCCATTTCAGAGATAAGCCGGAAGAAACAGACAGAGAAAATGTTATGGTATATTTACCGTATTTATATTCATATGCATGTAGTAAAAAACGGTTATTTCAATATTACAAACAGACACTACAATTTTATTTATATGTATAGATTATCAGTTAGTCTATAATTATGTATTTGCTCCATAGTCACGTGTCCGTATCATTTTGCAATGATAATTCATTAATGCAATTTGAATTCAGATAAAACCCGTGAAGGACCCCCAGTTGTGTGTGGATGCTCATCACGGAGAACAGTTGGATATACTGCATCTGAAGAGTTGTTCTGATGATGCCTCCGCTGAGCAGCACTTCGTCTTTTCGTGGCATAAGGATGTTAAGTATGTACTTAAAGTAAATTGCCATTTGCCAAGATGAGTGATCGGACTTAATGAGCATTATTCTATTTTAATTGATTGAATTATATTTATTCTTTTATTGCACTTAAAAATTGTATAATTTGGCTAGCTTAATGCCTTACCATATTGCATTCTCTACCAGTTAAATATTAGATAAGAACAGAAAGCGGTTGATGGGTAGTGGGAAAGGACAAATCTATAATTATACCTAACATAGGTCAATAGGTCTTCAAAAATACTTGCAAATATACATAAATAAAAATAAATATTCTATTCTATTCCATTCTGTTTTGTTCTTTTCTATTCTACTCTATATGGTGTGTTGTTCTCAAAATAGTTGGAATGTAATATATAATTCATTGAAATATGTCTATCAGTTGTCGCTGTATGCAGATGGCGCTGTATGAGTTGTCTATGGTAGTAGTTTTTAAATATAAATTTGTTTATCATATTAAATATGGAACAATAAAATTACAAATGGAAAGGAGCTATTACACTGTCAAATATGTAATGGTTATTTTGTAAATTTTAGAACTAAAAAGCGGAACATGTGCTGGGACCTTCCGAACTCAAAGCCCAAGAGTCCAATTCTACTCTTCGGGTGTCACCTCTCTGGCGGCAACCAACTGTGGAGATACCATACCGTAAGTAGCTTTGTTTTTATAGAAATATAAATATTTTTTATTATGAGCACTTTTGAATATTTTATTATTGGAAGTTGTAAACATCATGTAAATATGTGACATGTTAAAAAGTGACAAACTGTATGTATGTTTGCACTGTTTACACAGTTTAGTCCTGTAATTTATAAGGTTGTCTCTGTACTTGCTCTGTAGCATATAGAAAACCTTCTTTTTTTTATACTACGATGGTGGCAAACAAGCATACGGCACATCTGATGGTAAATGGCTACCTGGTAGCCTATGGACGCCCGGGATACCAGGGGTGTTACGTGCGCGTTGTCGACCCTTAAGAAACTTTAATATACTCTTCTTGATTTTTTAAGTCCTTTGCTGTAGTCTCGTGAGATAAACTCGGCAGAAAGTTTATTCCATAATCTAAGTGTACGCGGGAGGAAGCTCTGAAACCGCACTGTCCGAGAACACTTAGGTTCTAGCATGTGGGGATGAATTTATGTCGATGGCGAACGGTGCGATGGTAAAAGGTAGAAAAAACTCTAGTATTTATAGTAATCCACGTCTACATCGTTTCCAGGATACGAAACATTTGACGCAAGGCCTCGGCGGCAACAACTGTTTAGACTGGGATCCTTCATCACGTGGCCTCTTCATCAACAGTTGTGATGACAGTGACACGCAGCAGTGGAACGTCGACATCATCCACAGTGACGTCATGGATACGTGGGACCGGGAGCGACCACGCATCACAGGACCCCTGCCCGATTACTGAGTGAGTCTTATTACAATGCCACTAGGTTGAAATTGCCATGACCGAAAACGAAAAGACATTGGAGATTAATAACAAAAATGATGCTAATAAAGACTTTGAAAGACTAAGTGTGAGCGAGATGTAAGACATAATTTTAATATTCTAAATTTGAAAATAGGTTTTTTTTTGATGTCAGTAGTTTTTAAAAGATAAATGGTAGAATAGTAGAATTTATATGCCATTCAGAAACTAAACTTTTAGTTTTTATGCCTAATAGAGATTGTAGCACTGTTTGATATAGATTTTATAGGATTTATGTAATATTATGTATACATAAGAACTGACAAAACTATATATATTTATATGTATAGTTTTGTTTTTGTAATAATAATAATACTATTAAAAATTACAAATTACAGTGTTGAAAATTATGCATTTAATTGTTATAAGAATATGACCTAATATGTTATAATGTAATACATATATACAAAACATATCAAATTTTATTAGAATTTAATTGTCCAGGGTTATTTATATTTTTAATTTATTTATACTATTTTTCATATGACAATAATTGACCAATTTTCTTTAATCAATTGTTTTAAGAAATGTTTGTGAAATTCTGGCCTATAATATATTTATAAGAACACCCGGACTGGTAACATTTTGTTCTACAGAATTAGAAAGTTAAAATATGATTTTTATAGTGAATGATTTGTAGAACATCATGCAAGCTCAAGCTCAACCTTTCGAAGTTCCAATTTTTGTCTCGAGGCAACTGATAACATTTAGTCATAATTCAAATCATAATATTTTGAATAAAATTAAATAAATACCCAAATATCAGGTGTGAAATGCAGTAGTTTTAGTGTTAGTAAGCCAGTGTTAGGAAGAAAGGGTATGCATTAAGCCGCCAGCACAGTAACTACTAACTAATTGATCCTATATCATGTTATTTCAGAAAGCCATGTGTTTTCAAATTTTTAATCATACAAAAATATACCCGTTATATTTATTACAAGGAATCAGCAATCTTATTGAATTAACAGCTCACATTCTTGACTAGAAGAATGGGAAGTAAGGGGTGTAACAAAAATACCACGCCTCCAATTTTCATTCATTAAAAATATGAACAGATTTTCTTATTATGATAATGCTGAGGTTAGGGTTGTGTCTTTTGTTGTTTTTAAATAAATTCAATTTCAATTCAAATTCAAAATATCTTTATTCATGTAGGTCTATTACAGACTCTTATGATATGTCAAATCTACCGTCAGTTCGGCTTGATTTCGAGATGAGAACTGCCAAGAAACTCAGCTCGTATACTTTTCAAATAAATGTTGTACATGTTTATAATAATAAACTAAAGATAAATTTTTAAATTCAAATTTGGGAGAATAGAGTGAACCAGCGTATGCTATTGTAAAAGCAAATAACTTGGAACTCATTATTTGCAAAAAATATATGGTTTCAGGATATTGTAGAAAAAGTTGTTCGTTATCATGCGTACTTTTATGTGCTTGCGGGTTTATATATCCTTTCCGACTTTGTATAAATGGAATTTATCTTCACCATGTTGGTGCATCTAACAATTTGTTAAAATTGAAACGAGTTTAATAAAAAGGAACGTTTTGACGAACCGAAATGGAATTCTAGTCCAATTGTAATACTGTCGATTATGCCAAGTGAGGCTATCCACGAACGGGTTAATATTAGTTGTTTTTAACAGACTAGCAATAATATATCAAGGTATAAAGAGTATGTAGAAGATAGTGGAAAGTGTCAAGAGCACCGAACAGCGTCGTCTTAAATGATGAATGAGTGAACCAAAAGGACGGTCTGGCATCTACGTTACATTGCTGACGTTCGTTAGATATATGCCTAATTGTTTTAAAGATATGAAATAATATGAATATGTATAAAAAAAATTGGTACTAATATGTTATTGTTAGTAAAAAAATTAATATTTTTGGCAGCATGAACACAGATAAATAATTAAGTAATTCTTTATTATCGATGTGATTTTAAGTGTGTTGATTCAGATGTGTGTAAAATATTGAATATTGTTTAATTTCGAAGGCAAGATTTCCAGTTAAAAACTTATTACTGAATTTCTGGTGTTTTATATATGTAGTATACATTATTGTATTGAAATTGGTATTGTATTGACTCCATATTTAGGGAGCGTATACTATTATTTTCAAATTAGCCGTGTCCATTACAGGAAATATTTTAAATAGGTATTAAATCTTTGTATGATATTTAATTTTACGTGGTTCTCGTCACTAAGCATAATAATAATAAATACAAGATGAAAGATATTTTTTGTATTTTCTATTTTTAATATCAAATTTGTCATATATATATACATATATATATATTAATTTATTAAGGGGAATTTCTGTATTGTTGTATAGTATGGGGTATTTTTATATACGTAGCTTTAAATTTAGTCATTATAAATGTATAAGGAAGTAATTTTACGGCTATGTTAAAAACTATCGCTTAATCAGTATGTAAAAATAAGTATTAATATTAACTGTGTTTTTTTAATTTTTATAGTATATTTTATGTACTTGTACATAATTAAGAAGCCATTTTATCTTACAATGTACGTACTTAGACCCACTGTTGACACATTCCATTAATTTTATATTCTGTGGCACATTTAGTAAATTATTATATGTAAAAAATCTATTTAGCGTTTTCTTTATCGAAATTAGTCATTAAATACATTATTCATTTCATAAATAGGAAAAATATTTGAAATAATATAGCCTTGGACGATTCTCACAGCGCCATCTAGATCCAAGCTAAGCTGAGCTTGTGCTGTGTATACTAGACCAGATATGTATTTTTTTTGTATAATACATATAAAACACTCAGACCGATCAAACAATCATACTCATGAATACAAACGTTTGTAGCGTGCGAGGAATCGAATCCGCGACCGTCGTAGTAAAGCGGTGTGCTAAAACACTGGTCCAGAAATGAATAAATATAAATAGCATCTAAATGTTATATCTAAATTAATAATTTATACAATTTATTTTACATTTTGTACATTTATATTTCGTTAAAAAGTTATACTAACATTGTTTACTAAATCTGCCACTCATAAGTGAATATAAATGCTTTATTGTAGACATTCCTAGTTAGAAAACATGTAATAATATTGTTAAAATTTTTATAATGTATGACTCGAACTATTCTAAACATATTTGTTAATGTTATTATCGGATTCAGTTACAATTATATTAGCTCAACAAAATGAATGCAAACCAGCACAAAAGGCATCTTGTTCTTGAACTAAGAAGTAAAGTGGACACAAAAATAATTTTTAACATACTACATTGTTATCCAAATAATTTTATGGTAAATAAAGGTATTTACCTCTCTCGTAGTAGTTGTGGTCAGGTGCTGACTGGTGTGACTGCTAGCTCCTACCTATTATATTGACTTCCCTGTTACTTTTGGGTTTTAACACGGTATTACTACTCGATATACTCACTCGATATTTGATGAGTCAGCTCTAGACTGCGGCTAGTGCAACCAAGTCGAAGTGTCGAGAGAGGTACTATACAGAGGTTATATACCTTTACTTACCATAAAATTATTCGGTTGACAATATAAACATGAAAGTTTAAAAATAAAAAGTCCAGAATTTAAATTTATATTTGCATTTTGTTTCTTGGTTAATTTCATGAGTTTGGCATTTGGCTTGATATTTGAATATGAACCTAAACCCTGAAGGAATAGGGTTTAATCCTATATATACGAGACTAGTAAAACATTCCGTAATGTCTTCCTCAATCTGCCTTTCATAAAAATTTTATCGATTGACATATTTCATTGGTGACATAACAATACAGCAGCTTATATTAGTGTATTAAAATAATTAGTTTTATTTTTGTAGTTTAATATTAAGTGTTGTAGAATAAATGCATCACAACGTAGTACTATTGGCCATATGGATGTTAATTGACCATGTCACATGTGTATGTTTTAAGTGATCTTATACCATATTGATTTAAGCAAGTAGTCGTTCGATGGTCAAAATCCGACCATAATTAATTTAAATTATAATTTTGTATTATATTGTATTTTTATGCATAATAAAAAAATAACTGCATTCTGCACTACTACTATTATCTATATAATCTATAAGTGTCCGAAATTTCTTACTTCTCCGTTCGGGCAATTTTCATAAACAGGGTTACAAAGGTTTTGTTTCACGTATTAATATTAAGTTTTTCACTGTTATTTCGAGAATATCTTTTACTGAACTCCTATCTTAAGTTATTGTTAGAATATCATAGACATCCGTAACACATTATTTTAATGAGATCACTTTTTAAAATAGTCATGTGACATGTTAAGTATATATAGATGATAGTTAATTCCTTGTATTAATGTATATTTTATACTATTTATACGATGTTGTTGTTTTATGTGTATTAGGTTATGTCTAAGGGGCCTATTGCATTATCAGATGATGATAAGATTTTGTTCATCCTCAAGGACATAGTTGAAAATTAGTGTTTTGCTCCTTGAGTGATTCTCCACACTTAGCTATGTATCAGTTTTGTATTGCTGTATTACACACATGCAGGTTATCATTACTGGATTGTTATACTTGTTATATAATGTTATAATTAAGCCTATATGTGTACTAAGATACTAATAAAAAGTATTATCTATCTATCTATCAGATCTCTACACACTAGAGCAAATCGTTAGATTTCTAAAGTTATGATTGAATTTTGATAAAGTAAGTTTTAAAGTATCTTGTGTAACTTTGAAATAAACTGCTTAAGTCATAGGATATGATCCTACATGCACGATAGTGTAATAAGGCCCTTTTGCAGCAGTGATGGACATATCATTAGTTGTAGACGCATAATGATATAGTGTGACAGTTGACTAAGAACACTGCACGGTGTTGGATTGTATACTAGAAGAAAAAAATTGAGTTAAAAAAAGTTAGCTCTCCAATAGAGTTAAAAAAAAATAAACCGTTATCTATTTGTGAAAAGGAAATAGAAATAATTGGTTAAAATAAGTATAAAATAAAATAAGTGGTTCTTTTATATGTACTGTTGTTCTTCTATATATGTGTACACTAGTGCCACAATTGCTGATTACTATCCGTATGTTCCCATAATTGAATATGCCATAAAACTGAATGGATTTATTTTATTTTTTATTTTATAATTTTAATTTTAATTTTAAAAATATTTGATTATTTTGTTGATTTATGTTATTTTCTTGTTTACAATGTTATTTATAAGCACTGAATAAATATTTTTTCTTACTTTCTTTTTTTCTTTCAATGGTTTTACTATTAGGTACCGTTCAAGTATTAAGTAAGCACTATTTCTTTACTTTGCTTATTTTGGATGACGTGTGGGGGAGCCTCGATGATGATTACGTCGCCAATTATTTACATACACGAATGGTAACCCACACATTGTCTTTGCTAAAAATCAAAAGATTAATTGAAAAATATTTACGTAAGCATGGGGGGAGGGGGTAAGAGCTTTGCTTACTTTGCTGACAAGGGGGATGGGAGGGTTAATAATTGTAATAAATCTGCTTACGTAACACTTGAACGGCCCCTTTTTAAAGACTTTTCATGGGATTATAACTGCAATCAGTTCTCATACAATTTCGATATTTTAATATGAATTCTTATTGGAAAGAGAAAGTACTAGAAACTAATTATGTTTCTATTATGTATTTTGCTTGCCAGAGTCTGTGGCTAGCCAATTTTAATAAATTATTCCTACATACTTACTGTACCTCTACAAATCAAATCAAATAAACAATAATTTATTCATATAGGATATTTTAGCCGCCTACGAACGTTAAATTTTTTGTATTAATATTTTTTCCCTACCGTCCAGTTCAGTATAAAGATTCAATTGAGAACTGCCAAGAAACAACTATTTTTAAAAGAGTCTATGGTTAAAATTAAATTAAAATCACTTACACGAACAACTATTGCCATACTTGAGACCAATGGTATTATATGAAATGAATATTGTGATTGTATGTATTGTTTATATTAAAAATGATTGTGCTTGGTTTACTGTCAGGCTGTGTATATTGTGTATTTAAAATAAAGATATTTTTATAATGTGTCACTGTGCTTTATTTGAGAGCGCCATTTCCTACTGGTTTACTATCCTGACGTCCTGTGGACAACATCAAACACTTTGTAATAATATAGATCACAGCGGTAATGTGACATAATAGTTGCTAGCAATGTAGCATGCCAAGTTGACGTTCACACGGTTCCAGGTGGATAGCTTCGTGTGAAATATCTAGTGAATTTGCCTAAGATCTAACTGACCTGATTTCCACCACCTCCAGTGCAGTATGATAGGATGAGTATGAGGTCAGGTCAGTTTGCCTGTCGTGCCGAATTCATCAGGAATTTATCACTCTGGTTTCTAGGGTTTCCAGGGGAAACCGCGTGAAGGACAACCTGACATGGCATATTGCTAGCAATGGGGATATTAGTTCTCCTTCCCTCCTATAGGGGACGGTTTTTTTTTCATGAATCATAATGGAATGATGCACTCATCTGTGTTAACGGTTTACTCTGGCGAGGCACCAGTGGAGGATGATAAAATGAGCATGAAGTCAGATCAGTTAGCACATCTTGGCAAAGGGCAATTTTCCACGATGGTTTCCCCCCCGGATCCACGTGGAGGTTAGACTGAAATTGTACATTACTAGTAATGGGGACAATGGTCCACATTACTAACAATCCCCCTGTCTCCTATAGGCGTCGGTTACCACTTACCATCACGTTGATAGTCAGCTTGTCATTCCAGTTGTTATTCTTTTTAATACGATTGGAGATGAGGTCGAAAGGATTATTATATTGAAACGAGCATATTATATTTTAATATTTTATTACATATTCCATTAGAATACTTCTATAATTATTATTGTACATGCTTACATCACCTCTCGTAGCACGCACACGAGCCAGACTAACTGAGTATGACCGTAAACTATCTATACACATCCAAAAGATTCATCAAAGCTGGCACACTGTGTTGTTGCGTGATAATACACCGATAAATTATAGTGATAATAAAATACCTACAAAAATATACGAGCAAACGAGTATAAAATATTCAAATCAGATCAAAATGATTGTAATAATGTAATAAGATATAATATTTACTAAGTATAAAATAAAAACAAAAATAAAGAGTATAAAAATTGTATAAGAATATATTTCAATGTGAATTTCATAATCATAAATATTTAATTATTCTTGGATGAAAAAGTAAATTGATATACCTACATAAATAAAAATAAAATAAATTATTATTACAATACAATTATGTAACTATTTTTATACAGCTATTTTGACTGCAATTTATTTATAATTAACTAATTTTATATTTTAGTCTTTATTTCATTGAGTTTAATACATCATACATCGCAACGACACAGTGTACAAAGTTCATTGGTGTCTACATATCGTATCTACAGTAGTATAAATTAAATGCAATACGAGGAATCAGTTCTACTTGTAAATACAGTTTTAATCGTGATTTCCGCATCTTTCAAGCTCTCTAAAAATCTAAAAAATCGAAGTCTATGGTAAATTGTCGATGGTAGCTAAACATACACATTCTGCATTAGGATTACTGCGATGGGTAACTCAAATTTAATTAGGAGAGACATGCGATTTATTATTAGTTTCAGTCCCGTTGAGTTACGCATTCCAGAACTTTCGAATTCAGATCTTACAATTCCAAGCTCTCCTTTTCGTTGAGCACGTGAGTATATTATTTCATCTATATTCTTCCGTCCGCAACAGTTTTGATATATTACATTTTTCAGTTACTCTAAATTCCTTATGGGTTTACATTAAAAATAATGAAAGCGTAAAGATATGTACAATATTTTTACAGATTACATCCTCATTAAGTACCTATTTACAAATTAGAATCTTTATACATTATAAAAAAGATAACTATACCGCTCTAGTAAATATCACCGCGAAATCAATAACTACATTCACATAGATATATATATAATATATATATTATTGATTAATTTAAATAAAAATACTTATGATTACTAAATAAAGGGTAAGACGTATTACATTACAATGTATTGCTTCGTTTAGTCACATTTTGAAAAAATATCACCATCGTGAGGGTCTCGCGCGGACCCGGGAGTATGTTCCATTTCCCAATATATTTATTAATATTTTTTGTAAAAAATATCCGCCCCATATCACCAACCACTCAGTCAACTAGCATTAATAAGTATTCTAACACGGAATAGACACCACAATTTAAATGAGACACATTTATGGACATATACTATATATATACTACTATATTTAAATTACAATTTCTTTGCTTCTCGCTGACTTATATGTTATAAGGAAATACGAGTCACAAGTTAGCGCTTGACTCTGTGAGCGGGTCTATATCGTTGCTTTGATTTACGTCACGAAAATTAAATATTAGAAGATATTTCATTACAATATTAGACGTTAAAAATAGGGACAGAGAATAGAATTTAAAACGAATTATGGTTTCAAAATAAATGCGACTAATTGCAAATGTACACCCGCTCACATTGTCAATATAAATTAAAAAAATAATTCAGTCTCTAAGGATACATGCGGCTTAATAAGTCAGCAAGAAGTTTGACCCTAAGCGGTCCAGTGACCGCACGCCTACTGTTTGATTATTGCACAACACATGCAGTAGTACGTATTAACGTTTTCTGTACTTAGTTTAATTGTCTATTTACTTTATGAGGCCTCGCTACTCTTACGGGATTAGTGTCTACTTTGGAACTCTGTCGCTTCCAACAAACTATTATTGTGTGGACGTGAGTTAAGAATGAGACACTGCACTAATGCGACAAGGTTCCTTGGTGGTTCTAGCGAAAATAACGGATGCTAGGGGTCATATAAGTTGAAGAGTCAGACGCATGTGTATTATAAAAAAATATAAAATTATTGCTTAAATAGTAATAGTATTGCGAAGTAAAAAAGACCTTAGGTCTAATATCAAAGGAACCTCTACAAGAATAAAATATTATTTACAAATACCTAATATAGAGAAAGAAATATTTGGCTAAAATGTGATGGGTATACATGGTACTGTGGGACAATATTCTAAGTGATGTGTATAATGAGATTAAATAAAATAATATCAACAACGTTCGTATAGTGTGATGGAGACTTTATATTTTTGGTTCCATTATTATGCTTGTTCGACATATTGTTTAGCTTTAATTATTAATTAAACTTTGTTTTAATTATGACTCTGTACCCTGTGTGAGTATTATGAGATTATTTTCAGTCCGACAATTAAGGAGCAAAATTAATAAGCTATAATAGGATTACATACGCGCTAAGTACGAAAATGAAATATAAACACGCTCGTAAACGATTCTGCTGTAGCACTAAAAATCATTCAGAGTCAATCAAGTCATTCACTTCGATACCATCAGTCCTAATCCTTACATACAAATATCTGCACTACACCGATCACAAGAGCCTTTCCTTCACATTCAGAGACCGTTACGGGCGGACCTCCGAAAACACATCAGTCCTATAAAAACAGTAAGAACTAAAACTCTACCGAGTATCAGAACGCGAGAATTGCCATCCTGAAAGAAGATGATAATTCTCACTTTCCGAGAATAGGTGCGGAGTTATGGCACGTTCAGACAAGTCACGAGCGGTGGCGTGATCTGCCGCTCTTTCTCCTTTTTCTTCTGCCGTCGCGGACGAACACGATGTTAGCGGGGTCGTCCGCCAGCTGCGGGTATTTGGACACGGAATGAACGTCCCTGGCCGCCCATCCGTCGACTATTCCATGGGAGATGAGTTCCTCCTTCTCTTCCTCTGTCCAGGTTCCCCGTCCCTCCCATCCGGCGGCAACCAGGGCCTTCTCCCTCTCCCAGGCTCGGGCTGCGGCTCGCTTGTGAGCGTGTTTCAGAAGTTTGATGCGCTCCTGAGCTGGATCGACCCCATACCGCAGCACTATGACTGCTTGTGCTGAACCTTTGCCTACTGCGTGTACACGTACCTAAGGAGAATAGAGAAATATTTTGTAGTTATTATATGTAATCAACTAAATTAAAGACAAAAAGAAAAAAAAATATTTGTCTGTTTTGCTAATATCTGAAACGGCGGGACCTATTTAGACGGGACTCGCAGGTAGATATAACATTACTTCAGGAGTAGCTTAGGGTACTTTTACTTCAATAATGTGTTTTTTAATAAAAAAATTAATCCCATGATTAGCAGATATTGCTAAGATATATTTGAAATGTTCAAATAAACATATTATTGGCTTAATATAAATAAAAGCCTGTGTATATAATATTTACCAATATAATGTAAGTCTAGTAAGAATTATATATTGTATATTTAATGAATTAGAGCTAGATGGAACTTTGTATTCATCCATATCAATTTAAAAATGTAAAGTTACAACAATTATTCAAAAGAGCAACAAGAAAGCAGAAAAAGCAAGAGTTTCTTGCTTTTTCTGCTTGTGTTAAGACTGCTTTCCGAATGAGCGGTAGATTAAAAAAATAAGTGTGACTAATCAAGCGTGCTTAAATTTAAGTTTAATTTAATAAAGAATATCCCATATATAAAATAGAATATTTACCTCCAATCCTTGGTCATTAGTTTCATCTTGCGACACATTGAATTTGCCTGACAACCGTCTCAACTCTTCCATATCGTCTCTGATCTTTAGTGAGTTATCTTTCACAAAATAGAACACATCTTGATCATGGATGCTGAAGTGTACATCCAAGAAGTACGAATTGTTGAAGACTGTTGTTATTACATCTTCAACCACGCTGTTTGCTCCATCTGCTACGCTAATAAAAGCCTTCCCGTCGACCCTCGAGATGAGAACACCTTCACCGAAGACACCGCGCTTGTAAGAAACTCTAGGCAGTAAGTTCCTTGTTATCGGTTCCATTTTTAGTAATGGAGTAGGCACAAAATCTATATCCGATAGTTTATCATTCACCTGCAAATAAATTTGAATATATTATATTCATTATAACTACAAAGAGAAATAATAATAATAATCCAGGACAATTCACACAGCGCCATCTAGTCCCAAGAAATCTGTGTGTTCATGTATTTAGACGACGGTTACCACTTACCATCAGATGGGCCGTCAGCTTGTTTAATATTCTAGTTTTTTTTATTGGGCTGTTTGGGCTATTTTCAGGTGCCTTGGACCTGTAGTAGACCTACTGCGACCTACATAGATCTATTGTGGTCGCCCTTTTTCAGACTTGTTAGAGACAAGAATTGAAGCATATTCTTAGGAGCGATGGTTTTTATCTCCTCAGGCTATCCTGAACAGTGTAAACTTTCCAAAGGAGATATTACGTTTATGCATGAGTGGGCTACAACCACATAGAATGTGTTTCCTCTTCAGTTTGCAAAATCTGCAGATTCAGATATTCAGAAAATATTCTAGTTACACTAAAAAAAAATTTAAATGCGATTTACCTTTTCAATAATACATTGAAGCCCCGACATAACACCAAAGTCTGGGGCCAACTGAGAGGCGGTCACTGATGTCATCGGTTGGAAGATCATATCAGTGATATATTTAGATCCCATCATCTTATTCAGATCATATCCATACAGTTGCAACCAGCTCCCCAAATTTGTCATATACGGGACATTCTGATTCTTATTTATTGGGTCATTGTTCTTAAATCTGTATATAAAGATATCTGTTGGCAGACTCAGTTTTGTCGCAAGGTGTTCCCAGCTTGGCGTCATCCATTGTCCTACCATCGGATCGTACAATCTATTATCCAGATAAACTAGATTGGTGTTGTAGTCAAATATACCACCGTGGAAGTCCACAGGCACATAGAATCCAGGATTGGTGTCTTTGATAATTTTCCCGAAAGGACTACGTTTCATTTCTTTCACAATCTCACCGTTAACATCAAAGACAACTAGAGGCGAGCCGTTGTGATCAGTAGCGACGTAAAACCGTTGGTCTTCCGTCTCGATACATGTCAAGAAATCTCTCTGATCATATAAGAATCGAACTGTCTTCTCTGTCTTGGGATAGTGCATATGTGATATTAGGTTAGGCGTTTGTGGATTGGTATAGAAGAATTGTGTAATATTACCCTTCTCGTCCTTCCATGCCACAAGTCTGCTTCTATCATCGTAAAAATACCACGTCTGGAACTTATCCCTTTCGAATGCGTGCACAAACTGACCGCGAGAATTATATCTGTATTTTTGTTCGCCTCGCCGAATCACAAAACCACGCCCGTCATAACTGCTGAATTCTATATCGCCGTACTGAACAACTCTATCTCCGATATCATAGCCAAGGTAACGCTTCTCTCCGTGTTCTATGACACCAATTACATTACCGTTTTCATCGTAAACGTATTTCCAATCGTCTTCGGATCCTACGACCTCCATTAAATGACCATCGTAGTTATAGCTAATTCGTTCGTTTGATGACGTGTCGCCGATCATCATCTTTTTCGTTTTTATTCTATTTCTAACGTCATATTCGAGTTCCAATCTGAATACATCAAACGATTTAATATTGATTAATACGGTCTTTATCCTACCATGGTCATCGTAGTCCGTTATGGTGAAGTATTGCTTACTTGTATCTTGCATCACTGATCGATTGAAAGTATTTCTGTAAATTCTCAAATCACTAACACCTTCAAGAATGCCAAGGTTCTGGTTATACTTCAATCTAAGTTGTGGCATTTCTTTACTGTTGATATTTGCGTCGATCGTTGAAAGACGTGCGTTGCCATCGTACTGGTATTTGAAATGAGCATTATTAAGTCCACTCTTAGAATTGAACTTCATTTTCTCATCTTTCAATATACCCGCGTGATATTTGTAATCCTGCTTCAATTCATAATCGGGATCAGTAATTTCAACATTCTTTACAAGATGCGTATTTTCATGGTACACGTATCTTATAGCAGACGCGCCGGCAAGGATAGTTTCTAATTTGCCAGTACTGTCATAAACATACAGAATTTTACCAGATTGATGTGGGAATATCTTTGCTAGTATATGACCATCATCATTATACAGTATCTCATATGGATGTCTATTCATTGGTGAGAAATATTGGTATTTAAAATAGCCAAGCGAGGTCATAAGGGCGAACGTGTGAATGTGTCCTCGAGGAGTGGTGAGATTTTGTAGGGCACCAGAATCGTCATAATCAAGAAGGTAGTCACTACCTCTTGGTGTTGTTACTTTCAGTGGTAAACTAGTAAACATGTCTCTAAATGAGTAAACTAGAGATGAACTATCGCCATAACGGATTTCGTGCAACCTTCCTGCTCTATCAAAGCCGTATGTTTCATTTAGATCTCCCCAACTCCATCTAGTAAGCCTGTTGAATCTATCATATTCGAGTTCAACTTCTGCAAATATACCATTCCTCGGTCCCCATTTAACTGGCCTTGCAGTCCTGTCATATGTAACATTTAGTAGTTCGACCTTATCATCCATGAACACGGCTACAGTAGAAGAGTCTCTGTCATATTCGAGAGTGAGAAGATTTTCTCCATTCACTCTGAGTTTCCTGCCAATTTGGGCTACAGCCTTGCTACTCTTTCCTTTGTTTGATAAAAGTCTTCGTAGGAAGTATCGCCATTCAAAACGATTCGCTAAATCACCGCCTACTTCCGTTCTCTGTTTAGCCGGTATTGGATAGCTTTCTCCTAAAATGGGATCAATTTCCGATAATATAGTGTAAGGAACAGTGTCAGTGGATATGACATGACCCCATGGCAAACTGGAGGTAATACTGCCGTCTGTTGAAATAATAGTTTTCTTTTCAGCCTCTCCTACTTTTGTTCTTACTGAAGATCCCTTTATGAGGATCGAGACAGGCTTCCTGTTGTTTTCACTGACAAGCACTGTAGCACCTTTAAGACTCAAATCGAACGTTAGATTGATGATTCTACCAGTTGGTGTGACGGCTGATGTTAGTCTGCCAAATTCATCATATTTATAGATGTAACTTCTTCCAGTGCTGTCATATTTAGCTTTAAGCAATCCAGTAGTACCGTGATAGTCAAAGGTAACATTGAAGTTATCAGGCGTTCTTAATTCTTGTAGCATTTTCATCCTAGACATCTTCAATCTGCATTTCTGGCCCTTTGTATTCTCTATCGAATTCACAAGACTAGAATAGTCTCTAAGAAGGAACACTTTATTACCGGCCGCATCTGTTACAGTACTGAGTTTGCCGTTGCTAGTATTGACAGTGTACGAGAAAACGTAGTTATTTTCGCCTGTCAGAATATTCTTTGTCATGATATGTTGACCAAATCTGTTAAAAATATATGTCTCTTGTGTATCCGGTGAATAGATTTCATATTCTCTTGCTCCACTAGCGTCTGGGATGCTCGCCATAACAGATCTAATTCTGTAATTGGCTTGATCGGCAATGTGAACTATACCGTCTGGACTTACTATTACAGCAGATATTGTATTGAATTTAGAGTTGGAAGCTAGGAAGTGATCAGCTTCGAAGCAATCACAGCCTCTTTCTAAGCAATTGCATTTAGATTCAGCGCCGGCGTACAAAGATATCTTGCTGTCGGTCGTGATCAAGCGTACCCTGTTTATTCTTTGAGAATCACTTTCAGCGACATATAGATCTCCAGCTGCACCGAAAGCAATACTTTGTGGCATAACTAATGTAGCATAAGTAGCTAGTTCCATGTCATATCCGCTCATGGGCGACGGACAATGCAGAGGTCTTCCAGCGATAACTTTGACGCGACCATCAGGTGCCATTTGCAGGATCATATGATCATCAATTATATGGAGACTGTTGTCTAGAGGGTTGATAGCGAGTTCAGTGGGCCATCGTAAGTGCACTTCCTCGACACTTAAAGTACCTTCGCACGGGATCGGTTTCCAATGAGCTCTATGCATGTGATTGCCAATAACGGTGGTTATAATGCCGTCTCTGTCTACCATACGAATGTTTGTTCCATCAGCGAAGTAAAGGACATTGTCTATTGACACAGCGACGCCTTTTGGATAAGCGAGTTTGGCATCTCTTGCTAATGCACCATCACCGCAGTGTGCTTCATCACCAGGGAGACACCTCTCACCAGAACCGACGACTGTCTCCCAGTTGTGTTCGGGGTCACTGTACTCGTCAGTGTTGCGAACTTTGATGATTTGGTGGGATTCTGGGTCCGAGATATAAAGTGTACCATCCAGGGGAGACAGGGCCATGTGGTATCGGTAGGAGACTCGAGTGGCACTGGAATAAAGATAATAAATTTCATTATAAAGTTATATAACAAACAAATCCCTATTGAAGATATTTTTATCCTTATTGGTCTTCATTAAAGATATTTGTAACAAGTGAATCTAGTGTTACGATACTAATCTTAAATGTTGCTCTCTTGCTTTGCAAACTAAAAAAATAAAACTTTACTTTAAATTTGCTTTACAAAAGGCGACCTTAACGCAATCTCTTAGATATAATGTTAGCATCGTGCGAGGAATCGAACCCGCGGAAGACCTTAAGGCGGCGGTGCGAAACCGCTAGACCACGGAGGCTGTCAATACATACATTGTTATATAAATGTATATTATTATAAAAAGCAGTAAATGACTCACTTCAACTTGACCACTGTCCGCACTGTGCCATCCGTGTTGATTTTCCGCACCAGATTGAAGTCTCCGACGAAGATGGAGCCATCAGGAGCAGCAGCCAGCGCCACCGGAGCCAGCAAACGCTGTCGTGAAGCTGGTCCGCTGCAGTCAGCACCAGCACCACATTCCAGAGCTCGCTGTCTTCCATCGCCCATGGTTGTGATGATGAGACGGGGCTTGTGTTTCAGGTAGATGTTTGTTCCGTCGCCCTTTTGGAGGATACCTGAAAGTAAAGGTTTATATGATTATGTAGTACAGGGATATGTAATAATAGAACATTAAAATAATAGTAATAATACAAGCTCTGTTTATCTTGGGACTACCATAGAGCGTTGTGTGAATTGTCTTGGGTTATCTATGGTACGCCATCTATGGTAATCCCAAGACAGAACTAATGTTGTAGGTAGCACCTACAACACTAGCTCTGTCTTGGTATATCATACATAGAAATCACATTGTTTGAGCTATTTTTATTACTTCAAGTAAGATTTTTTTTTATCAGTAACGTGTGCTATTACTTCTAATATTAATTTTATTTATTACTATGTTTGTAAATAGCCTTGTTTTCCCAAATAAAATAAAGTATTATTTTTGTTAATTTTTTCTCTTTTACTCATTCACACAATAACTTCTGGACTGATTCGAAACAAATTTTAGTACACAGATACCTAAATGTACTAGTTTAACACATATGTATGAGATTTCATACTCGAATCCACGCGGTAACACCATGGTATATATTAGCAAAGAATATTAATTACAACAGTACCTTCATGGAAATTATATCTGTGATGAATATCCAAATTCCATCCACCAACGTCCGATATGCTCATGTCGTGCCCACTCAACTTGGTCGTCTGGACATTCCAAATTATATCCTTACAGTCCGTGTATTGGTAACCAACCTTTACCAACGCAGTGGTAACTCCGTACACCCTTTGTCTATATACATTCAATCTATTCCATGGATAGGTGAACTTTATAACAGGATCAGCTTCGAAAGTCTTCTCGAACAGTATGCCTTCAATAGTGATCCTTAAATGTATTAGAGATAAGGTCGGTGGCATTTTCTCAGGAGTTAACTGCAGTTGTATTGTGGAGAGGTACCCGGCTGCTCTTGAACTGTGGTAGACTAGGTTCAATCCGGTGCCAGGTATCTGTAGACTTTCTTGGACCACCTGTAAGTAATATACAGCCATTTTAATTTTTGATAATTTTTGTAGTGTTTTTTTTTATTATTATTAATAAGACTGGAGTTAGAGAGATATTCAAATTCAAAAGTCATTTATTCATGTAGGACATTTTAGCCGCTTATGGACCTCAAATTTTTTATATCATATTTTTTCCCTACCGTCCAGTTCGGTATATAGATCCAATTGAGAAGAACGAGCAACAATCTCAATTGAATTACCCTTTTTTAAAAAACCAGTTTATTTACAATGTATATGTATATACGTGTCTATGTTTAACATTAAATGAAAATCCCGTGCATGAACAACTATTGCCATGCACGCTCGTCATTCAAGTAATCGTTTAGTGAGTAAAAGTCTTTGCTCAGTAAATATGATATAACACATGTTTTGAATTTATTTAAGGGTAATAGATAAATGATTTATTTGTTTGAACATTGTTTTTTTTATAATAAAATAGAGTTCAAATGTTTGCATCATAATCAGAAATCATACAAAATACAATTTGTTACGATGTTTTACAGAATAATAAAGAAGATTAAATCGATAAATCGAATCGATAATAGTCGACGATTCGACTAAGTTCCACTAGCTATGGTCACGAGTTGCCTGACTTAACAATATAACCGTAGTATCTCTCGTATATCAACGAGATACGGATATCCGGAACATCACTAAAAAAGTTATTCTTACCTGTGATTCAGCCAGTATCGCGCTTTTGTCAGGACATGCACCCTGGAAGCCATGTTTCCAGGTGGCGAGCACTACCGGCTTCATAGCATCGTAGTCGTGGGCCAAGCAGGCCTGGGGGCTCCCCATACCGCCCTTCTCGTCTGACGTCGTCATCACCACCTCGTCGATAATCACAACCTGTCGAGTTTTTTTTTCATTGTTAATTTAAGTGGAACGTATTATTAAATTAAAAAAGAACAAAATTCAAACTATCTTTATTCATGTAGGTGTATTACAGACTCTTATGATATGTCAAATCTACCGTCAGTTCGGAATGATTTCGAGATGAGAAGAACTGACCAGAAACTCATTTCGTATTATTTTCTATGGTCCATCTAATACTGATAGTGGTCGCTCAGTGGTCGAAATTCGATAATAATTAATTCAACTTTCAGTAAGACCATAGATAAACAATATCCATTCTCAATTTGACCACAGACATTACCAATAAACCAAAGAGTATATATAAAATGCGTGTATGAGTCAAATACATGGTAGGGTGTGTAATGTTTAATTTTTTATTTTATTTACATATTTAAATGTATTTATGTATTTATATTAGTTGTCACTATGGGTTATGGGCAGGGGACTAGGTGACGTTGTATGAATTGACCTCGTTTAATATTGTTATGATTCATGTATAATTGTTTGTATGAGCATGTGTCTTTTATACTAGTATATTTGACGATCTCGGTGGTCTAACGGTTTAGCACACCGCTTTACGTCCGATGTTCGCGGGTTCGATTCCTCGCACGGCACAAACATTTATATTCGTGAGCACGATTGTTTGTATCTGTCTGGATGTTCTCTATGTATAATATGTACGTATTTATGAAAAAATAAAATATCTATGTATTTGTATCAGTTATCTAGTACTTATAACACAAGCTTTAGCTAGCTTAACTTGGCGCTGCGTGAACTGTCCTGATATTATTATTATTATTATATACAAAAAAGTATTTCTGTCAGTTATTTAGTACTTGAGAGTACAAGCTTTATTAAGCTGGACATAGCCTACTATTGCCTCAGTCAATCACGAGTACGAAGACGCGGGCAGTAACTAGTGTTTTACCAATTTTAAGGGCCTACTACAAAACCACTTACACAAACACGATATAAAGTCGGCGACCAAACTCGTTATAAAACACGATAAAGTACCAAGTATCCTCAATTTATACGGCGAGTAAAATTGAGACTTAAAAAATTTAATGCCGGCCAAGTTTAATAGTCGGTTCGCATGTATTTCACAAAGAAAAATTTGAAATTACCCTCAACCAGGGCTATGTTCGTTATTAATGATTGACTCGAGAATACTGCGCACTTGACAAGTTGTGGATTTTATTACTTTACTGTTTTTAGCTGCTACTTCCACCTACTATCGCGGCGGTAACGTAGTGGACGTAGTTGTGTGGTAAATGTATATCATAATAATCTATACTAATATTATTCTTAATGTTTGATTATATAAATAATAAATAAATAACCCTGGACAATTAACACAGCGCCATCTAGTACCAAAATAAGCAGAGCTTGTGTTATGGCTACTAGACAACTGATATAAATGCATAGATATTTTTTGGTAAATGCCTACGTAATATACATAGAATAAACCCAGACCGATACAAACAGTCATACTCAGGAATAAAAAAGAATACTCTCCGAAACTACTGAACTGACTTGAAAAATTATTTCACAGTCAGCAAAGCCAGGTTGATCTTCACGCGGTTCCCGCGACTTTGCTGACCATTGCATTATAATTAATTAAGAAAAAAAAAATCCTGAGCAGACGAATTTTACTACCTTAGTAGTAATTATTATTTTAAAAAATAAGTTGCTTTCTGTTCACAGAATATAATATATTATATCATAAGCAATATTCACAAAATATTAACGGAAAATCATATCTAATATTTTTAAAATTCATACATACCTCATTCCAAGGCACATAGACAACTTGCGAGGAGCGCTTAAAAGGCGATCTTCCAAAGTGCAGTGTGACAGCACCTCCGCCATTCACGAGCAGGTCGAACCAGCCATCTTCTCTTGTCAGCGTGAAGCCTTCGAGAGGAGTAGATGTTGAAACCCTCACGCCGACTAGACCTGACCCCAGGGAGGTGACCACACGTCCTCTAATGACTGCTGACCGGCTGTAGATTGGTTATATGTACTTTTTAAAATTTCATCTTAACACGATTTTCAAAATAGAAATGAATAGTATTTTTTTTTAGAAATGTATAATTTAATATTTATAATTGGAAATAGGTAATATTTATTTCACAGATTAATAACTTTTTTTTTCAATATTCGTCCATCTCATTTTCAATGATGGAACAGGCAAAGATCCTTAGACTGTACAGCCTAGTCTATGTTTAAACTTTCACAGATTAATAGCCCATAAATCATCTACAAAAGGCGGTTTTTTCTTATCTGTTGTTATTGCTTTTCAATTTGACATGTAGGCTGGCAAAAGTATTTAAACTATACATCCTTGGTAACTTTTATGTGGAAATTTTAGTGTTTTAAAAGTTAATTTTATTTAAATAGAGTATTAAATTTATTAATTACAGATATTGAAAACTAGATAGATATGTTTACAACTAGTAAGTACTTTAGGTAATTTGGTTTTGATGCAAGTGATAAATTTTGATTAATCTAAATGCATTATGTATTATTCTACAATTCAATGTACTAATGATTGCAAATGTGATTGTTTATTAATATAATTGAATTCTACTTTGGAAATCAGTTTATTACTATATTCTACGTACATTTTTAAAGGACAAAATATGAACCTCCTTTTTCATAAAAATTAAATTCATTTTAACTATTACACTGTTTTGTCTCTTTCTTTCGAGCCAATAATGTAGACAGAAGGACAAGGTCAAAACAGTCTATTAGTAAATCATTAGATGTTTGAGATTTTTATGAACAAGATGGTATAAATATAACAAATAAAAAGCGTATCACAAATTCACAGGACACAATTATAGGTAACTATAATACTAAACACCACAACAACTACATGCATAGGTACCTACTTAACAAAACTAATAAATATTATAATAATATATAAGATTAAATTGCCAATTAAGTATATATATATATGTATATGTATATATATAATCTAATAGGAACCGCAATATATATTGTGTATTACTAAGCTCAACACACAATCCTAAATTGTATACAAGTCTTACCTCGTGTTGAAGTGATTCCAAAACATACTGCGCAGCGTTAGAAAGACGACAGAAATGACAAAGAATGAGTAAGTACCATCATCGTACAAATTATAGTTAATCTAGAAGGAAACTTAGGGCTTGTTAATAGGAGCAGCTTAGTAAATAAGTGTATCAGTGTACGCGTCGATATGAAAATGATAGATCATGCAAGTGCCATTATTGTATATTATCCGTTAGATTTTGGAGTAATTAAAAATAAATATACAGATTTTTCGTATATAGGTGTGGAAGAAACAAAAAATAAAGACAACGTGGAACACTCTTGTAATGTAAATAAAACATGGGATTGACTGGGGCACAACATTGCGTATACGTATCTTAATATAACAGACAATGTATTATTTTCACAATTAGTAGTTAGGATATCAAATCCACGACCAGTTGGCAATACTGTAAATCTCAGTAGTGTCGGCTGGTCTTTAATATTTACACATTATATCTAACGAGTAACATCAAACATAGAAATTCTCACCTTTCATTGAAGGTCTCTTGCTTTGCGTAATTTTGGAGACTTCCTTCATCGATAAGGAATTTCATTCTTTCGAAGAATGACGCAGTAATCGCTGGTGGCTGTTTACGGAGTAAAATGTCGGTTGGTTTTGGGGAGGACACGCAGAGTTGACTTCCTTTACAAGCGGCACTTTGACAGCATTCAGGATCTTCACAGTCGACTAAACCATCTGAATAAATAAGTATTTATGTGTAAAATTTCCATTTACAAATGCAAGTTACGATTTCATCAATTCAACATAATTGCAATTAATACCTTTGTCATTGTCTTTAGAATCATCACAGACTTGTTCTTTGAGTGTAGTACAATCTGGACCATCCCATCCATCGAAGCATTTACACTCCCAATGCCCATCATTTGCTACTCTACATTGACCATGACCAGCGCATCCTCGTGGACATCCTTCTAAAGTACAATGTCGTCCGTTCCACCCAGATACGCATAGACAAGTCCCATTTTTGCATTGTCCATGATCACTACAACGAGCATCGCAGAGTTTTGAAGTGCAATATTCTCCCGTCCAGCCTGGATCGCAAACGCAAGATTCACCGACACATCTTCCATGTGGACCACAGTCTAAATCGCAAACCTCTGTAATAGATAATAAAATAAACAATACATATTATTATAGACAAAAAATTTATACTTAATCATGATACACTGATATACTTGAGCGAACTAAAGTAAATCACTATTTTACAATTATGAAATTACACATAATTACTTGGCGTGAGTATTACAGTTATAAAATATAAATTAATGATACAAACCTTTCGAGCAATCATCTCCAGACCAACGAACATGGCAACTGCAAGTTTGCGTGTCAACGTCGAATGTTCCATGTCCAGAACAATCTGGCAGGCATTGTAACGCGTCCTTATCCATGGTCGCACAATCCAATCCCTTCCAGCCTTTTTTACACACACAAGTACCCTCGATACAGAATCCGTGCCCTGAACAAGTTGGGTGTGGACAGTCAACGTCTTTGCAGAATTTGCCTTTATAACCTCGTACACATGAACATTTTCCATTGACGCAATGTCCATGACCATTGCAGTCAGGCACTTCGCATTCATCATGCCGCAAAGAACACTCTTTGCCTTTCCACCCTGGATTGCATTGGCATTCTCCATTTATATATTCACCGCGTTGACTGCACAAGACTGGACATACGCCTGTAGAATAAGACAATACAATTATTTTTTCAGATAAAATTAACTATTATCGATATTAAAAATGAAATAAATCTTACTTTCACTACAGTCATCTCCACCAAAACCAGGTTGACATTGGCAATGTCCCATAAGGCACTCTCCTTTGCCTGAGCAACCGTTAGGACAGTTGTGAGTCATATCTTCAGCTACCAAGGCCACGAAAGCGATTTCTTGAGGATCGCCGTCGTCGTTGTACAATGATAGAAACCAATGCCCTTGTTCCATGTAATGTGTTACTTCTTTCTTAACAGAAGGCTGAAATAAACCAGAAAATTGAATAAGTAATATGTTTTGGCTTCGCGCAGAGGTAATATTGAATCTCTTAAAACGAGAGAAATGTTTTTTTAGTTTAAACAATACATACAAAAAAAGAAAATAAAACTTACAAAATTATATATTTATAAAATCATATCAGACTATACAATACATTATTTGAGGATAACTTACATGTGATGCCCTTGTACTTCTTGCTTTAAATCCACTTAGTACTTCCAATATATGGTACTGCGTGTGCGTCGGTAGTGCGTTCCGTCTTGCGTAGACACCAATTGAAGCGCCTCGTGGGATCATGTAGTCGAATTTCACATAAGAAGCTTCTGACTGATAGAATTGCATGTTCCAATAACTATATGGAGGGATTTCTTTTGATAATTTTTCACCTAAAGTAATTTGTTTGAACGTCGTCCCGTCAGGCGGGAAAGACTGCGCGGGGAATGTTCGCGCACCTACAATATAAATATTAGGTTAGTTTTATATTACATTTTGATTAACATAAATTTATAAATTTGTAAAACATGCTAATGCAATGATAGATATTATGATAAATCACACTTTCTAGCTATTTAAATAAATAAGGTTACTTTACTAATACTACATCTAAACTACCCTTTTAATAATAAAAGACCCAGTTATATAGCTCATGCATTTGATAAAGCGCTTAGAATGTTACAAAACCCGTAAAGATGATCATGCATGTTAGTCAGTTAAAACACCACGAAATTATTCTTGTAAATAGCCCCTGCATAGTAATGTAAATGGTGTTTGTTAGTAAATTATTAATTGTTTCGTCGATCTAATTGAACTTCAATGACCTCACCTTCCAATATAAGTATGGGTGGAGGTTTAACCTTTGGACATACACATTTTGGAGCTTCCGTAATATAAACATCTTGTTCTGACATGGTAGTGTAGTCTGTGCCATCGGTAGTAGCCGTATCTCCGTCAGTAGTCATATCTATACTTACTTCGGTCATGACCTCAAATTCTGTTGAACTTGAAAGTTCCGTAGTACTAGTTGTTTCAGAGGTTTCGATAGTAGTACTATTTTTCAAAATTGCTGTAGTTTTGTCTGTATAATCATCATAAAAATCATCTGTAGAGTTATCACACACAGGACAAGAACACTCACAGCTTCCTCCCCACACACTTTCATTCTCAACAACATTATTTGCTTTAGTTGTGGCTTCAATGACTTTAGGCTTATTGAAATTAGTAGGCGCAGTAGGTTCAGAATCCATTGGAGTAATTTTAACTGTTGGAATCTCATTACTATCACCAACTGTAGGAACTGTCACTGTTAACGAATAAAGTGGTTTATAAGATGAATTCTCATTGTCATCGGCAGATATAGTTAGGTTAATTAAAACGTGTTTTGGATTAGATGTCATATCTGGAATTCTAGATTCAGTAGCAGTATTTACAGTTGATGTTTCATTACTAGGTTTTCCTGTCGCTGAATTTACAGTGGTTATCACATTATTAGGATTAGTAACACTCGATGGCAGCTGTGATGTTGGTACGACATGCTCATGTGTAGTCAATGGGGTTGCGGTGGATGGAGCAATACTCTCATACGTGGTTGGTTTACTTGTTACTTTGGTTACGGTTGTTAACGGTAGAGCAGTTGTAGTTATTATTCCTGTAGAACTCATACTGCTTTCTGATGAGCTGGCTTCAGTTTTATACTGAAGTTTATTAAGATCCTCTTCGTCATCCTTAATCTGTATATGTAGTTCTTCGTTAACATCGTTCAATTTATTAAGTAACTTTAGATATTCAAGTTTTAGTAAACCATATGAATAGACTGATGGAAACGAATCACTTTGCATAGATTCTGGATCATACGCAATTTTAATATCATCATTTTTTTCTTGTTTTGATTGAAAATTATTTAAAGAATCTAATGCAGATTCCGCTGGCTCTTCTATAGCCAGATTATCTTTTTCAAAAGGAATACCAGTTACAGTAGTAGCTTGTTTTGTCGTGATATTTTTATTAATATCATAAGCGGTTGAAATCGCAACACTAGTTTCCGTAGAGGTTAAATTATCAAACGACGATTTATTACTTTTAGTACTATTTATCACTACTTTATTAATATTAATTGATTCGTTAGTAGTATCCTTTATATTATAGAGGTCTGTTATGTTATTAATATTGCTAGATACAAAAGCTGTATTAGAACCCTTCCCATCTTCTTCGGTTGGTCGAGTGATGGTAACATCATCGGATTGAGCCGACGTCACACCATGCACTAAACTAACAGTGTTTACAGAAGGTGTAGTGATTAATTCATGCATATCTACAGCAGTGGAAGAATCCATGGAAGAAACAGAAGGTGGTACAGAAGCATGCCCTTCTACACTCCTACGTGGGCGTGAGTGATATTCCCCTTTACCTGAGCCTGAGGAAGGCGAGTTCTGGTGTGGTCTTGTAAGTGATTTGTTACTAGATTCAAGCGTCGTTGCCTTCGACGCTGGAAATACTTCAGTTGATTCACCGACTAGTACTGTACAAGTTTTTGAATTCTGATATGGCAAGTTGACGAAATATGTGGCTGTTAACGAAAATAACAAAATGTGAGTTATTAAAAATAAAATAGATGTCTTATAATTCAGTTAGAGAATTAAATCAAATTGTAATAATTATTACTTACCTGACATGTAAGAGCCAATGGAAACTAGAAGTACGGAGAGAAATATGAACACTATAGCGGTACACTTCCACGAGCATCTAGAAGAGAGGCCTTTTCTGAAGTGGAACCGTGAGGCAGCGGGAGGAAAGTGGGAGGCGCGGAGATTATTACGAACAGGTAGGACGGGAACCGGCGCTCCAAACGCCGGATGAGACCTGTCGCTTCTCTCCATTCTCTCTAAAGTACTTTTATCTTGTTTTCCTGGACTACTACACGAAGAATTCGACTTGTAGTCCATTGACGGATTCTTTTGTATGTCCCCTGAAAGAGTATGTATTCATTATAGATGATATTAATGATATAATACAAGGTCTTTGGATGTCTTTTGGTTTTAATACTTCAATATTATGTTCTTTGATTGCTATCAGAGCACTGGCTATTGTTGGCACAGCATATGCGGTAAATAGTATTTCTTAAAATATGAAAACATAATATTTTTGTGATATGATGATCAGATTAACTGAATTGTAACATATAATATCATAAAACAACCGATAATGTGTGATGCAAAATGTAGTGTTGGAATTATTTAATGTAGGTCAGCGCATTTATCGGAACCAACCATCATTTTACATTTAAATAATAGTCAGTATATATTAATTGAATCCGATACTGGCATCGTGCCACATCAATATTAAATCCTTGTTCAAATATGGGAACAAAAACAAATAATGTAGTAAAAAAGTGACGAATGTTGGATATAAAAAAATTGCAGAAGTTTAGATAATAAAAGAAATTAAGATGGTACCTGAAGGCACATAGAAGTTTCCCGAGGGTGTACGCACGAGACATGAGGGTTCGAAGTCGGCCAAGTCAGCGGGATTGCCCGTGATGCGGCCGTTCAGTCGAGACATTGTTGGGTTCCGGGGTGGCACATCGGGCGGTAACCGGGAACCCTCCAGAAGACAACCTGTAGACAATTAAAAAAATGTTTTATATTGATAGAGAAATTGTACAAAATGACTTATTCGATGCCGTGACGGGTTGTAAAAATAAGTACCCGGATCGAAAGATTTTGTAGGGCAAAATTGTTATTTATTGTATGTCGATTTAAAAGAAAACAGTTTGAATAATATATATAAATAAAGGTATAAATAGACAATTTGACGTATCACTAGGCAACCAACCAAAGGTAGCCAACTGTACTAAGGCAGGTACTTAAATTGTTGCTATTTGCATTAATCAGATATACAATAGTATAATAATTATTTATATATATTTATGAATACCGTTGTAAATCGTACTATTTAGCAGTTTGTATTCAAACAAAATACTAAATCTATATTGCAGAATTATATTTATTTAAAAGAACAACATGCAAGTTTCTTCTTTGTACTTCTTGTGATTAGTCTGCTTACTGAGCAGTAGAACAAAAAAACATCATACGACTATTCAAACGTGCTAATATTAAGTTTTATTTGAACAAAAATGATTTCCATTTTTTGTCTACAAATGCATTTTTAATTAAGTCATTTGTAAATTATAAAGCGAAACCCTATAAAAATATTAATAATGTTTAATCCAAATCCTTTGAGTCGTTTCCTATAAAATTATTATACCTGTCGTTTTTGTTTTTTATAATTTTATGTAAAAAATAATTTCTACGTTACATTTATTAGGTGTTGTAATGTTTCTTTATTAGAAAATCAATACAAACCACTCGGCGACTCTAGTATAGTATTACTAGTCGGCATTAAATCTTTCTAATTAAGTTTCGTACGTAGGTGTACGTGGATGTACCTAGTTAGCTTTAATTGTAAACACAATTTATCTTAATTACCTCGCATCTTCAACGCACAGCGAAATTGGGAGTTCAGCAAAAAAACTCATAAATACAATATCTAGTTCATCACAAGATAAATATTCGGAGGACTTAATTCAATTTCGGCTTACTTCAGAAACTCGGTGGACAAAAGTTCTTAAGTTGGAAAGAAAAATAAAAATACATTTTGCCAATAAAGGAGAATGAAACAAATTACGAAGAGAGCAGACTGTATAATGAATGAATATAGTCGAGCAAACTGGAGGTTTGTTGAGAAAAATCTCGTCGCGATATGAATAAGTATACGTGGGCGTCATTCTTCCCTGACGAGGGTAAAGGTTGCCTGTGGTTGGGTTCAAGGCCAATTGGCAGACACTAACCACAACAAACCTTACATAAAGTAATTCCCTTAATGGCGGTTACTATTAACTCCCATTCCTGGTGTAGTACTAAAAGTTTTAAAAAGTTTTAGTACTTCACAGTTAGTTTTTACACCGAATGAGAGTAAGTCACCGAAAGTCGGTAAGAGCAAATCAGAACATGTCGATTTATCGAAAGTTACCTCGTTTTTAATGCTAAAGCTTTTGATACTCATTTGTGTGCGGTTGAGCAAGAGGCATTAACAGACGAAAAATTTAATTATTTCCATCCACGAAAATTCACAAGTTGAAATTCAATTAGGGGCGAATATTGCTCACGGTAATTGCTCGTAAACAAATAGCAGCGTGAATCGGCCCATGCAAATGGATCAAAGATCGCGTGTTACGCTAGTTAGGAAATATATTAGATCGGGGGCCATTGCTCAAACCGCGGGGCGCGCCGTACAGCGGCAGAGGCCTCTCCCATCGCTAATATAGCCTAATGGAAAATCGAAGTATTATCTGTGGCGGGCGGACGCCGCACACCGCGCGCCTCGCTCCCCGCCTGGCCCACTTCAGGCAACTTTTGATCCTCGACAAATTTTAAGGATTCCTTCGAGCGTTAATTAATTTATTGTAGCGGCCGATGTAGCCGCAAGAAAACTCAATTAATTTTAAAAGGGTTTTTGTGTTGTTTTTTTCGCGATCGCTCCCAGTTTCATCGCGGAAAAGAAAATGGTTCCCGATAATATCGTCGGGGGTCCTTTGTAGTCGCGCCCTTTGGAACGAATTCTCTCGGCAGTAATTAGAGATTAATGAGTTTATTTTTATATTTCTCGCTAAAACCACACCGAAGTCGAACAATCCGTATGTTATATAAAAAATATGAGAAAAAATTAAAACCTGTTACTGAAGTTTCAGTTGTACGTAAAAAGTGTTTAAATACACCGAAATGGGCCAATTTGTTAGATTGGCCCTGAAGCCAGAGGATAAATGCACGGAGTCAAACCCGCGGACTCGCCGATCTATCCTGGCTCGTTCATAGCCAATGAAAAACTAAATCACCAGATCCCTCACCTAATTTAAGAGGACAAGTATAGTCATTAATACACACGTCAACCGTCGTGCTACTACAAAATGTGGCTCATTTATATCCCGTCTCGGGCTTGGGAATTATGGTAATCGGACGAGCCGTGTCTTTTGTCTGTAATGGTGGGTAATTACTGAGGCACCTCCGGGGGACACTTCGTCTCCTGGAGGGTGCCCAGGGGCCCGAGAATTCGACACTCGTTATGCGAATCGTCTCAACTTTAAAAAGGGAACGCGATTTTGAACGCCGTCGAGGGATTTGTGTGTGTCTAACGGAACGAATTTTTTTACGTTTAACTTTTCAAAATTGCCTTTAGTGAATCGGTCTGCTTTTTCAACCCGCTTATTTTAATACTGAGCGCGGCTTTTATGTAGTTTATATTTATTGTAGCTGCTGTATGCATAAAATTCCATAACAATCAGATAGAGATCACTACCCATATTCCGGTTCATTTATTTTTATATTTTTCCAGCCATCTGGAATCAGCTACTGCTTCCCTAGCCGCATTTTTCTCGCTTGAAAACTAAACCTCGCTTAGTTATTGCAAGATAAAGGGAGTGTGTTTCGGTTCATTTGCGGTCGAGCTCGGCCCGATCAACGTGATTTCTTATTAAACCTGCTTCCTGCGGTGTTTATAACATTTAAGAGAATAGATATTTTATTTTACATCACTCATTGTGTTATGAGTTTCTGACTGTTATTTTGATAAAACGTAACATTACAATTCAAACTGTCAAAACATATATCTTTTTCCAGGTAGTTTCATAACTTGAGACATTGATGTATGAGTTATGGGAGGTGTGCATGTGTGAGGAATACACCGACATAAACAAGATACATTTGGGCAATCTCAGAAGCCAAGAGACGTGGCGGTAACACGTGCCCATAATCTTAAACTCGTTATGTGAAACATTCCCGAAGCAATTTAGACTTTACCCCTTAATCTTCATTCAAACATGAAAGAGTACCACAGAGTCGCTCACACTTGTTTTATGCTTGACCACTAGCTTATTAGTACTGCAGATACTTATGCACAAAAGCGCTTAATTTCCATTGCAGCGATAACCCAATTTCGATTTAAAATTTAGCATCGAAGTTGGACAGGGTACGGAACCCGGCGCAATATTTATATGAGGGAGCAGCACTGCGATTTATAGTTCAGAAACAATCGAGAACTTGCTCCGACGTCGTCGTGACTTCGTTTTAATTAGTACCCATTCATCGTGGAACAATTGAGTCCTCGAACAAATCCATTATCGGGAACTTTTCGATAGTCCGAAAGAGGTGTATTCAAAGTTTGCGATTGCCAACCGATCGAATACGGATGGCCTTTGTGGACTAGCGATTTAGATGCTCCAGCTCGTCTCCCTGACTTTATTTTTAGGAACTAATAAGGCGCTCTTTTCATTAAACTTCATTCGGCTTAATCGTTTTTTGTTGCTATCTCAGGAGATTACATCCGTTATAATTTCCTTTACAGACGTTTATAAGAAATGATCAAAAAATTCAGGCGAATTACCAAAATCTGCTCTTACTCAAAGGAAGGCCGGTATATCTCTCTTACAAGTAAAATGGACCCGCGTAATGATATTACCCGTACATTTTAATCAGTACCTCACGGTTGACCGAATTTGAATCCTATGTAGTATATTTGATCTTATCATGTAATACATATATATATATATATATATGTATATGACATATATATATGAGTATAGATGAATTTATATTCTTTGGCGTGGCGCATTCCAATATCAAAACTTATCATTAAATTCTGAAAGACATCACTAATTCGATTAGTAGGCTATGGCGGCGTTTGTTTCTTATTTAGTTAGTATAGTATAGTATAGTATAGTATAGTAATTTTAGTTATACTAAAGGCGGATGTAAATACATACATAGAGCGAGCAATGTATCATGTCAAGACGCGGCGGCCTGCCATGCTGATAAGATTACCAGACAAAGGAAGTCCACCCATATCACTACCACCATGACCGCTAAATGCGAACCTTCATTTACTACCCTTGACACAGCCAGTCAGCAATCTGAATTTTAAGTCTAATGCAGCACAGTTCACATTGTACTGCACGATCTTTATTAGCGTCCCGACGTCTACGTCTGCTTCGTTAAAGGACACTCAGCTTTATTTATGTTGACATACTGGCAATGTTACCTTATTTGTTGGAGCCGATCGTCATTGTTTGAATACTAAATTGCACCGTCTGCTTTTATAAATAGAGCTGAAATTGGGCTTTCCGGACTTGGCTAAGATACGTCTCGTTTCGAGAATGTGAACTTTTTCGCCGCTGGTTTTAAGGTCGAACATTTCGTGGAGCGACGTACAGCGGTTAGTTGGGTGGTTTCCGGAGCACGATAAGGAGACGATGTTGCTAAGTCGGTCCGTCACGCGACCTGTCCGCTAATTTATGTTGCGCTGATTTCAGATATAAAGCCAGTGGACGCTACCCTTCCTCTAACTCGTGCGGAGCCGCTCGTCGCTTGTACAGTAGGAAGTGCTTTTTATAGTCCGTTATGTTAATGCATTGTCTAGGAAAATGTCGGTACAAATACAGAGTAAAACAAACACTAGAAATCTACATAAGTACCTACTTCATTAAGCAACTTTATGTACATACGTTACACATTAAAATTATCGCATGAAACTTGAATGTAGAATTTGCACTGTATCCAATATATGT